TGATCCTTAAAGGGATGTCCCTCGGAATATTTCTCCTCTTCTTTAATAGATTTTGAAGTGACCTAGTAACTATTATTGTATTGTACTTTATTGTATCGTATTGAACTGTATTGTGTTACATTAAATTGTATCGTATTACATTGTTTTGTATGTTGTGTATGTTTTTATTTTATATATATCTGTACTTGTTTTTTTGTCATATGAATCTACATTACTCTTTATTTTGTTCCTATTGTATCGCGCCTATATTGGACTACAGTTTCTTCTTGTGCATGGCCAAAGTAACCCCTTGGTCTCAATTTATGTTAATGGGCGATTCGAAACAAATCACTGGTCGATAACAACAAAACGACTTAAATTACGAAAACTATTACAAGAACACACCTGTTTAAATTATGCAACAGAACTAAGGAATGAATACCCAGAAACTATATCATTAGTTTCGTAATAATACACACCCCTTTTCAAATTTCTTTCAGGTGATACGTGTAACCCTAGTCTACAATCCAATAGCCCCGGGTACATAGATTTACCAACGGGGACTTTTGATTTGAGACTTTTAAACAATAGACCTATTAGGATCCCCCTCAAATAAAACATAGTGACGGTCATATTTCTCCTCGCTAAAACCTGCTAAAACACAGCATAGTTGAGAAAAAGGCGAGTAATTGATGCAATAATCGTGCAGATGATACTCTAGATCGTACGAAACCGCCAGAAAGTGATACAGTTCAATCAATTTCGAGAAAATTAGTAATTTAAGCGAGACAAGGGTGGACATTTGAAGAAAGATTTAGGACACTGTGGTTCCGTAGAGGCTCGACTTGGGGTTAAGATGCACATTATTAATCAGAATTGTAATTTCATTACACGTTGTTGTTATCCCATCTGTTCCTTTTGGTCTCCTGAAACAAAATCAACGTACCCTGAATCCCTATTGGCTCACCAGACTATCACTCTGAGAATTTCAGATAATTTTACAATTTTCAAATCTGGTTAACGGTCAAAAATGTAGTTTTGATTTGAGTTTGAATGGGAAATAGATGCAGTTGATAACAGTTCGAATATGTGTTTAGTGAATTTCTGATTACGTACATTGAATGGGCAAGATTAAAGAATTATCTGTAGTTTTAAGAGTCTAGACGCACAGTAGCTCTTTCAAAGGGTCCTATACCCGTTATTAAATTAGAACCTATATGCATAAATGAAAATACAAAGGAATGGCATTCATTTTTATCTTTTCAAGTCTCATGCAAAAATCAAATTTTGAAAAACACAAAGTTAAATCCACAAAAGCATCAATTGAAGAAATTATAACAGAGACAGTTACAAATATACCATTATATATTGTCGGTAGTTTAACTTTGTTTTATCATTGAATATCTTAATAACATGATCTAAAAGCATTAATTTCATCATGAATCCACAACTTATCAAATACAAATCAGTGAATATAGTCTGCATGAAAAACATACATTATATTTATGTATTTTTGATACAATGATACAAACCTAGCGATAGTTTTGCTAAATTATTTATAGAACAGGGATTAATAGACTAAATAAGACAAATATGATGGAGAATCCATTCATAATTAATGAGTGCTTCAATGTGTCGATGAACAATTGATCAAAATATTTGACTACAAATAAACATAACGGAAACAATTTGACGAATAAAAGATGTCAGCACCATCCAAGGCTTGATAGAGTAGAATGGCATAATAGAGAGTGACATCTTTCTGACAACTGGTACTATAATAGGAATTAGAAGTCAAGACTGATGGAGCCATCTTTTTTATTTGAAAATATTGCCAATGTTTTCCTTAGAAACCTTATTTCATTTTCTGAAAATACATGATCATCAATATAGAAGTTATTAGAGATCTAATGCTGTTGATAAGTTGTTAAGTCATCTAAGGTCAAATCTCAAATATAAGTCAGATTTAAAAATTCTGAGAAATTGTAGATGATTTTGAAAAAAGATTTGGTCAATTTGAAGCAAGTTGAAAAAAATACCTTTCTGACCTTGACCTTGATTTGGACTTCTAAGAACTTGTAGATGATTTTGAAGTCAGTCTAAACAGTATTTGTTAAGTTATTGAAAGTTTTTAGAATTTGTTACAGACGCAAAGGCGCCAACCACTAACTCCCAACCATCACCCACCCCCCATCACAAAAAAACATAACAATATGTCATTACTTTTGGTGGTGACATATTGTATATATTTGGTGACTCCTTGCATTTGGGCAATATTTTCCTTGAAATTAAGATATTAAAAGAGAGCTTCGTCTTCACAGTTTATTACTAGACTCTGCAGGCAGGGTAACTCATAAATCCATTGCATCTGCGAAACTTTTAAAGTTAAACGGATAAGAGTTTTTCTTGGAATTTTTATAAGATTTATTAGGTGCCCACCTTCCGGACTACAACATAGATGCATGCACATCAGCACGTGACATATAACAATACAGGAGTTTTCAAAGTGCCATAAAAACAAAAACTTTGGTATTCAGATGTTGGCATCATGTTATATATATATTTATTTATACATATATAAACTTAAATAACATATTCACACACAGCATCAATGAGTCAAGTGTTTTAGTTAAAAAAATCTCATAATGGATGTACTAGATCTACAGCTTGTCAATGAAAAATTGTCCCTGAAGTACAAAAATGGCACAATTCTTCTTTTCTAAAGGCTAAATTGCAAAATTAGGTCAATTTTGTATTTGTTAGAATTCTAAAACTTCTTGATTTAAGATAAAAATTCTTAATATAACAGCCAATCTCATGTTAATTAAACTTAATACTTACTTAATAAAATCAATATTTAAAGTTGAATGTTAGACTGATTCTTAGCATATGGTAAGGCTTTTGAAGATTTAGAATGAAAACATCCGTAAATGCATCAAAAACATGTTTTGCCAAAATGAACAATACATAGGACTATGGATTCAATTTTTAGAAGATATGCATGACACATTCATGTGATGATTGATGTGCTCTATATCTAAGATATTGCCCATGTTCATTCAATCTACATCTTAATATTAATGTATATCTTAATTAAAATACAACTACAATTATATAGTGAAATAAAATACATCTGAAATACACATGCATGTTACAACTTAACATTATATACCTGGTATAGGACAATATAAAATGATTTCTAACAATAAAATTTGACGTATATAATTTAATAATGTAATACGTAAAGTAGAGAAAACAATAATATACTACATTAATTGATATGTATATACATAAATGGTTTGATAAGTTTCACTTCGGTCAGAATGTTATTCAAAAGAGGTTTTGGGAAACAAAGTTATGAACTGTCGTGATAGCAGGCTACATAAGTATACAGGCCTGTATATCTAGCCAACTTTCATTCACTACCATGACAACCAAATTTACAAATTCTAATGGCATACATTTGTGACATCATTAATACAAAGTAACCATGGGAATAAAGATATGTCATACATTAGTAATTAATATATATGACATGAAATATGCCATGCATATGCCATGCTTAAATCTAGAGCCTTTTAAAACTAGGTTCATATGGGCAGAACTCCGGCATATTTCAGGCTACATAGCATCTAAATATTGGATCTTCCAGCTATTTCATCTGATCAATATCTCTCCTTTTCTCAGTATCTCGTCAAGGGAATTGACAATGTCTATCAAGTTACTAATGCACATTTGATATCTTTGTATGAGGTCTTCTCTAATGCTGAAAATGCAAATGAAAGGCCATCTCTGTAAAAGAAATCCCAGAAAAGAATTCAGTGGAAGCCATCTTTAAGTTAGGCAAGACTCCAGAGTAATTCAATTCTATGTTTAGCAATGCTATCTTTTGTCTTTATGGAAGAATGGGTTTTTATTTATCAACATGTGGCTTATAGTTGTAATATAAAATGAAATATATTTCTGTCAAAATAGATGAAATATCCATTAAGTGAAACTTTTCTATTCTGCTCATATACAATATTAGTCTAGCTATTGTTAACTTAAAACATGTTTATCGGTTTAACTATTTACATTATTAACACATTAAAACATGTTTGGTGCTCACTTTTACATGTAAAAGCATGACTAACATCTTACATGATTTTAAGTTTTTTAAGCATTTGTAACATCACATACGCAATCACTAAAAAATATATAAAAATACTATTTTCTTAATCTAAATTTTTCTTATATAAAAAATTAATAAAAAATTGGTTGTATTTACAAGTACACAATTGTAAGACTATACAATCATACCATACATAACACTCTTTTTCATCAAGAATACCTCATATTTCTTTTAAGTACATGTAGTTCTTCATTCATCTCTGAATGTATGTGTTCTCCCAGTAAGATATCTGGCAGTTTTCTCTTATACCAGCACTGTTTGCAGGCCCGTAGCCAGGGGGGGGGGGGGTTCGGGAGGTTCAGGCGAACCCCCCCCCCCCTGACAAAACTTTCTTTCAAAATCATGCAGTTTTTCACCATTCTGACTAATCTTTGAGTGATTTTTGGCCATATTTGCCAAAGTGAACCCCCCCCTAGATTTTTTATAGAAAAACGAACCCCCCTTGGAAAATTCTGGCTACGGGCCTGGTTTGAGTGCTGTGTTAAATGAAAGTAAGGCAGTATGGTTTTTATTTAATCATTTGAACTATCACAGACCCAATACTTGTGTATAGTTATAGTAGCATAAAAAGACTTGGACATACTCCTTTAACAAATACATGACATGTATATGTCATGGGTGTGGCGCTATTTTTCTAAGTAGTACGCTACCACCACAGGAACAAGAGTTGAGTGAATCAAAAATACGAGCATTCAGGGGGGTCTGGGTTCTCCCCCAAGAAAATTTGGAAATTTGGTTGTATTTGGAGCGAATTTGCAACCATCTGGTACGCCTGTGCGTACCCAGCGTACCGGGCGCTACAACCATGTATGTATTATGTAAGGTTAAATTCTTAACTAAAACCAAAAAGGGGCAATTTCTAACACTAACTGTACATGCATACATGTATAACATCTTGTCATTTCAGTGAGAAAAATGTGTACCTCTCCAACAACAGTGTAACTTCCCAGGATAATGCATCTAGGCTGTTTCCAAAGTCTCTAGAAAGTACCATTCAATACTACAGTACCAATTAGATTCAATACTACAGTACCAATTAGATTCAATACTGCAGTACCAATTAGATTCAATACTACAGTACCAATTAGATTCAATACTGGAGTATTACATCTTCATTTCAGTAAGAAAATGTGTAGCTCTCCATCTCTAGCAGTGTGTCTTCCTTGGATAATTTTTCAAAAAGGTACAAAATTCCAATTCAGCGAAAATGGTCAAAATATGCCAATTTTTAGGAACAAGCGTACTTAGCCCGTTTCCAAAATCTCTTGTTGAAGCACCCATTAGATACAACACTGCAGTATATGAAACACTGGCATTTTTGACTATACTAACATCTGCTTCATATACTGGGAATAGGAAACAACCTAATTGTGCCCCGCATCATTTCAGTAACTACTAGATGATTGCCCCCAGCTATACACAAAGCCATGGGCATCTCCAAGGCATCCTCGCGATCTGCGACAAATCCCTGAAAATGCCCGGTTCTAGATAATCGATGGACTCGACTGTTCCCCCAATCAGCCACAAAAATACTTCCATGTTTGTCAATACATACGCCATTTGGATGAAGAAACTCCTCGGGTCCCCGACCATGTGATCCATAATTGTACAGGAGGTTCCCGCCCGAGTCCTGATAGATACTGACTGAATTAGTTTCTTCGTCTGTGACAACAACTTTTCCGCCTTTCCCTACAGCTATTCCCTGAGGGGTAGAGAGGTGGGTCCTCTCCCCAACTTGTCTATCCTGTAGAAGCTCACCCCAGATAGTCCCGTTATAAGTTCGTATTTTACTCCCGACTGATAACAACAAAGATCCACGGCGATCAACCGTGATACCACGGATATTTTCTCCGACTTCACTCACAACTGTATGAAGTAATACACCAGTTAAATCAAAGCATTTTATGCACCCATTGTTTGTGATGTCACACACGAGGATTTTATCTTTGTCCTCCCCTGGTTTTACGATAATTGCACATGGTTTTTCAAGGTCATCTTTACCAAATGTGAAATCCAGCTGCCCTGTTTCTAAAGAGAATACCTGAAAATGAATAATAACAAATTACTTTTCAAAATTGAGGTTGATTAACAGATTGATTTGACACCGCACTGAAGATTTTGTGAAATGAATTAATTTCAATAATCCCTCGGGCCCATTATATTACATGTTCACACTTAACCTCTCCCACGTGTAAGAAGTAGTTTTTTTGTTTTGTGTCCCCTTGCTTGCACGATTTTGAATAAATCAGAAAAAACAAACAAATCCAAATAGCGATCACAAGGGTCTGAAAGTACCATCGCGTTTCGTTCAATCAGAATCAGATGAAATGGTGGATAATTTGATGAGCATCAAAATTGACAATTGATTACTTAGGCATACATTTTCTTATTTTTACCCTTGAATAATAGCTATGTTTAAATATATTGTATAAAATGTATAGTTATGTGTTTGTAATCAATGCAAATGAATTGGTATGTCATTCCTTTTTATGACCATAAAATGTATTGTGTAAATTCCTGTGTTATATTTTTAATATTTACTATACTTTTGTATTTATATCAATATCAAGGAAATTGAAATAAATTGAAAAAAAAAACACCATAAAATGTATACATTTTTCAGCAAACAAGTTTGTGTTTTTTCTTGAGTTTGTGTTTGTTTTCCTTGTACCCTTGCATGATTTGGAATTTGCCAGGATGCAAAACAAAGAATCTACTTCTAATGGTGTAACTTTAATCGAACACTGGTTCAAAAAAAATCTGGATCTAAATCTGGATCTTACTTTTACATTGTGATTTGTCTGGTCAAGTGCTGCCACTCTAGTGTTGTCCAACATACAAACCTACAAGTAAAGATACATCAAAATTAATTCAAAATCAATCCTAATTCATTAAAAATCTTCACCTTATATACCAAATAAAATGTAATATTTGTCCATAATATGCAATGTGTAATGAAAATTTCAAACAACTGAAACACATCACGTCAACTGAGAGAATTTTGAAAATTATAATTTCAACATGAAAACAACTGCATGATTCTTAAATACATCAACAATGTCTTGAGTACCTTCTGCTACCTTCTCTTACATTCTGCTAATAAAACCTTTGATATATGTACATTTAAAGGGTGGCCATAATGTCCATAACATCTTAGAAAGGCATTAAGATGACATAATCTCATCACCTTGTTAGTTATTGCAAATTGTTACAGACAAAGAACAACCAAATGCCAAACACCACAAAAAAGTTGGAAACTAGAGCAATATGTCAACACTTCTGGTGACATAAAACTACAAGAAAAATTAATCAATGGTGTACTTACCGAAACTATATAGCAGGGTTCTGTGTCACCCTCAATCTGACCTCTCAAACCCTCCACATAATCCACTTTAAAGTCTGGTTTAGCACCTTCCTTGTCAACACCTTCAAGGTGCAGCTCCATCACATTGATGACATCTACTAGCCCTGTGGATTCAGCTATCACTAGGAGTTGGACAGAGTGGCGCTCTATTACTGTAATAGAGGCAGGTCTAATCTGCACCTGGTAAAAAATAAAAAATAACAAATTAGAAATTAAATATCTAGAGGGTATATGAATGTACAGACTACAGACTAAGACAAAACTATGCCTGAGATGATAAGATCAATGTGAACACCTGCTAATCAAAACACTTTTGGACAGTCCCTTGGCGTTCAACATTCACATTTAAGACAGGTTTTAAAGTACATTAAATGAGGAAGGTGTTATTAAAATATGCTAGGCCATTCTACAAGTTTTTGCATTTCTATGAATGGGATTGAATGGGGGGGATATGAAAGAAAACATTCAATTCTTAATTCATCTGTGTGTCAAAACATGAAGCTCATGGTCAAAGTCAACAAAAATTTCTTTCTTAATTAAAACTTACCTTTAATTCCTTAACAGATTCAAAATCAGAATCGACAGCAGTAATCTTGTAGGTCTCTTGATCTGTTACGTAAAGTACCCCATTGCTGTCTATCGCAAGGCCCGTGGGGTTCATCCACTCCCCCAGTTCCATGCCGTGTTCCCCAAATGTCCTTATAAAGACTCCTCCAGAGTCATATTTGTAGATGCAACACTTTTCCGAGTCAAGAACGAAAATATTTCCATTGTCATTAGACACAACAGCCAATGGACAGCTACCACAAGGGACCAATCGAAACAGTTCTTGCCAGTTTGAGGCGAAAACTTGAACGTTACGTTTCTCCGGGGACGCAACTACAATATTGCCATTTATGGTTGTGCATATGCTACTCGGCAACAGTAATGTTTCTTTGTTTAATTTTCGACCCCATGTCATAACAAATGTGCCGGATGGGTCATATAATTTCAATGTGTTACCATCACATATCACAATACGTCTTTTATCTTGAAGAAATGCTAAGGCTGTTGGGACTTGGAGACCTCCTCTGCCAGTTTCCCGTACAACTTTTCCCGAATCAACATTCATAAACTTGACGACTTGGTTGTTTGCGTCGAGTATAAGAATGTGGTTTCCGTCAAGTGTAGCCAAACTTGATATATGACAGTTCAGTGTATCTTTCACCACTTTGGCCTGAAAAATATAGAATTGTTCATCATGTTTTTGGATTGACATTTACTTCTTACGATATATATGCAACAATACTCTTTCCAATATTTCGATTTCGCGGCACCTAATTCCTGAAATACATATAATCATTTGTAATTTAGAAAGATTGTTTTACCGTGAATGATCTCCTATCTAGTTTTAATAATTTCTTTAACATAAATTCTTCATAAAATGTGAAATCGAAAAAAGTCTAAAATTTTATCACAAAATTGGGCCAGAAATTTTAGGAACTTGGCAAAACATTCAAAGGGCAAATCCTTCGAAATAAGTGAAAATCTAATGCCATTCACCTGGAACGCCCTAGCGTTGAGGCCCTCTGTGCTGTCACTCTGGTTGGAGCTAGCCTGGGCAGAGGCAGAAGATGAGGGTCCCATTACCATGGAAGCCAAGTTATTACCACGAGGCCTTGTATCAGGATCAACTCTCAGAGGCCGAGCTATAATGTATGGATATTATAGTTTAAAGGCCAATGTAATGAATGACACGTACATTGTATTGTAAATAATGGTTGGAAGTTTTCTTTATATTATTTATATCAGACTTGATGTTAGTATAATGAAACAATAGACTAGATGCGAATAGAAATAATCTTGATTTACGCCATAGACAGTGACACCATGTTATAAAATCACAAAAAGTGAAATATCTTTTTTTGTGTCGGGCAGATATTTTCTTTTACCCCAGACATATTTTAATTTGTATAACTATCAGATACACAAGGGTAATATGAAACGTGAATCACTAAAACTGTTGATTATTCAAGTTTAAGGGAATTCTTAATAGTCCTGCCATGTTATTTCCCCCAAATTAGCCACCTGGTGGTGGAACTGGTAACTACCTACTTGCATCTGAGTAATTAAAGTAAAAGACTAACTCACCCCAACGGTCATGCATTTCATTCAGCCTTATCCTAAGTTCATCCCTTTCCTGTTGACGCAGTTCTGCCTCAGTTAGGTATCTCGATCTCGACGGGGCTGGAACTGGGGGTCGGGGTACAGATCTTGAGGGAATTCTTTGGGATATAGGGTTCCTAACTGTTGAACGAGTATTCTGTGGTACAGAAGATTGCAGCGTACGACTGGAACGTGGCGGATTTGCGGCCATATGTGCTTGAATACTACTGACCAATCCAAATGAACTTTGGTCATACCTTGTAACCACAACTCCTAGTGGTGACCTTGGGTTGGAATCCAATGTCATTGTAGACTCCGTACCTTCTCCCAAATCAATCACATAAATCCCTCCCTGTCCAGTTGTCACGATCAACTCCATGTTTTTCGTTACAGTCAATGCATATGGATTTTCTGAGTTAAACAAATCCTTAACTGGAGTGTCTATATATTCCCCTAATGGTGATAACCTGACAACTGAAAGCCCCATACAGTCTGCAACATACACTCTCCCAAGTTTATCTGTACACATACATTTGGGCATTTCAAAATTTGAGTTATCAACATTGTTATATGCCACATTTCCAACATCATTAAACGCTAGCACCTTTTTGTTGAAGTCATCAGAAACAAAGATATATTTAGATGTGCTCACTGTGACTGATAAAGGTTTTGTGAGTCCCCCTCTTTTGATATTGAGAGAGCTTAATAATTGGAACGCTTTACTATAGACATTGACAGATTCCATGTTTTCACACACATAAATTTTCTCATCTGCGTAGGCTATTCCTTCTGGAGATTTTAGCTTGCAGCCCCATTTCGAACAGTTTCCATCACGTTGGAAAACTTTAATACAGCCATCTGCCCGATCTGTCACCGCCATCTTGTCCAAATGTTTTATATATACTGCACTGTGTGGCTCCTTTAATTTCCCAACTCCCATGACACCACTAATTCTCCGTTCTGGAATATTTAAAACCTTCAAGGCACAATTGTTACGATCTACGATTATTCCTTTGGTGTCTGACCACATCACAACTGCAGTTAAATAACACCTTTGATACATATCACCTTGTGCTTGGCCTGGGACACGATATATAATACTGACACCTCTAGCCGGGTCTAATGCCATTTCTACAGGGGCCTCACTTTGGGGTGCACTTGCTTGAGGCACTCCTGGGGATTCTGGAACAGCATTGGCTTCATCTGCAGCTTCATTTTGACCTACAGAATTATCACTGGTATCAAGAAGTTCATCAAGGATAGCGTCAACATCTACAGGATTGTGGGTATCGCTGAATTGTCTTGCAATAGGCCCCATGGTGCTAGGTGCCCGAGGATTCTCAGATGTCCCACTCTGAACAGAGCCATCTATGGGCAGGGCACTTGGCAATGACCCACTGAGGGTAGTTCCCTCTATGGTTGGGGCACTTGGTAATGACTCAATGAATGGAGCAGCCTCTATGGGTGGGGCACTGGGTAGCGGTAAGTGATCATCGTTGCGCCTGAAAGTACGGGGTGGAATTGGAGGTGGTCTATCCGAGGCCTGAACAATAGAAGCAGCCGGCTGGTTGTATGGTGTATCTCCCACAGGGTAATTCAATAGATTGGGGAGGGAACCACTGGGAGTATAATCTTGCCGAGGTAGCCCTGGGAGTGAAGGAGCACTGGGGGTGTATGCGAGATACTCTGGGGGGACAGCACCACCAACTGGAGGGACTCTTGGCCTTTGGATTCCTGGAATAATATGATGGTAAATTTAAACTATGATAAATGAAGTAAAAATAAAACAAAATGTCTCACAATACAGATGCCAAATGGTAAATAAACAAGATACCTAATATTTGTGGCCAAAACATTGGCCGTAACAATATGTCACTGCTGCTTTAATGGTGATGTATCATTGAACAGTAAATATATAATAAAATTGAGTTGAAACAAATTATAGAAGTAATATCAAACTCGTTCATTAAGCGTACCAGTGGTTCGTGTTGATATCCCGCTGAATTCAGGAGCAGTTTCCGCCTCATCTAGGAGTTTACTACCAAGGATAGGTGGCGCTACATCAGGGAGATTCTCAATAAGAAAAACTGCAAACAAATCCTCCGCAGAGATGTCTGAAGAATCATCATATTTCAGATCAAACAATCTGAGATTTCCTCCTCCAGCTGTATCGAGAACCAAGAGGTAGCGATCTGAATTTGGCAATATGGCGATGTCATACGGAAGAAATTTTTCTCCAATCTTAAGATTATCAATGATACATTCAGGCTGTCGGTCAACTTCCAGAAAATCACTGTCGATTTTGTAAATTTTCGACTGTCCACCATCGGCTACATAAATTGTATCATTCATATCAACGCAAACACCCATTGCATGCTGGGATAATTGGAATGTTTTAAGACGTAACTGTTCATCAGTCTCGAAAATCTTCAGAGTTCCCATCTCCATATCAGTGACTAAGAGCTGGTCTTTACTGTTAAGCGCCATATAGTTCACACTATGAAAGTCAAATATATCGGGGTTAAGATCAAATTTTTTTCTCCAATTCGATTCGTAGATCTGTATCGTGCTATTGTATTGCTCGTTTATGATGATGTCGCCTTTCCTGTTCTGACGAACAAATCCCGGTTCTTTGAACTTGCTTCCCCACCTAAAAATATACATAAGATTAAATAAGTGTGACTCAAAATTCTCATTTCAAGAAAATCAAATGTTATATCATCAAAATGTAATATCTTGCAAAAACCTTTTGGAATTCAGTGTTATATCTATTTTTATATTAATATTGTTAATTATAAATGTTAATATTTGTACTAGGTACAACATTGGTATAAAACATATATGCACGCTAGTACAAGTGTTATTAAAGGCAGAATCAGATCTATAGGGGTGACAAAATTTCAAGCAATATGTACAATTGACCTACCAATCTATTCCTTACAATATCAAATACAATATCCCCCAAAAGATTCATGATATGTTATAAATTGACGAAGTTATCATGGATTCAAAGTGCGAAATGGGCGAAAAATGTTTATATAAATAAATAAATATTATAAAATTGGAACAATTCTTTGTTGGCCTGCTCGCTAGATCTGATTCTCTCTTTAAGGTAGTTTTACAACTAAATTATTGATGAATAAATATTCTTTTTGTATGAACTCTATTCTTATTTTATTCACAAAATCTATATTATATGTATGGACATGTCTCATAAAACATATCAACTTTGCTAATAGCATTAATCCACTTGAATAACTCAACTCAATAATTCTATGATATGACGATCCAGAACTAAACTTGCTGTATGGAAAATGATCCTGTATATAGATGTAACCGTTGTAATGAATATTTTACCTGGATGCACTTCGAATGTTAGTGTGCCACTGCTATAAACACGGGTGTTAAAACACGAATATACCATGAGCACATGCTTTGAGGATCCGCGTTGTTTGAACCTACTGCCGAGCACACTTATACATTAAGACCCGTTACACAGTCATGATACCGCCGAGCAAGCTCATTGCATCATCGGGTCTGCTTTACCCCCGTGTATAAAAGTGTATTCCAAATAAGTAAATAATAAAAAAATAGCTCATGTACCAACCTATAGCCAGGTTGGCCATCTAAGTTATGAAGATGCAGCACTCCTGTGCTTTCATCACAAACAACCAACTTCTGCAGATGACTCAGGTATGTAACACCAGCTGGTCCATTGCCTAAAATATAATATAAACTCTCTTAATAGTGTTCATTGCACACCTCTGTTCCCCTAAGTATGTGACACATGATAGTCAATCAACCAAAACATGTAAATAAATGCAATATTTTGATATTTTGAATGAGAATTTGGTATGTATAATAATACCCAATACACAAGAATAAGTCAACAAATTGAAATAATTCAAAGTTATTTACTTTAAAGTTCTAATGAAATGAAAATGGCAATCCGATTGAAATAATTGGCTCCAATATGAAGGGACTTTGGGTACCCTCAAGTCAAAATACATAAAAAAAATTACATAATTTTCGAGCCATTTCATTTTCTTGTTAAATATCATAAGCATAGCCAGGGGATGCAATTTGAAGCATCTAGCTCAAATTTGAAGGAAGTTGCATCAATTTTAATAAAATTCAAAACAAATCATATCTCACCCCCTGACTGAAAACCAAAATTTTTTTAGTGATCACACCTGCCTGACTGAAAACTAGCTACGCCCCTGAATATCTTTTCATATTGGGTAAACACGTTTATAACATAGCACTATTTCAAGATGTTGGTTAAGGAAAACCAAAATATTGTTTTTTGAATTGTTACCTTTTGTAGGCCATACTCCAGTGAGTCGCTCCTCCATAAGGTTGACCATCTTAAGACAGCTATTACTCTGTAAGAGAATCATACAGATTCAGTTTACATGTTTAACTGCCCTTTGCATTCATTCGACTTCGCTTCTTAAAAGAGGGCTTCGTCTTCTAGTTTATAATTAGACTCTGCATGCATTGTAATGTTTTCCACAATGGTAAGAAAACATGACCAGTAAAATACATAATTGGATTTTACCTAAAGAAAAAGAGGGCCTGTAAGTGGTATATGAATAGAGGGCTAGTAGTATGTTAGATGGTAGAATGAATGGAGGGCCGCCCTGCAGTTAGTATGGAAATAGGGTGTATAATGAAACCTTTATTAGAGCCAGGCCAGTATGAGTAATGTACCCAGTCATGAGTAATTCCCAACTGGGTACATGACTGGTGCAAGCTATTCATAACTATTAGGAATACCTCGCACCAGTTAAAAATCCATTTGAGATCATGAAGAATTTGAACAGTTTACAAATACCCTGCGTGCAGAGTCTAGTTAAACTACACTCTGCCTAGTAGAGACCATATTACAGTTTAGTAGCCCCGCCCCCACAACGGGTACCGGTGACAGTTTGGGTAATAAATCACTTTTGACCTATGCGCTGACCTTTCTTCCACCAATCAATGAGCTTGAAGAAACATACGCTAAATGCGTTCTAATTAAATATGCGTATGTCATTGGTCAATTCCGGGCTCAACGATAACGTCAGAAGGAATGACCAAATATAGAACGTCGGTCAAATTTGGCCGACGAACACCGATTGGCGTGGTGAGTTCACAGGTTCATTTTAGTTTGAAAGAGTGAAGACGAAGCTCTCTTTTAAGAAGTGAAGTCAAACGAATGCAAAGGGTAGTTTACAAAATAAGTTGAGGATACTTTTTCTCTTATTATTAGTATTAACTTCTGCGTTAAATGTTATTGTGAGTTCTGCATAAATAATCATACCTGATCAACAATGGCTACAGTATAATCAGGGAGAACAGCAAGGCTGATGGGAAGACATTGCTTCCTGTCTCTGTTACTCCCTAATCGCAGGGTCTTCACCAAGACAGGATGTGCCATCCCTCCTTGAAGGCCCTCAGCCATTGTTGCCCTTTCTCGCATCTATACTGAATTAGGTATTGGATGGTGGCCTCCACCTTGCTGTTGAGATGCAAGATGCTCTGAAATCAGAACCACTTATATACTCATGAAAATGTACATACAATTTTTGCATGTAGTTATATAATATATAATATTTACATATATCAAAGTTATATCTAAATAAATAATCTGAAATATGTATTGCACCATTGGAATTTTTTCATCATGCCTCTGTTTTAAGAGTTTGGCCATTCTGATACACATCGCATCTAAAAACCTGTCTATTTAGTTGCTCTGATTTTCCGTGCCAATCCCGAGGGGGCGGGGCTTCCCATACAATCTTCATACAATCTGCAATCTTCCCATACCAATACCAGGAAGTTTACTCTTGCAAAAAAGTTGATATACTTTTAAAAAAACAAATTTCTTTGTGTTTCCTACAGATTAAATTCACCATATTTCATAAGATGTTTATTTCTAATGTTATAAAAATTAATTCGTACGAAAAATATAATATAATTCGCAAGAACTGTTAGAAATAAGTGAATACGTAGGACTTTGCAAGAAATTGAACTTGGCGATCAGAAAGTGTTTATTACACCGTTTCTATGCAGTTTGTTGAGTGGTCCTTTTGAAAAGTGATGTTTAAATCACGTGTTTGTAACAAAGAATTTGATTTGTCTGTCAATTCCACCAATTCCAAATCAAAAGTGCCCTATACCAAATGGCTTTGTATAAAAAACCTCCTACCTCATACCCACCTACTCACCTATGTGGAACATGATACAGTCATTGAAAGGTTCAATTTTAGAGATTACTAAATCTCAAAGAAGCTCAAATTATTAACATTTCTACAATTCCGGCTTTATTTTATGACTAGACAGATGAAAGATCCATAAATAAAGGCATATGGCATTCTAATGTGTAATGACCCGAGGGCGCCCCAGGGGAATAAATGACTAACGACAGCAAGCATAGGTCCAACAAGCCAGATAAAGAAATTGAAAGAAAGTGTGCTAAACTCGATGCCCCGAGTGGGAATCGAACCCAGCTGGGATGTAGTAGCAACTTGCTATCAAGGGTCATTACAAAGGCATCTATAATTCATCATAAACTAAGATTTAATAAACTAAGATCTTTAAAATTGAACCCTTCAAAGACTGTTTCATGTCCCATGTACGTGGGTAGGTGGGTATGAGGTAGGAGGTTTTTTATACAAAGCCATACCAAATTCCATGGTCTATGATACAAGAAAGCTCAATTACAAGCTTGGCAAAATATTAATTGAGATTTACTGGCATGCATGCACAATTTAAGAAAGTTTGAAATAGTACTATATGAGAGAGGTATAGCAATGGGAAGAATACACATGGCTCCATAGGAAGAACTAACTCAGATTTTTGAGGAATTCATTGTATGCCTGAAATAAGTTTATACCAGTATTTTTGGATTCTTTAATATAGTTCATAGCTCTAGTGTGTGTACTCAGATAATAAAATGATCATGGTGTTTTATCCAAAAATAATGAACATTTCATTGTTGAAAAATTGTTTATTAATTACCAACAAGTATGAGTCATGAATCCAAGTGGCTACTTTAATCAAAAGTAAATTACGTTAAAGATCAAATCTAATTTTGCAATGCACTTTGGCAGAAAATATTTAACCCTGATAATTACAGTAAGGTCATATCATGCATACATGTACAGAAAGGTCATATCATGCATACATGTACAGAAAGGTCATATATCATGTATACATGTACAGTAGAACCTGTCTAATCTAAACACCACTTGGGCTGACTTAAAGTGTTTGAATTAGGAGGTGTTCACATTCTGAGGTTTTTGAATTCACGAGATTCATGATTTTAAAGAAATGTGATCACATTCTTAATTTATATAAGTATAGTTCTATTAGTGCACATAGCTTCATGGCATTTTTCAATAATCTGAAAATCAGATTCTGAATTTATTCAAACTACCCAATCGGTACTACTTTTTTCATGGCCTGACTGCGTTGGAAGAACTTGAAATATAAGAGTAACCTGGGTTCTCCCCAGAATCTAATTGAATGGCGATCCCCCTGCTCACTCAATTTACCCCCCCCCCTGTTCCCCCCTGCTTGCTTAACCCCCCCCCCCCCCCTGTGTTCCACCCGCTGCTTGCTTCACCCGCCCAGGGTCCTCAATGTAATCATAAACGGGCCAAGGGAAGAAGTCTTCGATTTTGAGGCAGCATGGGGGAGGTGGTTTGACATGCACCCCAGAAGATGCAGGGACAGGAGGCTTTAAGGAAACTGAACAATGAACACTACAACCATATTATCATGAAGTATTATTAAATAAGAGGTTAACTAAATGAGATTTGGTGTTGATTTACATTTTGCAAATGAAGAAATATTAACCCCGTAGAAGCTGCTGAAGTACATTTGACAAAGAATGCGAGCGATGCAAGCGGCAAAAATTGTTCCAAAAATCATGTGAGCGAAGCGAACGACGAAACTTAAAAAATCCCCTACCGCTATGAAAAAATCCTGGAGAGACAACTGAGTAACCTAAAGATTGGGAGTCTTACTTTTTTCGGTAGTAGTAATAATATAATATGCAACGTGACGTAGATCTAATAAGACCAAAACTCGCAATTCAAATTGTGAAGTGAAAAAATGTTATTGTATGCTACCGACCACTTTAGATTGAATCTAAAGGGGTCGTAGGATGCGATAAGAAAAAATGGTGGTTGGTTTGATTTCATATTTTTTGATCATAACCCACGTACGGCAGAATAAAACATACAGCGCTTTTGGTTAGCGTAAGGCTACAATTTACTCCCGTCGAGAGCTACTTAGATTTTGAAAGTATAGCTCTCTATCGCTAGGATCAACAGCTTAAGGTACAGCTGGAAAGTAACATTTTGGTAAAAAATTGCTATACCTGCACATGTTATTTTCTGGTACAAAATAAAGTATGAAGGCATGTGTCAATTTCCTTGCTTTTTTTCAGGAAAGTATCATTACAGTGTCTTGTTTTAGAATATCTGGTAGGGGTTCAATGGAAACTCCAGGAAATTCTGATATTTCACACTTTCTATTTTTCCAAATTTTCTTTCAAAGTTTCCAGACAACATAGGAGCTACCATTGACCTGTTTCTAGATATTCTATAAGTAAACAGTGTAATGATACTTTCCTGAAAAAAGCAAGGAAATACACACACAACTTCATACTTAATTTTGTACCAGAAAATAACATGTGCAGGTATAGCAATTTTTTACCAAAATGTTACTTTCCAGCTGAACCTTAAGAATCCTGACTTCAAAGAAAATTTCAGGGAATTCAGCTGACTCATGTTGCACATTATATACCTGAAAATGTATCCTACATCGCCATCTTTCATTCAGCTCAACTATAGAACGTCTCACTGCCCTATGTATCGATCAGGACTTCATTTTATTGGTCGTGTCAAAAGTTTTGGCCAGGTATATTCAATATGGCGGCTTGACGTTTCCCAAGTTGCGCATGCGTCGATAGTATTTCCGTTTAACCGCCATATTGGAAATGGATCGAACAAAAAACGATTAGAACTCCTGATCAACATAAAAGCACATCCGCGATCCTACATGCACGGGGAAAGTAGACACATATGAGCCCATATGTAGGCTACAGTTTGAGACAAACAGCAAGCCGTTGACTGGCGCTGATCAAATTTAGATGTCACAATTCTTCAGCTGGGAGATCCTCACGATGGAGAGCTATACTTTCAAAATCTAACATGGTAGCTCTCGACGTGAGTAAGCTACAATAACACAGTGGAAGCCTTAGACGAAAGGTAAGTCCCAGCCAGTAGCACATTGCTACCTACAGTAACTCTAATATATACTGATATAAGGTAGATCTAAATGCCAATGGGTCAAATTTTGCAAAATATTCACATGCTATCTATTGCAAGACTTACGCCTGCCACAACCGTCGCCATGTTAATCAGTGTTTTTTAAGTAGCGCAAGGATGCTGCCATGACCGTGGTAGTGTTATCGTGTAAGCCTGGTATAACCGTGACAGGCTGGTATAACCGTGACAATGCTGTATTCTATTGCAAGGCCTGTCATGACCCTGGAAGTGTTATCGTGGAAGCCTGGCGCGACCGTAGCCTTTATTGTGGTTTATAAACGAATGTGAATATTAATGTATAGTAGTAATTTTGATTTTGACATGATTAAGGTAGTTAAACACCATGATCATAGTATTAAACTGTTTAATTGTAATGGGGATCACTTAAAATTGTTAAGGATATTCTTGGCATTAATGTCATACATATTTACTAGTCATTGCAATACATTATAACGGTCATAGTAGAACTAAGCCTAAATCTCTACATTACCACCCCCATACCTGGCCTTGCAATACTATATTACATTGTCACGGTCATACCAGGCTTTGCGATCCCATAATACATTGTCATGGTCATGCCAGGTTTTCAAATACACATTGTCACGGTCAATTATAGCAATCATAAATTTCTACGTTACCACTCTCATACCCGAACTTGGAATACTATATCACATTGCCATGGCGGTCATACCAAGCCTTGCAATACTATATTACATTGCCATGGTCATGCCAGGCTTTGCAATACACATTGTCACGGTTATAGCAGTCCTAATCGTAAATTTCTACATTACCACTCTCATACCTGAACTTGCAATACTATATTACATTGTCACGGTCATGCCAGGCCTTGCAGTACTATATTACATTGTTACGGTCACACCAAGCCTTGCAGAACTATATTACATTGTCACGGTCATGGCAGGCATTGCAATATAATACAGCATTGTCGCGGTTATACCAGGCTTTCACGATAACATTACCACGGTCATGGCAGGATCCTTGCGCTACTTAAAAAACACTGAATAACATGGTGACGGTTACGCCAGGCGTTAGTCTTGCAACAGATAGGGTCTCAAAATATTCGAGACTGAATCTTTGGATAGTTTTTTTGCAAATGATGCTTGCACAGGAAGTTGTATTAAGTCCTCTTTGGGCCTAAACGGGAACGGAGCCTTTTGCCCTTCCCCACTCTCAGAACAGATGTATTCCTGAATAATATATATATTCCTGAATACATCTGTTCTGAGAGTGGGGAAGGGCAAAGAAGTTCAGGCCCAAAAAGGATTTGATACAACTTCCTGTGGATGCTTGGCCCCCATAAAGCTATCATATGATGAAATATTACACGGCATGGTATCATTGAGTACCTACCTACATTCATGTGTCTTGATTGGGCCTTTCAGCCCAAGCAACTGCGTAGAGTCGTCATAAATAAGAAGTATTTCTTGATCTGTTTTTTTTATTTCCGGAAGTCAACCTTGGTTTATCGCATCCTACGACCCCTTTAGGTCGTAGGATGCGATAAAACCTTGGTGTATTCTCCTTGCCAGGTGGCGCATTTGATTAGACCAATTTATGGCGGGAAATTCAAAAGTTTAAAACTTCCACTCTTACTTCCAAAATCTGTTTTCAGGATATGTACTACGGGCAAATTAATCGTAATTGGACAGCAAACCTGGTCGTAGGCTACTCCCTGAGCATAGCTTATGCACCATTTTAGTAAATGGTTAAATTAATTAATACTACAGGCCCAGCTCTTTGGCCATTGTTTTATATTCCTGTAGAATGTCGATCTCATAATTAGATCTATAGCAGTCCCGTGGCCAGAGGGGAAGCTGGCGGATCGGAACTCACCCTGGCTAGAAGTTCTTTCAATCATGCAGTTTTCTTTATTCTGAGCACTTTTCACATGCTTTTTTACCCAAAACTGTCAAAAAGCTCCCCTCCCTTGGCAAACGCCCCCTCTCCCCTGATAAAAGCTGGCTATGGGCAAGTATAGGGGTGAAAAATAGCAAGCAACATGTACTTTTGACCCCGGGCTATTGACCTTTCAATCCATTCCTTACAATCTCAAATATCCAAAATGTTCAGATGTGTTATAAACTGGTTAAGTAGTTGAGGATTTAAAGTGCAAAAACTTGGAATATGTATAAATTCTCCCAAATAATAAACATGCTAAAAATATAAATGACACATGGTTCTAATGTTTAGTTTTCCTGAAGTAAAGTATGAAGTTTGGGGAATTTTAGAAAATAGACACGACAAAGAACTAAATGAGCCAAAAATAATCTAAAATCAATAATACAATTTTTTGTTTAGCTAGCTCACTAGATTTAATTATCTCTTAAATGTGTGATCTGTATACATAGGGTGTATTATGATATCCATAATAAATTAGCTCGTTCTTTAAATTAAACAGCCGTTGCTGATCCTCATTATTTCAAAAGAATTCATAATAAGTCGAAACATGTACAAAAAATGGGTTGTAAAACAGGATATAATGAATAACTTAGTTAGGGTCTGGCTTCAATTTTCATTATTTAAATGTCTTGTCATTTTAATAACAGTTCAGTCAAATATTCATTTCAAATTGTTTAAAAACTGTTTCAAAGAAAACCCCACATAAACCTTTTTGCAGATAGCTTTTGATTCCACTTTATAATCTTTGTTGTTTGTAGTTATTGTAAGCATGTTGGATTACACGTACAGGCCCGTAGCCAGGGGGGGGGGGGGTCGCAGGGTTCGGGCGACCCCCCCCCCCCCCCCCCTGGCCAAAAATTCTTTTAAAATCATGCAGTTTTTCACCATTCACCATTTTGAGCACTTCTCAAGTGATTTTCACCATATTTGGGCCAAAATTGTCAAATGTGAATTGAACCCCCTGGAAATCTTGGAAACTGCGACCCTCCCCTGGCAAATCCTGGCTACGGGCCTGCATGTCAAAAATAAGTATTTATCAAGTTCTGCAACATTGCTTTCAAGAAGAACAATCCTTTCACATTTTGCCTTTCAATGTCACTCTGAATGGGAAGATTCATCGCGAATCATTTATTTGTAATGCCTGGAAAACAGCAATTGTGTTTTCTATATTTTGATGAAAATAAATAGCCTAATTGAACCATTTCTGTTCAATTATTAAATGCGAGTATTTTGAATTATTAGGAGATTTAGTGCAGGGTTGAGCCTCTTCTATTATTGCCCTCCATCAATGGTCATAAAGAAACTGAACTTTTATCACTATATCCTCTCTGCCTCGAGGCTTCCCTTTAGTATTCTCAATGGCATCTGGAGGTGGGAGGCCAGGGACTTCATGCTTGGTTCTCAAGAGGTCCGACCAGCTGAAAACATATTAAATGTGTATTCATGAAATAATTGGATTGACCTTTCAACATTTCCGGAAATTTCTATGTAGGAATGAGAATGGTTGGCTTGGGAGGGGAGTCAATACTATATCTAGTACCCATTTTTTATTTCTATGTAGGTATAAGAATGGTTGGCTTGGGATGGGAGTCAATACCAGTACCCATTTTTTATTTCTATGTAGGTATGAGAATGGTTGGCTTGGGATGGGAGTCAATACCAGTACACATTTTTTATTTCTATGTAGGTATGCGAATGGTTGGCTTGGGATGGGAGTCAGTACTCATTTCCGCTTGGGCTCCAGCTACAAATAGGCTACAAAACAAAAGTGCTTTACCAATGGATTAATTGTGTGAAGGATTTTGTTGTTGTGACTTCTCGTGCAATATCTTAGGATTTTATATTTTTGTGCAGCATTTTAGGTTTTTAACTTTGTGCAAAAGGACTATCAAAAGGACAACCACTTGAGCGTTACCCCTGCTTTGGGCAAATTTGATTTTTTACATACTATAGATTCGAATGTCTTAATTCATAATTCAATTTGGGTGATACTTCTAGATTTTTCATTTTTATTAGCGCAGTACACTAATGAGCTTCTTTCTCCAAATCGAGACTTGTATTTTATTGAATCGGTCTACTGGGTGCACGTTACGACTGCTTCGGACAATTGTGATATTTTTTACATCTTGTAGATTTAAATGTCCTCTTTTGAATATTTATAATTTAATTTGGGTGACATTTCTAGATTTTTCATAAAAGTATTATTAGCCCAGGAGGCGGCTCCAAACCGAGAATAGGACTCTGAAGCTGAACGGAATGGGTATCTGAAGTAGACTGAATATTGATTCATGTACTTTGTACTTTCCGTTCACGGTTACGTTGTCACTGGTGGTCCGCTCGATTAAGTTGGTTACCGAAACGGTATACCGAAACGAACCGTTTCAGTAACAAAATGTCGGAACGTCGTAGGTACGATTTTTCTTTTTTCCTTATTTCACGCGTTGTAGGCAGAATCCCCACATTTTTCTCACAAACGTGTATCAGTATCATATGTTTTAGAAAATGTACATGTTTGCGAACAACTAGCTTAGAAGACAACAGAATCATCGATTAAATACCTCACTTAATATAAGTTACATAAATTGAATGTGTTAAAAGTGCAGATCTTAACTGGGTTTTTTTAAATCAGAATTGAGTATTTCAACTGATCAGTTACTAACAATACAAAAGGAAATGTACCAGTACTAAATATTCTATTGTTACTATAGCATCCACAGGAGACCATGATATGTCAAAGTAAAAACGTTATAGGAATCTTGAAGTAAATTGGTCGCACCCAATTTAGTTTTGTTCCAATCCAATATATTTAGGTGGTTATGCAATTATATCTCCATTGTGAAAAACATTAATTGTAAGATGAATAAACAAATGATCACGGAGATTTCGCCCCGGGGAGTCTATATGATAGATTTCGGACCGGCAAAGAGATGGCAGCAGAAGTAGAATTCGATTTAACTCCCAAACACAGATTAATTGACCATTCAGTCCCTCTTTATCTAAAATCATTTCTGTCGCCATTTAAAGCTTATCTTCCCCTGATGAATAAATAGGGGGTGAGACCACTGAGTAGAGTAAGGCTAGTTTCGTGCCATGTCAAAACATTTTGATTGCCCCTTGTATTTTAACTGTCCGTTATTCTTTATTGAATTGTTGTTGTTGCTGTTGTTGTTGTTGTCTCCTTGTAGCTAATTAATTGGCACACCCAAACACGTCAAATGATGGTAAAATCGTTGGAGTATGAATTTATAGAGGTCGTAATCATCTGCTAACAATTCTCTTATCACAGCAATACTTGTGTTGTCTGGTCGAACCTTATTGTCCCCGACATTTGCATTCTTTGTTGGATTGTATGCCTCAGTCAATTCATTTTTAAACCTAGGTAAAATAGTCTCCATGGCAACCAATGTTTCATTAAAATGTTCAGTTATTCCAATGAATGTATAATATTCCTCTATATTGGCTTTAGCTCTTTCGATAGACACCATGGAAGAATTGATATGCATATATTTACCAGAAAACCACTCTGGATACGTTGGTACAATATGTCCCCCTTTGCATCCCGAGAACGGCCTTGTCTTTAAACACGTTGCAGTGTCTTTGGCACCCCTTCCCATACAACCGGCCTGACGTATCCACAGTCTAAGACAAATTTCCAGACTTTGCTTAATCTCTTTCGAAGTAAGTTCAAGTCGTTTCCTATGGTACTGGTCTTGCCTGGTATAATAGTACAGTGAGATCCACCTTTCGACGGGATCCCGAACTAAGTCTATGAATAAAGGCTGCTTGTATCCCAGTTCCTTAAAATCAAAGAAACCTAAATGTCCCATAAAGATGTATGGCTTTTTAGTAAAAGGTAGAACTTCATTTTAAACAAATTTCTGCTTGCTTGCAAAGTCTGGTACCTTAAGAACACTTTGTATCACCAAAGGCCATGTATAATGAGTAGAGTATTTTTCAGAATATTTACAAGCATGCGTCAAAATTTGCACAAAAGTTGTACTTGCACATTTAGATAATTCAGTATAAATTATCAGATCTTCATTCCGATCTTTTTCTGAATATCCTCCCAGATTGGATCCTTTGCATGTCTGCTGTTTATCCGATCTTTGTTTGGATAACATTGGTAGCATCCTCCTTGGCATCTTCGGACCATCTTCGCTCATTTGGATCTCGTCTAATGAGCACATACATGGTGCGTGCGAAGACGTCATAAAACGCCAAACTAACGTAATTGCACTTAAAATTGTTAAAATTGCGAAGAAATACTTGTAGTAACGAGAGGAACATGCCATTTTCAGATTTAGAAGTGTATGGAAAGACCTATGAATATAGGAGGCGAGTGAAAGGGGTTTAACTTAATCCTATACAGTGAATAGTGAACGTTTTAATACAGTAAAAACATAAATAGGATTATTATTCATCTCGACTCAAAGGGTTTCAATTGCTCCAACCTTCACTTTCTCTGTAGATGTGTTATTTGACACACATTTGAAGTCGAACATGATTATCTTTCTTCAGTTGTTCAAAATTAATGAAAATACAGTCTTGAGAGTTATCCAAGATATGAATTCAACATTAATGAGCCTCGCCATAGGAAAACCGGTCTTATCACAAAAATTTAAATTGTGCTACAGAGCCAAAAATGTGCCCAAGATTAGAGGAAAATGTGCTAAATTCAAATCAGTCTTTTTGGTCAATACCTGCAAGTAAAAATTGTTAAGACACAAGCCATGGCTCATTTGAAAGGTCTCTTTGTGCTTTTTAAGAAAACAAAAAATCAGAACATTGAAAAAATCTGTGATAAGACCCCTTTTCCCGTGGCCTGGCTAACATTTTGTTAATACTTCTAAAAACACAACACAATGAAAAGTGTTTTACACAAGAAGTTGCCATAGTGATTGATTGAAGTAATAAAAGCCTCTTAATTCAAAATTGCTAATCAGCGTTCAAAAATTTGAAAATGACCAATTTCCATGAGCAATGCATTCGATTTTTCATCTATATTTTTATAAGTATAATATTTATTAATGGTAGCCAAAATCTTAAAAGAAACCAATGGCACAACCTAAAGATTTTGCCCGAGATTCTGTACAGTGAGTTGCCATTTTCATCAAAGATCCACGTTCAACTTAGTTTATGGTTTATTATATCATCTTAAAGGCCTCTACCCACATGATTACAATCTTTGGAATCAAAATAATCTTTGAATGAGGGCTTTGTAATATTACCGATCTTTTGTTTCATGTTTTGTTTCTATGTAGATTCGGATGTTTTTTCTCGGGAGCTGTGTATGATCTCAACTTACAGCTCACATTAAATTGTGTATAAGGGCCCCTGTAAAGTTTAAACCTATATTTTTTCTCATGATTTAAATTGTGGTCTGGTTTCATTTTTATAAATATTTAAATGTCTCCACATTTTAAATAACAGTTCAGTCAAATACTACACATTGTTGTAAATACCCTTTTCTCAACAGCATTTGTGGAATCTTATAAGGTGACACTTAACCATCCACATTTAACTTTTTCTAGATATGCTGGGGTTTCCACCTATATTTTTGTTCTTTGTTTGTAGGTAAATGTATAGCAAGATCACAATCTGCACAATTTCAACTGTTCAAAGAACAATCATTTCCAAAATTGCTATGATAAAATGAAGATTTGTGCAAAATTTGTGATTTTTGCTTGCAGGTTTCATTCCTTCCAGAATTTTGCATTTTGTTTGATCAGATAACTTCTACATGTAACTAGTATATTATAAGGGATATATACATACACTTTTTACTGACAACGTTCACACAAAAACGCAAATAGTCAAATTGATTAATTTATTCACTAATCTTGTTGAGTCATATCATAAAATTGTTTGTTACAGTAATTACAGTAAATCAACTATTATTTTCAAATTGACAGTATAGAAAAATTTACTTAGATATATTTTGGCAAGTACCAATAAATACAATTTGCTCAAATGTTCAAGTTAGATTTGAAATGTTAAAGTTTTTGAATATAAATAAAATGTTCATTTGTCTTTTAAAAATAGTGATTAATGGTGATAACTATAATCCAATTTTGATTGTTTTTCTTTAGAGGTAAAGAGTTTTCCTGCTTGTATAATGACTAATAATGACAACATATTTAATTTCAATTTCTCTGGCTTTTGAAACAAATAACTGATTTAAAAACAATTTGATACAGTGTAGTCCGATGTGGTTCATTTGAATGTCAGTTTGAGTATCCCTTTCCTTTCTTGTGATGCATGCAGTTTGAATGGACGTCATTATTCTCTGTTCTCACTGAAACGCCTGATCCATTCTGCAGGTACAATCTTTTTCTTCTCACTGAAATGCCTGATCCATTCTGCAGGTACAATCATTTCCTCCTAACTGAACTGCCCGATCTGTTCTGCAGGTACAATCTTTTTCTCCTCACTGAACTGCCTGATCCGTTCTGCAGGTACACCAATCATGTGGGTCAATACTCCCTCTTAGTTACAGCTGGACTATCACTTTATATGAGTAAATATTTTTAGCACCAATATCATTACCAGATTCAATGTCATCACAGTCATACCTTATATGGCAAACATTTCTCTTTCATTTTTGAATGAGCCCTCTGATTTTCTGACATTTCTTAATATATTTTAGAGTGTAAACTTGACTTCTGTTCACTTTATTCCTTGCTAATTCCATTCCTTTTTACTCTAGTTTGCTTTTCAAAAGCATGACTGTTATGGCATTAAAACTGTGAGTTGTTTAACTCCGAACTTCAGTTATATCTGTATGGGTGGTCTATAGGGTCCAGTTTTGGAGAATATTTTCTCCCACCATGTGACTTAGAGAATCGTCGAGGATCAGGGAGTTCATCTCGCCCATACCTTTCATGGAAGCCATTGTCTGACCACTGAAAACAAACATAATTTTGTACTTTATCATAAAAGGTTACATCTCAAAATCTGCACATTTTTGATGTTGACACAATAAATTGATGCAATACTGAATCTTTGCTATTTATCAAACTACATACAGGCCCATTGCCAGGATTTGCCAAGGGGGGTTCACTTTTGGAAAAATTCCAGGCAGTGTGTCGGATAAGCGGTTGCCATTCGCCAAATGCCATCAGAAAATACATCTGGCGAACAGTTTTAATGGAGCACTTGCCATAGTGGCGATCTGGGATCAAATCAGACTTGAAAACCCGAAGATAATGGCATATTTCTGCCGAGGAACTCACCGAGATCGAAAATCCAGAACATCCGGATATTCCTTTTTGATCGATCCCGAAACGTTTTCTATCGTGGATTCTGATTGGCCGTGCTCTCGACTTCTTTATTCGAGAGTTCTGATTGGTCGAAGAGATCATATATATGCGCATAAAAACTGCGCAGAAGATATCGCCGAAAAAATCTTTTTAAACTCGGGACATTTCCTTCTTCAATCATCAAAATATTGGTTTAGTATAATGTAGAAAGCACCAAATGATAGATATTTATCGTGATGATGCACTGAATTACAAAATGTGTCACTTTTTCCGCATTTTAGTGTAAGTAATGATGAAGTACTCTATTATCGCCCACTGATTTCTTTCGGAAAATATTTTTTCTGTGTGTTCGGTAATCAAGGAGGATTGGCTCCCAGAATCGAAGTCGATATTTTCCAACAATGAAAACGCCGAGATGTCGTTATTTTCTGAAATTATAACCGATTATAAATTCAAAATAAACAGTTCAAAAGATTCGAACCAATATCTCAATCATTTCCTGTGAGTTTTGGAATTTTTCGTTAGGAAATAAGACCAAAATTTACGATTCAAATGTTGAAGTGAACAAAATGGCGGCTGTTGGAATTCAAATTTTGTAGCACGACATGCCCATATATGGGACAGAATATCGATGTTGCACTCTGGGAGCCAATCCTCCTTGTTCGGTAATAATACTTGGTTATTCCTTGATTTTTCTTGAACTTTGTGAAGCGGGGTGAATGGTTATTAGGGGGTCGGCGCTAAAAACGGCATTTACTGTTACTAAGCAACGTGTATTTTTGTTCTTCATTAATTTTTCTGTGTAGATCTATATATAGGGCCTAAAATTTGACTTTTATGAGGAATATCATGCTCAGCTTGCACAAAAGAGGTTCTAAATATCAATAATTTTCTGGAGGGGGAATGCTACCACCCCCCTCCCCCAGTCCCTGATACATTTTTAATCATCATCATATCATAGTGTTATTATTAGGGAATTAAATGATACTTTGATATAGTTGGATGCACAAGTTTGACAAATTGCAGATTCTTTACCTTTTTAGATAAAATAAATGATTTTCGTAAAAATTTGCGATGTTAGCGTAATTTTATACTGGCTAGTGAAAAATCTGTTTGGCCAGTGGTATCTGAAATCCAGTGGCCAAAATGGCTACCAGAAAAAAATCCTTATCTGACACACTGCCAGGGGGTTAACTTGTGACAAATTTGGTCCAAAAATGGCCAAAATCACTTAAAAAGTGCTCAGAATGGTGAAAAACTGCATGATTTTGAAAGATTTTTTGGCCAGGGGGGGGGTTCACTCTTACCCCCCTGGCTACGGGCCTGACATATACAGAAAAGATATTCACAAAAATAACTAGCAATAGGTACATCACTCATATGAAAGAACGGGGACAGTGGTTTGAACAACAAGGAGGTTACAAAGAAAAATATGCAACAGCAGATAATATTTTTGTTTTACAATCATTAATTCAAAAGTATGTATCAAAGAAGAAAGGACGTTTATACTGTCTATTTGTTGATTTTTCGAAAGCGTATGATTGTATCCAGCACGATATTTTATAGTATGTTTTAATAAAAAATGGGTTTCATGGAAAAAGTCTGAAAGTTCTCAGACACATGTACAGTCAATTACAATCATGTGTTATGACAGAAAATTTTGATCTGACTGAAAATTTTGATTGTTCTATTGGCTGTCGGCAGGGCTGTATGCTCAGTCCGACAGCATTTGTCATATTTCTAAATGAATATATAAAAATGTGTCAAAACTTAGAAGGCATTTTTGTAGATGAGAGTTTGCCAAATATTTCTGTAATGCTCTATGCAGATGACCTTGTTCATGTAGCTGACACTGTACCTAGGTTACAGAGACAATTAAATTGTCTATCAAGGTTTTGTAAACAGTATGGAATGAAAGTAAATATGTCGAAAACAAAAATAATGGTATTTAGAAGAGGAGGTTACCTTAAAGAAACTGAAAAATGGTATTTTAACAATGAAAGAGTAGAAACAATCAATGGTTACAAATATTTAGGTATCATGTTTACACCAAAGTTAAAGTGGTCTGGTGCAACGGAATTGCTTGCTGCTCAAGCTAGAAAATCATGTAATATGCTTAAGGTAATGTTCAAAAAATGTTCAACTATTGAGCCAAGTGTTGCATTCAAACTTTTTGACAGTATGGTAACACCAATTTTGCTGTATGGGTCAGAAATTTGGGGCTATTATAATGTAAACTCAATTGAAAAGGTCCAAATAAATTTTTGTAAATTTTTATTGAAGTTAAGGGATAATACTCCAAATGCCACAGTACTAGGTGAAGTAGGGAGATACCCTATGGAAATACTTTATAAAGCAAGATGTATCAAATTTTGGTTAAAAATTATAATGATGCAAGATACAAGATATCCTAAGCGTGTTTACAGTATGCTATATAATCTAGATGGAGCAGGCAGAGTAACCTGGGCAACAAAAATTAAAGAGGTATTGAACAATCTAGGTTTTGGATATGTGTGGTTAGCTCAAGGAGCTAGTTGGAAATGAAAATTTATTTTTGTTACATTTTAAGCAAAGATTAAAAGACTGTGCATATCAAAATTGGTTAACCAGCACACAAAACTCAGCAAAGCTCCAGCATTATTGTATTTATAAGACTAAGTTAGAATGTGAAAAATATTTATCTTGTATTAAACATTTCAAGCATAGAAAAGCATTAACACAATTTAGATGTGGAGGTCATAACCTGCAAATTGAGGTAGGACGATGGGAAAATATTCCAAGAGAGCTACGTCTTTGTAAATACTGTTTAACAAATGATAAAAACATTGTAGAAGATGAATTCCATTTTATCATAGAATGCCCATTGTATGAGTTTTTAAGGAATAACTACCTATCAACTCTTGTTCATTATAATATAAATGAATTTTATAAATTAATGTCATCAAACAATGAAGAAATAATTTGTAGTTTTGCATGTTTTCTTTATCATAGTTTCAAATTAAGATCATTATTTCTATCAGATCTTGAATAATCATAAAAGTAAGTAATATTCATGATGCCATCTATAATATGTGTACTGTATACTAACTAAAATGTATATGGGCCTAAGGCCTTAAATATATGAAATAAATACTATACTATTAAATGTATTGTATGATTTTAGTTTTACAATAATTCAGACATCAGACACACAACAATACAAAAAAAGATATCCCATAATGCATATTCAACAGCAGACGTGACATAAACCTACGCTGTTATTATCAGGTCTCTCCCTGACCCCATGCTGTGCCTCAGTCAGCCTCAACTGCAGATCCACTTTCTCCTTGCCCCACTTGCGGGAATTCTCTGTCAACTGAAAGTTTAGATGGTATTTGAGTGGAATGACCATATTATGATTATGAGGTAGCTTTTAACTGCTAAAAACAGGGGAATCCTCAGCTATGCATTTACTTTAACAAGAGAGTTCAATGTTTCTACCATTAATTTTCCTGTTTTTTTAATAAATCTGTTCAATTAAATGTAAATCTGTTAAACTGTTCAAATGAATGCAGGTATTTCAAATTATTAGAAGATTATGCAGGGTTGAGCCTATTCGATTATTGCCCTCCAACAATGTTCATGAAGAAAGTGAACTTTTATCACTACATGTATCCTTTGAGGAATATTGAACCTGCTTCTATTTTACAATTGTGATCTTTATTAATAATTTTTCCAGTTGTTTTCATCCATTTTGTCAATTTCTTCGTCTCGACCATTATGGAATTCGTAAAAATGATTTCAATAAATTTCTTACTAACCTGCTTTTCTAAAGAGAGGATCCGGCCCTCTGCCTTTTCCAAAGTTTCATACAGTTGTAACTTTTCCTTATCATCATCAGGCAGAGACCCCTGGTGGTGGCGAGAATCTTGCAATTCATGACGCAACCTCCGATTTTCTTCCACTAAAGCATCATTAGTTGAAGAACTGTCTGTATTTTTTAGTTTATTATTAGCGTGCATAATTTTCTCCATTTTTTCAATGACCTTTTCTTGCTTTTTACAAGCGTCCTCTAATTGTTTAACACGTCCCATTCGTGACTGCAATTTTTGGATGACTTCTTGTTGGGCTTTCTGGCCCTGTTGAGCACTAAGATACTCCTTCTCTGCTTCATTCTTCTGAAAGTTCAGTTTCATATTTTTACTTATCAAATTACATTGTAATGTATCATAACAAAATTACAAAGATTAACCACACCAAAATTAAAACTGATGAACCATACTAAGAAATTTTGAACCATTCCATATTACAAAGTGATGAACAATACAAAAATTGCATATAAATGGATGTAGGGCTAGAATTGCAAAGTGAGAAACCATACCAAAACCATACCAAAATAACCATACCAAAATAACAAAGTGATGAACTAAACCAAACCAAACAAGTTCTGCTTACTTTGATGAGTTCATTCTGGAGTTTCTGCAATCTGTCCTTGTATTCCTGCATTTCCCTATTTTCCCTGGACACTCTTTGTTTCAACACAACTGGAAAAAATAAAATTGATTTCGTAAAAACAAGGCATTAACACGTAAAATGTCACCACCTGCCATTTGTTACAGACACTGACTGCCAAATGCTGTTAGAGATACCAAACACAAACCACCAAATGCCAAACAACAACTGCTAAACATCAGCCACAAAAAATTTAGAGACTACATGTAAGGCCACTTCTTCTGATGACAAAAAATTGAAATCAGTTGATATTAATGATCCTCCATTTTGTGTTAAAGGATTTGACATAATGCACTTCTGCATGTTGATCAAAACAGTTGCTGTTGTTAAAATGCTAATTCATTTCACCCAGTTGTCAGTCCCAGTTTTATTAATTCCTATACATATCAGACAAATCAGATATTTCATGGAGGTTCATTTCAACCTGTGTCCATTACATCAAGTTTCTTTCCATACACTCATCATATTTTTCATAAAGCTCAGCTTTTTATTCTTGGATGAATCCAGTTAATATTCTATGTCAATTGTCAAAATATTGAGCAAATATACATCTTCCATATTACCCCGCCTCTCCCTTTGTGTTATGCATAGAATCTGTTTCCATACACTCACCATATCTTTCAGCCAATTCAGGCTTTGTTAAGTCATCCATATCAGAGGAATCAAGCAAGTATCTCCTAGAATCCTCATAGTGAGCAATATCTCTCCTAAGCTTACTATTCTCAAAGTCTTTCTCGCGTAGCTCTTCACGTAATGTTAAGATATCTTGACCCATTTTCTGGACAGCTGTGCGGTAGTTTTCAAGCTCTCTCATCTGGTGTTCTATCAGGCTAAGAGTTGTGCGATCAAGGTCATCTGGTAATCTGAAATATATAAGGGAGAATAAGACGTATGGGGGAGCTTCTCCTGAAGAAGAAAATAATGAATAATGGCTTATTTGTTGCTATCCTTAAGCCCAGAAGATAGTTGTGATTATATTTTAATCTGATTTACTCGTGACACACATGTAGCTAGGCAAGGTGTTTCTGTAACTACATTCCGTTATATAACCAATAAAACATTTTTTTGTATGGTTGTCAAGGTGATGGTTGTCAAGGTTCTCACAGATTGAAATTGATGCTTTGCCAACTTGACCCTTGGAAAAAGTTTATTGAAAATATGTTCTTTTAGTGATTTTGTATCTTTTAGGTGATTTTGTAAGGGGGGAGAGTTCCCAACTCCCCTGAAAAAAAGTGAACCTCTCGTGGCAAATCCTGGCTACAGGCTTTCTTACCTTTGGTTTGTGTTGACATGCTGTGGAGCTGCACTTGGACCAGCAGGCTCTCTGTGTCCTGTAGCATGTAAGCTTGTGTTCCCACTAGGCAGGTCCCTGCCTGGAGGCCTCCCTTTACCATCTTTATCAACAAAGATGTATTTGTACTCAGGAAGGATATTCTCCATGGCATCTGGGGGTGGGAGGCCAGGAACTCCGTTCTGTGCTTGGTTCTCTGGAGGCCCAACCAGCTGAAAATATATGAAGAAAATAATCAGATTGACCTTCAAAATAGGATTTTTTATGTATGACAAGGATCTAATAGGCTTGTGTGTGGGTCACTATCATTATTTGCTTCAGACTAATGTCCGGCTACAAATAGGCTACAAAACAAAAGTGTTCTACCCAGGATTTTTGTGTGAGGGATGTTGTTGTTTTTTAGTGCAACATGTTAGAGTTTTGTGACTTTTTAATTTAGGATTTTCTATTTTTATGCAACTTTTTTTAAATTTCCTTTTTTGGTTCATTTTTTGGGATTTCCTTATCTTTTCGTGTAGCATTTTACGAGGCATATAGAATTGATGGAGGGGAGCTTTTGGTGTAATGAAATATATGGAAGCGCTGCATCTCAGATATTTCAATGTGAAGAAAACCATGAATTGTATTTACTCTAGTGCAGTACCACCCCATTCAGTAAAACCTGTGTACGTGGAACATCCTTGGGATCACAAAAAGTGCTCTACATACACATAAGAGGAGCTCTACTTATAGATTCATTAACATAATATAGTGAATAAATTATAGAACTTAACTGTTCAACTTTCAAGGACTTCAACTATATTAAGTTGGCAGAAAATGAAATCATTATTAATGAATATCTAGATTCCTCAAGCAACTGAGTGTGAACTAATATATCTTGAAGAGTTGGCAAATCAATAGTACTTGTGAATGCCTAGTAATGAATAAGTGACCAAGAAATAAATAATTCAGGAACAATATCTCAGTCAAACGAGCCATTGTTAAAACAGATGTAATGCAATAATGGATTCAGTACTAGGGTTGTGCCAAAGATGTTTTTATTGTAACATAGTAAAGTGAAACCTGTCAAATGGAACCCTTATCTGCATGGAGCATTTTAAAAAGAAACTCAGTTTTTACATATTGGTACACTCTCTCTGTATACACTCTCTCTGTATACACTTTCTCTGTATACACTCTCCCTGTATACAGTCTCTCTGTATACAATCTCTCTGTATACACTCTCTCTGTATTCACTCTCTCTGTATACACTCTCTCTGTTATATACTCTCTCTGAATACACTCTCTCTGTATACACTCTCTCTGTATACACTGTCTCTGTATACACTTTCTCTGTATACACTCTCTCTGTATACACTCTCTCTGTAACACTCTCTCTGTATACACTCTCTCTGTAACACTCTCTCTGTATACACTCTCTCTACTCTATGTATACACTCTCTCTACTCTCTCTGTATACACTCTCTCTACTCTATGTATACACTCTCTCTACTCTATGTATACACTCTCTCTACTCTCTCTGTATACACTCTCTCTACTCTCTGTATACACTCTCTCTACTCTCTCTGTATACACTCTCTCTACTCTATGTATACACTCTCTCTACTCTATGTATACAATCTCTCTACTCTCTCTGTATACACTCTCTCTACTCTCTGTATACACTCTCTCTACTCTATGTATACACTCTCTCTACTCTCTCTGTATACACTCTCTCTACTCTATGTATACACTCTCTCTACTCTATGTATATACTCTCTCTACTCTCTCTGTATACACTCCCTCTACTCTATGTATAAACTCTCTCTACTCTATGTATACACTCTCTCTACTCTCTCTGTATACACTCTCTCAGTATACACTCTCTCTACTCTCTATGTATACACTCTCTCTACTCTATGTATACACTCTCTCCACTCTCTCAGTATACACTCTCTCTACTCTCTATGTATACACTCTCTCTACTCTATGTATACACTCTCTCTACTCTCTTTGTATACACTCTCTCAGTATACACTCTCTCTACTCTCTATGTATACACTCTCTCTGTATACATGTTACAAGACAATTATGACCAGTTAGTGAAACCTTTTCATTTTCAGGTTTTCCTGTACTCTGGAAAGTCAACACTTAACAAAGAATTAACATGCAAAATGTCACAAAAATGTTACAGATGTCGACTTCTACCACTAAATGCTGCAAATTGTCCAAAAATTGTCCATTGATATGAAAACTGGTAAAACCCTGTCATATATGATAATGCTGTTCAAATTGAGAGGTGTTTACATACACAGGTTCTGCTGTTGAAATATACTTCAGAAAATATGTTCATAAATGCTGGATTATATCAAACACTCTTATCTTATCTAAAACATGAACTTGATATTTGTAAATATGAGGTACTGAATATCAAACAGTACAGTTGTAGATCACATAATATCAATAGCACAATAACATACTGTGGTACCCCTGTTAACTATATGTTCAGGTGTATAGTCAGGATCCAATACTAATGAGGCAATAAAAATAGTGAAACTTCAATGTAGCCTAATAAGTTTGTTATAATACTCACTGAAAAAAATTCTTTAAAATATTGTAAAAAATTGTAAAATACAAAAAATCAAATTTCTGTAAAATTTAGCGAGACGACTTTTGAGAGCATCATAGATAAACATTAATTGTATGTTAATCTCTGCAAGCATATCATGTGACATACACCTCCGACACACCAATAGTACAGTAATATCATTAATAATTAACTTAATTAATTAACTAATTGATTAGTAAGATAACAAGGCATATTGGAGCACCTGTCATAATAGTATCAAAAACATGCAGTTAATGAACAGTTAATTAAAATCCATTTCAAAATGACATTCCTCATTTCTCATAATATAAGACAGGAAACAATTGTAGAAGTAGCACAATGGTAGAAGTCAAAATACAATTAACAATTTCAAGTGTTATGGCACTATTCAAGTTTAGACAAAAAAATATCAGCTATGCAGTAAAAGCAGTGAATTTTATTACTAGTATATGATAATGTATGTTATTATGTTACAAAACACAATCTTTGATATTATGGCTTGTTCACATGTTAACATAAAGTCATTAAAATACACACAAAATCAAGAAAAAGTGAATAGAAATTTGTTAAAAAAAATCATGTTATTCCTCAAGTTCACACATTTCCCTTACCTCTGTCGTGAATGGCCTGTAATATAAAGTAGCCATTTTAGTTCCTTCAACTTTTACAAATCCTCAAAACTTCCCATTACAAATCTCATATTATTGTCCAAACGTTTACTCCAAAGTGGATATATCACCATATTTGTTTCACTCCATAGTTAAAACTTGAGGACTTGTATAAAAATCCTACTTCTGTTAGAAAACCTATGTTCTATTTTGAGCTCATTGTTAACACAGTTCACTTTTATTTACTTAAGTTCTTTTGTATTTCTAACATTTTTCTACTCCACAATAGACTTCAGTTGGCAAATAATTTTCTGTTTATCCAATCAGTCCAATACATGGTTACAATCAATGTACAAAGGAGGTACTACAATACCAAGAGGTTTGTTCACATTGATATATTTTAAGCCAATCTGATTTGTTGAAATTAATCATGTGATTACTAAAAGGAAATTTAGCCTTATGGGATATCACTTTCTTTGTGATATCTACTTGTAAGCTATTTACTTGTCAAAATAAGTTTGATTGGCTGTAAAATCAATAACTTAGGTGCATCTTATGAATTATGGATAGATAATCTGATCAAGGCATTTTATTACACGAAGACATGCAATGTTTTCTTCATGGAACTCTTGTTGTTATTATCATCTTTGCAAATCCCTACCAATGCAGGCCCATAGCCCGGGGGTTTCACTCCAATATACCTCATAATATCTATGTGCCACGCCAAAGACCCCATTTTTGAGCATTTTTTCATGTCACTTTCCCTTCAAGATTGAAAGTTTCCATGTATACTTCCTCTCAGACTTATGAAAGGGAGTATATTTCCTGAAATATTGGTATATTAACTACAAAATCCACATTTTTACCAACTAATTTTACCAATTTATTACCATTTTTTAGAAAATTGATTTTGACTTAAAAAAGGCTCTCTCCAACAAATTTTCCATGTTTTTTCCTTTCAGTTTGGCCATGTTCCATGGTTTATGCCTAAAGCCAAAATTGCCTGTGCTGCACATACCTACCCAAATTATTTAGAGTGAACCCCCCAGAGCCCATAGCAAGCTTTTGCTTTTGGGGTTCACTTTTAAAAATTCCAAGTGGGTTCACTTTCTACAATTTTGTCCCAAAAATGACTTAAAAAGTGCTCAAAATGTTGAACACCTGCATGACCTGCGCTCAAACCCATCAAACCCCCATCCCTGGCTACTATCTACTATTACCCATTTAAGCCTGATAGCAGGCTTTATGATTTCAGCACTCGGGTGCACTTAAATCAAAAATACCTTGCCCCCTTTTTTATATGAGGTCCCAATAATAAATCCTTTTTAGAATAGAAGGCATGAATATTGGGTGTGTATTAATAAAATAATATGTTTAATAAATACAGGGTGTCCCAAAATGGTCTATTTTTCTTCATAGATGACTGAGCAATGAGGGATTTGTGCCACTTTCAGCCAAGTCAATTCACTATCATAACAAAATGATAAGTAACAAAAAATATCAGGATATTACTCTTTTACTCAATTATTCCAATTAAAGTTACACATATCATATTTATAACACCTTTTAAATTCCAATGTCCGTTCAAAGTTGTTTTAACCCCAGTGTCCTTCAATATGAACCCCATTCCTTTCAATGCAAATGTCTGCCCGAGATCTCATCGCACATACTGCATGCATCACTGATGATGTCGCTCTGTCCCCTAAGAACCTCCACTGCTGCAACAATCCTGGTCCTTGGATCATCAACGTCTCTTGGTGATGTTTTGTAGGTTTTATCCTTGAGATTACCCCAAATAACCATCCTGGCATAGTCATTTCAATCCCTCATTGTTTAGTCATTCATTAATGAAAAGTGGCACAAAACCCATTTCTGGCATGGTCACTTAAATCCCTAAGAACTCAGTCATTCGTGAAGTAAAATAGACAACTTAGGTATCATGAAAAAGAAAATATCATAACCTATCGGATGGTAGCTGTCAAATTTTCCTAATATTATTCATCTTTGAGAAATAAGCAATTTAATCTCAATTTCCTTTTTTGGGACACCCTGTATATAGAAATATATTATTATTTTCAAATTCAGGTGAAAAGGCAGTCTTCGACTAATAAATAATTTAAAAAAACTGTAAGATTTTCATGCCTCAAGCCTGGCTACACCTGCAAGTCCTGAAAACAAGCAAAAGTACAATAATTCAACAATATAATATTGACTATCAGATTATAAGGTGAACTTACATTGTTTCTCCGATGTAACACTGGCTGTTTAAAAAACTTCACTCCTGGGGTTAACGATCGAATGATATCATCCTCTGTGGGATGACTACCCCAAGGGTCTTCCCGGTGTAAGTGTCCATCTATTATTTGATCAATCAAGGCACTGTCGCGAAGATCAGTGGAAACGGAGCGATAGAAGAAATCCATTGGATCGCTCGGATTGAGAGAGAGCTTTGGGATGGACTCTAAATTGCTCAGAGCTTGAATATGATCTGGTTGCTTAAAATACAAAAATCAAAGACATTACTATCGAGATACGTTAAATATCTTATTATACAGTATGTTGTCGAGTGGTTTCATTGTTATTTCTTATAAAATCATTGGAAATTATAATTTCCACATGGAAACAAACTGTCTTCAGATTTTTATTTTTGGATACCATCTATAACCCCCCCCCCCCAACTAAATCCCATTCTCACCCTGACAGAAGTAGCGTTCACTAACCTGTGATATGAGAAGGCGTAAAACAAGGTTAAACATTGGAGCTTTCCCATCATCACATTTCAGCTGAGTTCCCTGGAATAACAAGATCTTTGGTTCATCAGTTAATATGGTTTTCAGGGATTGGTTTTGTTCCTCCTCAAGTGTTAATCTTCTGATTTCTGTGTATATTGCAGTAGATTCTATTGACTCAATCTCAGTAGATATTTTAGACTTGATTTCTCAACTTAATATTTGTTTGAAATAGTTTGAAAACAAAAAGTTCACTCACTCAATTTGTAAGTATGTTTTTATTAAAGGGGTCATTTGTTTTTATGTGTAGCATTTAGATGGATTGATTTCATAGTTACTTTTCAAGCCTATTCACCCCTGTCCTTATAAACAAGAAAAAACATAAAAATATAAAGAAATCCAGATCCTGTTGCGGAGGTTTCACTAGAATTTCTCACAACAGGCTAAATAGATGAAAACAACAAACAAAATTAATGGAAATCATAAATTTAACATGGAAAAGTTGAAAAGTCCCTAAAAACAACAGGTAATTTTGTGAAAACAACTGGTGAAAATCACCTGTTGCATGCTACAAATGACATCCCCCTTTTGTTGTAACAGTGTACATTGCACCCTGAAAGCCCATCTCCATGTATTTGGTTTAATGTGAAACAATCTGACGAAATATCAAATAAAATAAAATAACGTAATCAAATAGAATAATCATGTTGATATTAAATAATAATAATAATAAAAAGTATTGTCATGTTCTTAGAAAAAACATACAGTAGTGTTCAAGGGCTGATCCAAAAATTTTGCAACATTTTGAATATCTCATATTTGACTACATCGTTGGGTATAACTCCACTGTACCAACTTACCTGCATAGGGATGTCTTCTAGTTGTACTCCCATACTACATTTATCAGAAGATAAAAACTTGTATGCCACTGGGTCTAAATTCACTGTTGAGAAACCCACAAATTCTTGAAGACGCCAGCCAGAATCTACATGTACATGTATAAAAGAATAACAGTTTTTAAACATGTACACATGTATCACAGATTTAGCAATAAAAAAAGAATGAAGGAATCTGCAGAGTGCTAAATATTTCCAGAACAACATAATCATTAGCATTTGACAAATTAATGCAACAATTGTAAACAAAGTGTAACGATTCGTTACAAAAGTGTCACGATTTGTTACAACCTCTACCCTGTGTGCAGAGTGTAGTTATAAACTATCTTCTGCCTAGGAAAGACTATATTACAGCCGAGTTTAGCAGACCTGCCCCAAGGACCCATGCCCGTGACAGTCCGGGTCATAAATCATTTTAAACCTACCACGCTGATCTTCTGTCAACCAATCAGCGATTTGGAAGGAACACATGCTAAATGCTTGCTCATTAACTATGTAATGACGTCAGAAGACAAACTCTGAATGGCTCATTGAGTTCAGAGATTTATTGTAAACTGAAAGAGTGATGACGAAGCTCTCTTTTAAGAAGCGAAAATAAACGAATGTAAAGGGTATTCAACCTCAAAAACACTAATCAAAAGAAAAAGGTGGCTTACAATAGGTCACCACAATTTGGAAGTGACAATAATTAAAACATATAAAATCACCTGCAAGATTGCGTGTGTAGAACTCCAAGATAATTCCCGCACCAGGGGTGAACAGAGTAGCTTTGTCCCTGGGATGAGAGAATAGGAAGTTGTGGTCCCACTGGGGTCTATCCTGGGGGTCACCAGGGAGAGTAACCTGTGGGTACCCCTGGGAATGCTGGAGGGGGACAGTAAATGATGACGGGTGGGGATGGGGGAACACAACCGTCGTCATAATAAGACCACATCTAACTGAATGGGACTTTGCATCGTGTACACCATCCACGCTGAAACGAAGTCAGTTCAAATTTCAAAAACAAGAAAATTTTGGTATTTGAAAGAAAAAGGTTGTGTCTAATGAACTGGAAATTCCTAATTACTCCATATAATAATAATTATAGTATATTATACAAATGTACATCTAATTTTATAGTTAAGAACACTTATGAACACTTTGCACATATAACTACTTTTTTAAGATTTACTAATTGTTCTATTTTTTCATACGAAAATCAACCTATATTTTATAGAGTAATAAAATGTACTTCTAAAAATACTCTAACATTTAATCAATGCTTGAACATATACATTGTATACAATAAAATATTTGAATTAATATTTCATACCTTTGTGTATTGACATCTGACACAACCCTTGCTACAGTAACTATGGGACCTACAGGGTGGGCTAACTGTCTGTGAACACCCTGTATTAGTACCTCCAGGCCAGTATAATAGGGGCAGGTGGCGTCTATAGGTAGCTTGCTGGTTTTATGTCTCACAGAGATGTAAAGTCGAGTCGAACCCTAAAATAAATGAGTAACGAAAATTAAGGTGCGTGAAACAGTGTACAGTTAAACCTACATAAGCGGAACACCTTTTGTCTTGCTAAAAGGTTTCCAATTCATCTACCCTTTGCATTCGTTTGACTTTGCTTCTTAAAAGAGAGCTTCAATTTCAGTAACATGAGATATAGTTTAACTAGACTCTACACGCAGGGTACACTTCATCAGAGCTGTTCAACCTACATTGGTTTGCTCAAAGGACTCAGCACTGCAAATAGTTTGATTGACAGATCTTCTCCAGTATGAACTTGAACTACACTCCTGCCATCTTTATATCGACCTAAAGCTTAAACGTACAAAAAATTCTTACCTGTACACATTCTAAATGGTACTGATGAAAAGGCACAAGATAAGACATTGGTATCCTGTACTGAACCAACTCTTCATTTTCATCCTCTTCAGATATAGCCAGTACCAATGCTGAAACATATATGTAAAAGGCATTAACTTGCAAAATGTCACCACCTGCCATATATGTTACAGATGCCGAATGTCTATTGCCCACCAACCACCAAACACAATCCATAAAAAAGTTGGAGGTCCCAATTTTTGTGTGTTTGGGCTTTAAAATTGAAGAGCATATAGAGAACTACATTTAGAATAGAATAAAGAAACAATGTATCATTTAGCAACATAAGGAGTATACTGTGAGAGATGATACCCTTCTATTAGTCCCTTGTAGTACAAAACTTTTGCAAGGCAGATAAGTTAGATATCTCCCCAGGATTTTTTCTCAGGTGGGTGCAAAATTCTCATTTTCCCAATTCATCCCAAAATTGGTCAAAATATGCCAAACTTTCATGTTTTTTCTCATTTTCAAGTGGGTGCAAATGGATTTTCAGGTGGGTGCAAGCCTATTTTCAAAATCTGAGGTAGGTGCTGCGCCCACTTGCTTAATGCTGAGGAGATCACTGTAAGGTCTGAGTACCAGAATAAGCTGTTTACCTGAATATTTGTTATCAGTTGCTTCAAGTTCCAGAACGGCCTCCTCTTCCCATACAGGATGGTGAGTGGGGTGGGGAAGAAGTTGTGTTACTCGCCTTGGCTTGAAACTACTCTTTCTGTTGTTGTTCAGTTCAATACTCCTGTAAAATATTTTTCATATACATGTACATTAATATTTACACAACTGATATAATTTTAAAGTGAAGAAATGTGTACTAAATAAGTAATGATGGTTATTAAGAGTCTATCTAACATGATTAAAAGACTGGTAAAAACCAACACATTTTTCAATTACTAGGCTTTTCATACTGATTGCAGTTCCAACTTTTTATTGATATCTCTACTTACATTGCCATGTAGGGCAAAGGTGTTCTTCCTCTGAAGTCAGGCACATTTGAGGCACCATGGATAAGCACCGCTACCTCCTCATAGCCTTCCCTTGATACATGGCACCGTGGATTAATATTTCCTATCTTTTGGGACTTCAGAGAAACAGATGGCTGAAATAAAATACAAATCAGCTTATTCACTGAGATGATATATGGATAGGCAGATGTTCACATAAAAAAATTTTATCATTCAAGACATTCACTAAAATTATCCAGGGGTCCGTTTTTGGAAGTATCGTAACTTACGATTTGGTGGCGAGTCATTGTTCTTCAGTTTTCTCGGAATCTTAAGTTACGATCGTATCAAAAACGAACCCCTGAGACTTAACAATAGTAGTGCTTACTACACTCTGAAGAGGACTAAGAATACTGTTTTGTAGATGAGGTTCTTTACAAAATGCAAAATTGAAAAGGGTAACCACTCACCACAGGGTCTACGTTCCATGCATGGTCAAGTAATGTCTCCTCAGAAGGAGGCCCTCTTTCTGGAGATTGATTTTCAATGTTGGTTAAAGGGGGTGTCATTTTCCTGGGGGTCCTGGGGCTTTTAATTGGGGGTAGAGGAGAAGGTCTGTGGAACATCTTTGGGGATAAGCTCGGAACCAGGGGGGTAGCAGACTTGGGTGGGGTGCCAACCCTGGGAGTTTGCTCTTGGGGCATGGAGCTGGGGCGATCATCATGGGGGTGAGGATTTACAGGAGTTTGGGGGTTGGAGTCAAGTTTCTCATCAGGGGATTGGGCTGCTGTGCTTGGTTGGGCCTCAGTTTCATCTTTGTTAGGTATTTGTAATTCATCCTCCTAAAAACATATTTTACAATTTTTATTGCTACTTTGAAATGATCAGGTATACCATGGGCTTTCAACTAGGCTGGCTGTCCATTCTAACACACATTTGACTGTTGGCTTTATTTCTTCAGGAGATAGTTGGACAGTTGGCTCTTACCTAAAACATCAGCGAAGTTGAGTGGGGACATAAATGAAATCCAACACTTGCAATATTACATTGACGTAGCATGTGACTGTTTCAAAAATATGATAACATCATTTTATCCATGTACAGTGTACACTTTCTTTTGAAGACCCAAATTTCTAGAAAATCTGCGTATGATAACAAATAATATTTACCTCTGGTGTCTCTTGAGCCGTGATATCAAGTAATGATGCTGTATATTTTATGCGTCCCACATGGGCGGCCACAGCTTTGTTTTCAGAAAGGACGTGGAGTAGCTGGAGTATACTAGTGTAGCTATACAAGTTCTGGCCTAAATGGAAAACAGTTGGAATTAAAACTTGTACCTTTGGTACCTCTAAATTTAAGTGTTCCATTTGCGAGGTGTTTCACTAATACTAATAACAGAAGTGTTTCACAGTTTTACTTGAATCAATTACATCACTTATTTTAATGGAAATATATAGTTTGCATTCTTTATTGTATATGCAAGGATTCACTCTATGTCCACGCCTTTTTGAATAAGCTATTACTTAAAATATACAGGGTGTCCATAAAGAATCTTTATACTTCACTCAGAGATTTTATGAACACCCTGTATTTTGAAATCCATCGTTTAAAAAGATCTGAATATCAACTTCAGGCATTAGTACCAAAGCTGTGTCTCTCTTGCCAGCCCTAATAAGGAGGTATAAGTTAAGAATTCTTATTGACAAACCTGGTTTAGCATCATAGTTTGGTTTTGGTGGATGCTTCCTTGGGTAGATAACGAATGTTGCCTCACCCAGTTTGGGGACCCCTAGGTGTTCCATCTGACCCCCTTCTCTGTGATACGCCTCCACCAACAATATTGTTGTATGTCCATCTGATAGGCCTCCTAGAAAAACATTTCTACATTTTTGGATTGCTTTAAGACAAGTACATGTACTTGAAAGAAGTCTGTTCAATTGTAAAATCTCAAAATTTCGATTTTAGGTGCTATGTTTGAAAACAGAATTCCTAATCTGCCTCCTACAAATGTTCTCAGCATCAATATCAAGGAGACAACGTTAGAACTTTTCTGAAGAATCATAATAAATATGAAACGTGTTAATTCCCTCATGGGCTTTATTTGCCTGAAGGTATTTACGGTTGTTGTCAGCAAATGTCAAGAAAGTTTTTTGCATCACACTGCGAGCAAAGTGAGCCCCAAAAAAGGGGGTTATGGGGGCTCACCCGAAGAAATCATTTAAAGCTTACATACATGTCATTCAAACTATAATTTGTTTTCAAAAAATTAAAAAAAAATTGGTTTTTCATTGAACCCATTCATGACTCAACTAACCTGCTGGTAATTTCATTTTCACCTCTCGTTCTGTCAGCTCACACACCTCACCCTCTGCCCCTTGCAGAATATCCCCTGTAAAACACTCAGAGCCATCTATGAATGAGTCCCCCTTCTGACAGATTGTCACACCCAATTTTGATAATTCATCATCTGGTTCTGTTTTGATGGATACCTTGAGGAAGTATTTTCCCTCATTATTAAACAGAACATGGTTAATTTTGAATGTGAACTGAGTGGCCAGTTTGTCCATCCTTGAGGAGTCACTAATTTTCCATTCTAGTCAAACTAATGATTTGTGAAATTGTTAACATTTGTTTCCTTGCTTTTATTTTAACTGCATTAAATATTTTCTATGTCACTTTTTTATGTTCATTGTGGTTTCTTCACATAATTTCTGTAAATATCACAGAATTTGTATTGGTGATCTGTCCAAGTGATCTGTGTTATCATTTAAAGTGGAGCAACACAGTCATATTTTAATTTGTTGGGCTGATCCAACGTATCGGTGTATCTATAGCTTTCATCAGTCATACTCTGCTTGGATTTTGCAACAAGTGCCCATGCCCAAAGGCCATACCTGCAATATAAAAAAACAATCTGTTTATGTAGTTATAGTAAAAATTTAAATATAAAATGTACAAATATGAAAATATATAACTTTAATTTGGAAAACCAAAAATGCCCAAGTTTCTAATTTTCAGTATCTTATTCATTGATGTTCTAAAAATGCCCTTATTACAGATACAAATTTCTCCTTTACCGTATCACATTCCTTGAAAGAAGTATTTCCGTTGCTACAATAGCATATCTGTAACCAAAGAAACAAATGATTAATCACCTAATAACAACCAATGCCTTAATATTCCCCTAACGATATTTACACAACAGCATTTCAAGTTAAACATTAATCAAGCCTCCAATTTTCATTGATTCCTAGATAAAGATTTGCATTTTAACTTTACATGTATACACATTTTCAGTCTCCTCTCTATCTACATGTGATGTCAGGTTATGAAAATCAGTTATGATGTCATTTTATCCAGAGTCATGTAATATCAACTTCTGCATTGTATTTGCAGAGCTCTTGATGGTTTATAGGATTAATTATTCAAGTGTAATTTTATAAGTCAAAAAGATGGATGGATAATCTATTACTAATCAATAGTTAATGAGAATTATTTTTCCAGTGAGGTATTTAATTAGCCCTTTGCGAGGACATATGCGAGGTCAATGCTCTTCCATCAGCTCCATGCAGGGACCATTCTTACTATAACCCTCTTAATTGGCCCAATAATCAAATAGGTATTTTTGATATTTTTTTCATTCTTATTAAAGGGTGACCCCTTTTGACCTTATTTTAAAGTGACCCCCTTATTTTAAAGGGTGAGCCCTTTTGACCTTATTTTAAAGTGACCCCCTTATTTTAAAGGCTGACCCCTTTATCACGGGGTACCATCGAATAATTTTGGCAGCGTACCGGAGAACGACATTTTACTAAGAAATGGCAATAATTTAGCACAATATATTTTTTAAAAACATACGGGATTGTTCGAATGCGTATTTATTAATATATATGCTTTAAATCATATATTTTATTTTTTTAAATTATATAATTCAACTTATCTGCTCCGGTTACGTTCCCAGCTCTGGTTACGTTCCTAAGTAATATTTTTAAAACTTTTTTTTAATTAAACAAATCAGAGTCGTGTGAATCAGAAATAACAGAATTATTCAATAGTATAAGGACTATTCTGTACCTTTTTCAAAAGTCTATACTTAAATGTTGTAAAAAGTTATAATCGAAAAACCATCTTTCGGAGTAAAGTCCGACTGCACCGATTTCAATAACTTCGTACTTGATCAGAACTGGGTTCCAACAGAATTCCTACAAACTCATGAATGAAATAGCCATTGTATGGAATACTTACTTTTGTCAAAATCAAAGTAGAACTCTAGTTAAAAAATATATTGTGCTAAATTATTGCCATTTCTTAGTAAAATGTCGTTCTCCGGTACGTTGCCAAAATTATTCGATGGTACCCCGTGTTTATACCTTATTTTCTGAGAATATTAGAACTTTTACAAATTTTGGGTATTTATTTTCACTTTATTTATTTATTCATTTCAAATACACACAAAAAATAATACATGAAATGTGTGACACTTAATAAAGTGTATATTCCCAAAATTGAGTTACAATATACTACTTGACTTGTGTGTTGTCATACCAATTGAATGCAGTTGGGAACCTGCCTATGCATTCATCTGTATGAATGAAAGTATTAGTTTGTCACATCAAAATAGACCAAATGAGATAACATTTGGACAAAGTATGAGAAAAGTGTCCTACGAGGCTGTTCCTCACAGGTCAAACCATTTGACTCAAATTACACGAATGAATACAAACATACTTAGTTTAAACATTTTTTGAGCTAGAGCCTTTTTAATGTTAACATTTTAAACTTAAAATTTTTGTTTTTTATATTCTTGTTTCAGACCAGGCCTTTATTTGGAGATCTACCTTTAAGGCCCGTCATCTACTGTTAAAGGGAATCATAACAAAAAACATATATATATATAAATATTGGAGTTATAGATAACTCACCTACGTCTGCAGTCTAACCATTTATAATAATTTCCAGTGTAATATTCCTATTTTAGTTACTCATTCAAGCTGTACATAACCAACAACAAACTCAGCGAAACAGGCTAAGATGTTCAAATTATTTGGTTAACATTACAGGGTTTCATAAGCAGGGAGCAACAAGCAATTTCACCCCCTGTTGCTTTTACTAAAGTTTAAAAAATTGTAGCCATGTTAAAATTTTGTATTCAATAATATTTTGCCTGTTGTTTTAATTCATTTCAGCTGTTGTCAAAGTCCATATAAAACCTCTGCATTAAATCAATGAATTTTCAAAATTAAATATTGGCACTTAAAAACATACTTAAGATTTCTGGCCTTAACTTATCAGTAGCACTTTAGCGCTGACATTGTTAAACCTGTACTCAATTCTTCAGAACAACTTATTGAAATAATCTAGATCAAATATTTGATAAACATTTTTTGTAAATTATTCTGAATTGTGTTTTTATCAACTGCTGAAAGCATTGATATGTGAACTGACTGTGATTTATAAACAATCAAACTTTGGTTGCAATTGAAAAAATAAAATATGAAGAATGAAAAGTGAATGGAAACAATCAGACAATAGATATGAGTTCATTAACATGTACAGTCCCCAGCATTAAAGCAAGTGGGCGCAGCATTTTTAAAATAGGCTTGCACCCATCTGAAAGTAAATTTGCACCCACTTGAAAGTTGAAAAATCATAAAAAATAGGCATATTTTGACCAATTTTCTGAATTGTGAAAATGAGAATTTTGCACCCACCAATGAGAAAAAATCCTGGGGAGATCACTGATGTATATTATACAATTTCAAGTACATGTAAATAAGTTCTCTCTCAAAGTAAATTTCTGATACACTTCTACAAGTAATCGCAACTGATACATGTACTCAGAGACATGTATGAGCAAATTACAGATAATGAATTTAAACTATTTTCAGTATAGCCAAATCAAGTACACAAAGTTGGTAAGAATTGCATTTAAAGCGCAAACCGTGATAAACAGTGCATTAACAGAATTAAGTCAGGCCCGTAGCCAGGAATTCTAGGGGGAGGTCATTTTAAACAACCTTGCCCAAAAATGGCCAAAATCATTTTAAAAGTGCTCAGAATGGAGAAAACTGCATGATTTTGAAAGAATTTTTGGCTAGCTGGGTTCGCTCTAGTTCAACAAGTTAAACCTAGTCTGGGCCTTATTTCTTATCTGACATATCTTGTGGCCTGCCCTAGGTTTAACGTCCGTGTCTTTTCAGCCCTTAGTGCAAAAAAATTAATGGTGGCCTTTGCCAGCGCATGGAATTTCATGCGCGCCGGAAGTAATAACTGATAGTGAGAATTTGCAACAAATGAAAGCATAGCACAGAAGTTAAACCCAATCACGGCAACAAGAACATTCAGATAAATGAAAGCCGTGGTATTGGGTTTAACTTGTTGAACTTTACTTCCTGCGAAAGCTATGTGGATTTTGATATAATAGCTTTCCCACGGCGCACTTGGACAGCTGAATAATAGTGACCTTTAAAAATTAAATAATGAGATCCGCGGCTTACTTTTGGTCTCTAACTGTGTCTTACATCAGTATCATCAATCCGTGCAAGTATTGGAGCGCTGAAATACTTCTTTTCCGATCAAGAGTCAAGACTTGTAAATTGTTCATCGAGTGAATTTTTTTTCAACCCATTTCCAATATGGCAGTTTGCTAGGAGCGAGATACGCAACGAACGAAATGAATTTTGAGAATGAATAAGGTTCGGACAACCTCAGGAGATTTACGAAAATGTCCGAGCAGAAAACGCCATATTGGAATTTGGCAGAAAAAACATTCACTCGACTAACAATTACAAGTCTTGATCAAAAAGGAAGTACTTCAGCGCTCCAATACTTGCACGGCAGGATGATAATGATGTATGACATAGTTAGAGATCAAAAGGAAGCCGCGGATCAACTTAATTTGTGTTTCAAAGGTCACTCAAATTATTCAGCTATCCATTTCTCCGTTGGAGAGCCATACATGTAAGTTTCAAAATCTAAAATGGCTCTCAAAGTAAGTTGAACTAGGTTCACTCTAGGTGCATTCATGCACCCTCTGGGTCTCTGAGGATCGTGGTGGCCCCATCTAATGCAAGTCCATATGACAATCCAACGCATTAGAGGCGGTGTTCACAGTCTAGGTTCGCTCAAACCTCTCTGCTGAACCTACATGTAAGCTTACGGGCCTCAGTAAGTGCCAAAGAATTAGACCAGGGTGAATTTAAAATGAAGTAACAAATAAACAAGTGTCTTGTTGATACTAACCTACGCAGAACGATTACTCCATTACCAATCCACAGCAGGCTAGGTGCATTCATGCGCCTCTGGGCCTTTATTTATATATCTGAGATTTGTCATGGCTCCAGACCCTATCAAAACTCCGATAGTCAAATAAGTCACTAGAGCCGTGGATCCACGTCTACAGCAGGCATGATGATTCAGTCACAGTTTTGTGTCAGTAAAAAAATGAATTGATAAAATCACAAATCATCTGTCTTCACAATTATAAGGGAAGGGTAAAGCAGTGTACCTACCTGTTAACATGATGCCCTCGTCGTTATCAATTATAAATTGCTCGCATGAGGCATAAGAACTATCAAATTTAGGTAATATACAACATGTACAAGAAAATTTGTAGAATAATTACTTTCAGTTTTTTAAAAAGAGGGAGCATAAGTTATAATTTTACACAAAACGAAAACGAAGTAAATGTTCCTTCATCTAACCCCGGGGACATGTTGGAAGAAATTTCCATTGAATCAAATCTCAATAATGGGTTGTATTCAAACAAATTTGTAACACACCAAGGCTTGGTAACAAACTTAGTTGTATTAATAGAATCACTCATTGTGGGATCCACAGCCTTTACTATCCTTTTTTTCTCAAAAGCGTTAGGTAAAGAGGGACTCTGATAAATCAGAATGAGAATCACTGGGATATTATGTTTCACTATTTCACAATGAAAATGTCAAAATGTCATTATCTGACATAAACTTGTTATAAATTCATAAATAGCAATCTTAGACTGTGACAGTCTAAGTAGTTTTAATCATCATACTATGCCTTTGTCAATAACTGCAATTAAATAGGTGTGTTTTACTTGAATATAGATCTATGTTTTAATGTAAAAGGTTTCCAGTGCACGGCAACAATCCTGCACTACTGGTAAAGAGGGGTGATGTCAACGCGGTAGCCTGACAGTCACCCTAGGGTATTTCAACATAAAAGGCCTTCCTAGGGGGATACAGGGGCCAACCAGGAAGATTCCTTTCAATTTTAAAATGAGTTGTAAACCATAGATCTATTTTTAAATGTTAAGGTTTTAAATTTATTATATTCAAATTCTTTCACTGTTAAATTATATATCTGCTATTTATGGGCTTATTAGCCTTTTGCAGATTATTGACATAGACATAGACAAAAGATTCGAGCTAACTTGTTTGTTTTGTGATTATGATATTTATAAGCACATAATGCATGGTCTTCCTTCTCAACTCTATTGAAAGATGTCTCTTAAATCAATAAATGACGTCATTTCCAATCATGATTCACCTTCCGGTTTAGGAAGTGAAAAAGTTTAGACAGTAAAGTTTCGAGTTGTTGGATTTATTTGACACTTTCAGGGATTTAGGACCATGTCGGTCCTAACGCTCAATGCGAAGCTAGACAGGACCGAAAGTAGCACCCCTTGGGGGTTTCGTATGCAAGGAGGAAAGGATTTTAATGGACCACTTCAAATTCAAAGGGTAAGGATTTTGAATCCAAAAATTCAGTTTGAAACTTTTTTATTCTTCAAAATTATCGGGAAGATCTTACTTCGGTCCAAAGCCTTCTCTATATTCCGGCTTTGAGTAGAAAGATTGAGCTGCCTTGGTATTATAAATATTGTAAATCATTGTGTCACACGCACAGTAAATACGGCATAATAATATGAAATATACCTCTACAGTAGGGGACATAAATAAATGACAGGTGGATTTGCTGAAGTGAGGATTTCCCATGTTAAAAATAAGAGAATTTACAAGAGGCCATAAATCAGTGGATGAGATTATACAAAATGTAAAATATACAAATTTTAAGGGATATGTATCTAGACAATATTGGAAATTATGGGCTTTCAGACCACCATAATTAGGAAATGGTGATCGAAAATCGACCTGTCATTTATTTTTGTCCCCAACTGTATGTATAGATTTGAGAAACATCAGCACACATCTCTGTCTGAATCTATTGTTATATTTGATTTCTTTAAGCGAGAATAATTTCAAAGTTTCCTCCATTCATTCACGTCTGGAACCGGAAGCAATTTTTGGGCTACAGCGAGTAAATTTCACCATGTGTCAAACTCCGAAAAGAAACTTTGAAATATCTAAATCCAGACAAGCAACGCTTCATCCTAAATATAATTAATATTCTTAAAAACATTTATAAAATTTATTAAAAATGATTTCTAGGTGCGTGTAGCAATTTTTACATACGAAATACGAGTAGATACGAAATCAATGAAGTTACATCTAGCTGTAAGCTAGAAACTCGAGTAAGGTAGATCTACCTTTCAATAAATTTGGGGCGCTGAATTTTTATTTCATGGCATCTGTACTTTTATGTATCATTTGTATTTAATTCCGCCCCTGAGAACCCCCTTCCTATGTCTCTCTCCATAATAATCTCCATGTTATGAATTTGGAAGTTGGTTTGATTGTTGAAAACAATTATTGTATTGTTCAAGCCATATCTCTATGAAAATGCTTGTGTCTGTCGTTTTTAAAATATTAGATTCAGTTGAAGCCCTCTACTAGAGGCTCTAGCCTCACGGGGCATTACAATATGTATTTTGGAGATTATCATTGAAACTTTGTAAATCTGGGATTAAATTTAGTGAACTGCAGTTCATGTCACAAGGAACTTTGAGAGAACAGGTTAGGCACAGGTGAAAATATAACACTAACAGAATATTTGAAAGTCCCAGCCTGTTTGAAAAGATCAAAGCGTCAACTGCATATAATCTACGGTCTCTTTCTCTTAAAAATTGATAACGCATGTCTGCTGTTTGACAGTGAAATGAGTATGATACATATACTTACGCAATAAATCAAATGGTGATTTTATCATAGAACTTCATTATGAGATAAAAATACTCATAAAACTCTCGAAAATGTTTGTTTTGCTTTTCAAATCACCTGTAAAGTATAAATGATGGGTGTTTCTATATTATCTACTTGCAGTTTATATGATTTAATTATTAGCTGGTATAATATGATCACCCATTTTATTATACGTTTTCTAGACGCACTCCCTGATAATCCACACTATATAGAAATTATAGTAAATATCTTTTGTCAATATGACATAGTGGGTAAAGGGGTATGGGTATTTTCGGGCATACAAGAATATAATACACCAAGCATTGCAATAACCTTTCAGATTTAAAAGTGTATAGTTCTTCTTCTTGTGTATTTCAATTGATCAACTCTCTCTCAAAGTCTTACTGATTCCTTGGTAAAAGAATTTCATTTTACCCTTTTTGAGGGGGGGGGGCAAACTTGACGAACAAGCAGTTTAATATCTTATTCAAGTTATCTGTATATACATGTAATGCTTATGTATTCTGTAACTTTACCTAATGCTAGTTTTAGATACATGTAAATAAACATACAGAAATACCCCTGGTTTACAGTAAAGGTCTAGTTACTATATGGCCTTAGATAAGAAAATGCCTAGATGAAGATTTATTTCTGGAACTATCATGAAAATTAAAGGTATTGGAAACAAATAAGATCAAGCATATTACAAAATGAATCCATTTAAAAAAATTCTCAAAGTAATTTGTTTCAAGAAAATGTACTATTAGCATGTATATATTGAAGCTGTTTTGAAAGGGTAGTTTGGCAGCTTAGTGGTAAGCTAATCCCATGCTTAAAATTCAATCTGTTTTCGGCTAGCTATTTCATGCCATTTCTCTCAAAAATTTGAGTTTCCCTTGTTTTCTGGCATTGTATGTAATTAAGTTTTGATTTCATGCTTATTTACTTCATTTCTTGTTCATTCCTCTATTCTGTATTTAATCATATGTCTGAAACAAACCATCATATGTTTACATTCATCTGGTGGCACTGAAGCAACCTAGCCTCCATATATGGAACATAGATACCAATGATATGTACCATAAAACAATCTATTTTCTCAAGCTATTTTTTGTTAACTGTTCAATTTAGGACACACCATGTATTCCACTGTGCATTCTAACTGCTCATTTATATAGCTACCAATTTGATTAAATTAATTTTAGATATTTATACACTTCTATCATTGCCTTTTATCACAAACATCAATGTCAGTAATTAAATCCCAAGTTGTTGATTTCTGGCTTAATTATCACCTGATAAATAGTTTGCGAGGCCAAATTATATGTGTTGATTGTTCCCTAGATATCAGGAAATCTGGACATTTGTAGTCTTGCATCAAATCTCTGGATCTTCTTTATATACTGTGGGAGTATTCAGTATATATGGTGCAGGGGGCGGGGGTCATTAGGGCCTGAGACAAGACTAGACATTTTGGACTTCATGACTCCATGTAATAAGTTCAAGACATTGTGGGATCCACAGCCTTTACTATCCTTTTGGAATAGTTCTCAAAAGCGTTAGGTAAAGAGAGGCTCTGATAAATCAGAATGAGTTCAAGATTATAATGAATAAAAATTTGTGAGTTGTCAGCATTTCCTGATGAGTTATCAGACTACTCGTCCTTAAAACAGCGATATTCATGAAGGCTCTAGTCACACAATTTTCTCAACGTTCCCCCTTTAAACTCCCTAAAGTCCTTCTTTTATATGATGATCCAAAATGTAATCCTTGGTCCCCTTTTTTCAGGTAAACCCAGGAAGTTTAGCTGACAGATGTGGAGTGAAGGCAGGAGATACCATTTTAAAAATAGGGAGTGTAGCCACGGATGGGCTCAAACATAAAGAAGCACAAAATGTGATTATTTCAAGTGGAAATTCATTAGAATTGACTTTACAAAGGTGAGGAAATTGAATGGATGTGATTTTATCCGAAAATATTTTGTCCCAATGCTTAGTCACAGAGACTAGTCAGGCACTAATTAAATAGCCTAATACGCATTCTGTATCTTCCGTTACTATCTATTCAAAGAATGATGACTTAGCTGTGTCATTTTCTGTAATCTGGCAAAATGAATCAGCATTGTGCAATCTATACTATTTATCCTATAGGGTGTCCCAAAAGAATTTAAATCACCAAGAAATTCCCAGTCTTTCATCAGATACTGAATCAGAGGTTAAACCATCTTCCTCATGAGGGAGATTTAAAACTATCTTAAATACATTATGGTTAACATTGAATTACTATATTATAGTCTAGTATCAGTCCTCATGTGTAAATGGGTGGGTAGGTGGAAGGCCCGGGGTGATAGGGGGGGGGGGGGGGGTTAATATAGACTTGATGCGCCACCAAGTTATAATAGTCTATTCCTTAAAAATGAGTTCCAAGAACACACTAACCAAATACCAAAAATTATACAGTGAAATTCTAGTTTGTTTATTTTTCTGATATAAATGCTTTCCAGAATAACATAACATTCACAATACCAAAATGACTACATTCTTTTGAGTTTAACTCAGCTTGTAATATGTGATTTAGATTGTGGTAAACCACATCTACTCCATTCCTTTGAACAGGGGTACATCAGAGAGATGCTATGAATATTAGTAGGAGGTCACTTTCGTCAATTTTGGTCCACAAGTGACTAAAATCAAAATCACTGAAAACGTGTTCAGAATGGTGAAAAACTGCATGATTTTGAAAGAACTTTTGGCTAGGGGAGGGGTTTGCTCGAAATAACACCCAGGATTCACATGAGCAAGTTACAAAATGGAATACATTGAACGTTTAAAACACTTACGACAGTATATTTACTTCCCACTACATGCTGAGTCTAGTTTTTTGTCTCTTGTTTTTTTATTCAAATTTTTTGAGAAATTTCATCAGTCATAGTTTGACTGTTAATAATATTTCCTATGAATGTCAATTTAGGATGTTGCCCATCGACTTAAACGAAAACAATTTCCTTTTTGACAAAAGTCATGCTCAAATCGCTCTTACTATGATACTAGCACAAAGGGCAACATTCAAACACAAGAACAAAACTTGATTATCTCAAAGCATGATTATTTTGTAACATCCATTCGAAAAGAAAACAGTCTAAACAGAAAGATTGTTTTCCATAACTGCTCACAGTCAAGTATATCCATTTTCTTTTTTGGCTTTAGACATCTCATAGATATTTTGAGTGAGAGGAGCAATGGTAAAAAGTCAGTTTGGAGATTACAGATACATATACATGTACATATGAAGAAGTGCATGCTTGCCAGAGATATATGGCTATGTAAGCCCAGTGAACAAAATATCATGCCAAAATAGAATAAAAATGGGAAACGGAATGACCATTAAGTACATAGCCGTGTGATAAACATTCAGAATTACAGTATTGTCATGCAAACACACATGATTTTATTTTTAGATTTCAGAGAAAATATAACATGGGCATTTCTTGGTTGTATTTCATGCAACGGGAAAGCATACTAGATATAACCAAGGGCATGCTTAGCCAAAAATATACAACACGTCTAGCATACATAGGTCTACCTATAGCTACCTTATACACCTTAACCATTACATTACATTACTCTAACTGTAATCTTGAAAAAGGTAAGGTGTCAGTTGCTACCCTTTTCAAATGGCATAACTCATTCAGACTCTTAGAACAAATTGTTTGATTTGATTTTTGTTACATACCAGTTCTTCGTGGTCAATATGTATACAGTAGGACCTGTGTATATTGAACAAGAAAAATGTTCACTTTTGGGAGGTGTTCACTGCAGAGAGGGTAATTAATACAGAACTATGTAGAGTCAGTGCTTGAGCTAAGCTCCATTTTTCTGCTGGTCATATGGACTGCCACTTTTAATGTATCAGGTGGTCCGTAAAAAAACTTGCTGGTCAAATTACCAGCACTTTTCAAAAAGTTACTGGTCCATATAAAATTGAACTGGTCATACATATATTTTACTGTTAATCAAAATAAAAGAATAAAAACGTGAATTTTAATCTACTCTTATATTATAGCACCTTTCTACATATTCATATATTCATATTGGCTAAAGATCTGCTGTGACTTTCATTAGATCCATTTCATCTTCTGAGTATGAATCACTGTCCCTGAAAGAAATATCTGAGTCTGACTCAAAATTGGAATGATCAGAGTTACATGTATTATTGTTTTTATCAAGTAAAGGCAAAGTTCCTATTTTTTTTAGAATTTACGCTTGCGTTTTTGTTCCTCGTATTCCTTGTCATACCGCTGCTTCTTTTTGGGGACGACCTCTTCTGTTTTAGTGTTGTTTTTGTCACGTTTTTGAGCAAAATTAAAAATATCAAAAAATGTTGGCCAATCAAATTCCTGGAGACATATACCCTAGCTGTTTCCTCGAGAAACTGATTTTAGACCAATCAAAATCTTCGAATTATATCATGTTAAATTACTCGCTTTAGCGAAAACGGAGAGGAAACTAAAAATGAAATTTCGTAAACTTTTTCATCAAATTGATGATTCAGAATCATTGTATTCAAGGTAAGCAAATTGTACTTAAAGAAGCTACTTTGTTTTTGTGCCGGACATTCATAAGTTGGGGTAATCTGAGATATGGTGTCCATGCCGGTCAAATTGACCATCAGTTTTTAAACTCAGCTGGTCCGTTCTATGAATCTGTCAGTCATGACCGACTAGAGAGAGGTGTTCACTAAGACAGGTTTTACTGTAGTGTTATTGTCTTGCTCCAAGGGAAGGGATTACGGGGCTAAGGTCAATCAGAAAATGTAGAGGTAGATCTTTTATCATTTTATAAAAGGGGTTAGGGAGCAGCATTTAGATCATAAAGATCATTTCAGCATCATAATTGTGTACACATCAGAGGGTAGAAGCTAAGTAGTTGATCTCAGGGTAGGTTGTTGCCTTCACATTGTGGCTAACTGTATATTTGCTTTATAAAGTCCCTGCCCCCCCCCCCCCCCACTTTGTATTGCCATACTCATTTTTGAGAATGGTAGAAAAGTGGGTGGGTCAGCTTGACATCCATTTATCAGCTCTTTATATTTAAGGGGTCTGGTATGATATCCTTCACAAAAATTTCTTCACTCATTAGATAATAAATATTTACCTGTTTGATCAGTGTAATCAAGAAATGATGATCCAGTCTGATTAGTTGAGTGTAATCTGCCTATACATCCTTATACAATCATATGCTAGCTGGCCTTCATTTTTGTATTCAAGCTCAAAATCGAAATTCATATACCATATGAGGGACTCCACGTGGAGAATAGCTACTTGATTTCAGGATAGTAGTTGTAAATAGTATAATTTAGAAAAGTAGTAAAATGCTTATCTTATCCTAACTCTTTATAAAACATGCACTGATTTTAAACATGGTTATTGTTAAATTTCTCGTGCAATTTGGCAGAAACTAAATTAGTGCCATACTTACAACCTTCACGAGCATTGCTCTCTTTTCTCTAGCTACAAACCTTTGCCCCCCCCCCCCACTGCAAACCTACCCATCCTGTGTAAGAATTTTTCATACCTGAATACACGGGGTAAAGCAGACCCGATGATGCAATGAGCTTGCTCGGCGGTATCATGACTGTGTAACGGGTGTATAAGTGTGCTCGGCGGTAGGTTCAAACAACGCGGATCCTCAAAGCATGTGCTCATGGTATATTCGTGTTTAAACACCCGTGTGTATAGTCAAGTATTGGGATGGGGTTATAGGGACTTGTAGCTAGGCTATGCTCGCTTGAAAACATTATATAAAGATGGGCAGGTGAAACAGAATATATGAATAGACTCAGTGGGGAGGTTAATGCTTAAGCTTACAGGCTAAGTTTGAAATTTATGTGTAGATGTAGCTATGAAACGAATCCAAGTGTAGGTAGTGAGGAGAGGGAGGGAGGGAGGGAGAGAGAGAGAAGATGGGGGTAATACTTGGTATCTTGGGTAACAAATCGATCACCTTGTCCTGGCTCAAGACTGTGGACCCACCTCCCCCCCCCTTCCCCCTCTTATCTACTTCACCTGCATCACTTGTGGAAAGTTGTGTTGTTGAGAAGGGGCTCACAAGGACTTCTAGCTTAGACTATCGACCACCATATCATGGAGTCATTGGCGTGATATGCTGCGCTATAGATAAAAGGGCACTTTTAATTGAACACGTTTAATAACATCCTACAGTATTAACTTGGAGCCAGTCTAATCAATTGAGAGCACAAGATTACACACAATGATAATCACAATGAATTATTGTAATTAACAAATTAATGATTCACAATGACTGTTTGGGATGCGTCACCAGGTCAATGCCAAGATGACTTCAGATGTCTGTGAATTATTCTCTTTCATTCAAGAATATTGTAATAACCCTTTGCTAGATTGATTGATTCTTATACTCTATATATTGCTGATGGATCATCAAACTTGCTTATCCAATGAGAGCCTGTCAGGCCATAGCCAGGATTTGCCAAGGGGGCTCACTTTTTGAAAAATTCACTTTTGACAACTTTGTCCCAAAAGTGCCCAAAATCATGTGTAATGTGCTCAGAATGGTGAAAAACTGCATGATTTTGAAAGAATATTTGGCCATGAGGAGGGGGGTTGCACATACCCTTTGAACCCCCTACCCCTGACTACGGGCTGATACGATATTACAATATTATGCGAACATAAGCATGGCTCTGATTGTAGAATGGTTGATCTTAGTTAGAGGAAAGTTTGTAAGTTAATGATCTCAGGGTCATGAGATTTGGTTGAGATCATAGCCCTGTACCCCCTTCCCTTTGTGCAAGGTGAGTTCTCTGCACACGCTCGCTGTGAAGTACCATGGTCACAATTTTGAAGTTATTATCCCAGTTAATTTATAATGAAACTAAATTATGTCATAGCTCTGTACCAAATTCAAACTTAAAACAAGGATATGCCATGTACTATGTATCATTTATCCTTTCTAATGCTATATAACAACATTTGAACAGAAAATCAACCATGGTGACTTTATAATAAACCAGTAAGGATTTTAACGGATTATATCTAGCTGGGGATGTTATAAGTCATTTATATTCACTGAGATATATATAACTTATGTATTTATAGAGATAGATTACCCAGTATTTGATGGCATGGTTACTGAAGCTTCTTTGGAGGTGAACTCAGGCTGTGTGTTTCTGAGCCAGTAAATAACTTACCCTTCGTAAAAATTCTGATTAAGTTACCCTCTTCAAATCAGAATACAATAAAAGCTGAATACCTGAACTCCTCTCTAATCTGAACACTTCTAAATGTGAACAATTTTTTGTATCATTTTTTAATCACAACTCCACTCTTGCTCAGAAGTAGCAACCTTTCGATCAACATCTAATTCCTAACTCCCATAAAAAAAAACAAGAAAGATGCTACATTTGAGATTATTAACACATCTTATCTGCATCAAAACTGTAGTAAATTACCTTTGATAGCCAGAGGGTGGTTTGATGAACTATGGGATTCAGGGTAAATCATTTTCTTGAAAACTTCTTAAGACAGCCCACCTTAATAGATTTTCTCTTAGGAATGTTACAGTTATTACCTTTAAGATGTTTGTCAATGGGGTGTTTATTACTCAGGTTACCATTTTTGACCATTCACGTGCATCATTTCAAAATATAACCCTCTTTAATAGAAAATACGCCCTAATTTTCCCCTTTTCAAAATATCTTTTTGGCCGCCCATCTTGTCACTTTCCAGATCCCTTCTGTGCTAAGTATGGAGTAAACGGACTAAAACTCGTTAAGCATTTGATGGAGTACAGATTGAATGAACTTCAACACCCTAATCTAACTAATGAAAATGGTTGTGGAGAATATATTGGTACAGAGCAGAGTGAACTGTGTTTGGTATTTGAGTGTTATTTAACTTGAAGTATTGGATACAAATCTGAAAATTCCTAAACACCTCAATTGGAAATTTTGATGTTAATGTATGTCTAATGTTGAAAATCGTGCCCTTCAAGAAAGTGAACATATTTACACTTTACATTCTACATTGTATTGTATTTACCATTTACTAAGCCATGTGTGTTTAGTCTGAGCCTGTTTAGGAATTTCATTGATGGCTATATATAAAAGGTCTCTATATTTGAAGTATATATGCTCCGGAATTAAATATTTTGTTACCAGTTTGTAACTTAGATGATTTAAGGTATGAACCATTGAACCTTCTCAGGTCAGATAAAAGGGTTAAATGGGTGTGATCGTTATATACTTGTAGAGAAGTCAAACGGTATAATGGGGTAGGGCATAATAAAGCCCTCACCTTGGGGGAGGGCTTAATAAAGCCCTCACTCATCATAAGGATATTTCTTTCCTGTTTTCTTACTGAAGCCCAATGTGAAATATACATACCATTCCTCCTCCTTTTCTTTAGCCCCCATCTTCTTTGTGGAAGTTTGGTTTACAGCAGAGGGGAGGGGGTGTCACAAGCACTAAAAGCTATATATACAGGCTCCAATTTTAAGTAGATGAGTAGAAAGATATGATAAGATAAACAGACACACTTTATTCCTGATAATTATTCTGGGGAGTTATTTTATATAAAAGATTATTTAAGAGTGTAATTATATACAAAGGATTATTTAAGAGTGATGGTATATACAGAGGATTATTTAAGAGTTTTGATATATACAAAGGATTATTTAGAGCGATTATCTGAAAATAGTTTACCCGAAAATAGGGTATATCTGAAAATAAGGAATCTCATATTATGCAATTTTTCTGAAGAGTTCCCTGACAGCCAGTGCTGGATAATCAAATAATATTAGAATGATATTAGAATGAGTCAATGTCTTTAAAGATTTCACGACTCACCTATATCTATTTTGATCCAATTTTCATGAGTCATTTTACAATCAAAGCAATGAAATTCGGAACCCATATAATAAAACTAGGATAAAAATGTTGTAAATTAGAAATTACGATCCTAGCATCAATGGCTCCCTTTTTTGGATAAATAATTCTGATGATGTTTTTTCTATCTTTATGTCAATCTTAACTTAAGTATTGATAATGTTTTACAGTATGTACTTCAAATCCATGGTTGGATTATGTCACCACCCCAAGTCGGAAGTGGTGACATCTTAAATGATAGGCTGAATTTAAGCATAAATGAAGTCCTTTGAAGAAGGATGATATTGTAATAGTATCCACCATTTTTTGTTGAAGGTGTTTGATGTTCGGCATGCAGCATCTGTAATAAATGGCAGGTGGTGACATTTTGCATGTTAATGCTTTGTCTCTAGTTTAATATGATACTTACAGTCTTGTATTAAACCTCTAGAGAATATCGGGAGGGGAAGAAAGGGACTTGATGCAAGACTTATGATTTTGTTATTATGTCACCACCACAAGTGGTGACATATTGTTATAGTCTCCAAATCTTTTGTGGATGATGTTTTGTGGTTGGTGTTGGTGCATTTGTAACAAATGACAGGTGGTGACATTTTGCATGTTAATGCCTTGTTGATCTTGATATTCGCTCAGTTGACTCAATTGTACTTATGTTAATGTTATATTCTTATGTTTCAGGGGTGGAGGGAGTGGGGGTGCCACACCATATGTACCTTACCAGGCCTCTTACAATACACCAGCTCCACAAGTAAGTAACTTAAATATAAGCTCTAACCATTGGCTTTGCTCTGTAAAAAAGTCACTTGGCATTGGTACTATTGTTAATAGACTGTTACATTATCAAACATTTTTGTCACATTTTGTCAAAAGCCGCTGTAATATTTTCAAAAGCTGTTGTGATTTTTTTTATAAAATCCATTAATATTTTCAAAAGGCAATATTGTAGTTTTTTCAAAAGTCAGTGCAGTATTGTGATTTCTAAAGGCCCCTTTATATGTCTGAACTCTCTGTTATGTTTCAAAAACCTCTATATTTTAAGTCCCTAGATGAATTGTCAATCATGTTTTATAACATTTTTATTTTCATAAACTTGTTAAAGTGAACTCTATAGGATCTTCTTTCTCATTCAGAAATAGAATACGCATGAATCAGAAAATCATATTCAATAATTTATCTCTGAAAATTACTATGTAATGAATAATTTATACCACACATTCAATATTTTGATTTTTATATACAAGGGGTGTTCTTAAAGTAAAGTGAATGATGTGACAAATATTCGAAAAATTAGAACCAAGGGTCCATTACTTTCTGATCACCCCTTGTAGATCTTACTCTAAATAAAATTGACCCTATCATTGCATGAGTCATCATTTGTAGAATTCACTTGTCATTCTGACATAAACCGAAGTGCAATCTTAATACTTAAGTATGATTTCCTGACAGCGTGCATATGTTTTTCAACCAACAACTTTTGTCTATAGGATGTTGACACAATGACATAGCGAGGGACATATTTTTGTATTGACTTACACAGTGCTATATGTGAAAGAATGTCATGTCTTAGCTACATTACATGACCAATTCAACCTTTCATATATGTCCTGTAAAATGCCCTCATAGGCAAAAAAGTATACAAACCTCTAAGATATATGACTCATAATTTGCATTTTCACCAAGTATAAAGTTTCACATCAGAACTATAGCCAGTATGATACACTCACATAAATGATCACAACAAATACAATGCCCTCACATTGGATAATGCTCTCATATAAATGACCACAACCAGAACAATGCCCTCATGTATGACCACGTCAGTACAATGCCCTCACATGAATAACTACAACCAGTATAATGCCCTCATGTATGACCACAACCAGTAAAATGCCCTCACATGAATGACTACAACCAATACAATGCCCTCGTGTATGACCACAACCAGTACAATACCCTTACATGAATGGCTACAACCAGTACAATACCCTTACATAAATGGCTACAACCAGTACAGTGCCTAATGTCATAAATAGCCACAACTAGTACAATGCCCTCATATTAATCAGTATTGAGTATAATACCCTGATATACATGCTAAAGGTCCCAGTGCATTCAGTTTACACCAGTTATTAGCATTTGAAGAGGGTCAACAGACTCAACACAAGAGCAAGTTGTTTATTTGAAATCAAGAAAAAACAGACAAGATATACTCCCATGTCTGAACAGATAAAAAACACTTATCTTTGAAGTCTGTTTTCTACACATTTTTGTCATGTTTTATGGTCAGTCCTGTTTACAGTCCTGTGTTTGGCTGCAGATGAATTGCCTTTGAAGGAACATGGCATTCATGATTGAGGCACTGCATCCCCATGTAGTTCACACTGTGTTGGGAAGGTAAAATGCATAGGGATACACAGCCTTGAAGCAAGACTATCTTAAAGGGTTAAAATAAAAGTGCAGTCTTGTAGCAACCCCAACCCCCCTCCTTGTATTGCCCCCCCCCTCTTTGTATTGCCCCCCTCCTTGTATTGCCCCCCCCCCCCCTCCTTGTATTGCCCCCCCCCCTCTCCATTTTCCTCTTGCTATATTCATCTTTCTGTAATCCTATTTTATATTCCATATGAAAACTTTACAATAACAGGATGACATTACAGCATTTATAAAAATGAATTATATTCATTATAAGAATAAATAAGTCCTCATAAATAATTAAACAAAACAGTCCCAATTTGTTATTTTGATAATTTGGTGGAATTGTCCTCATAAACGAACATGCCCCTATGGATATCAATCTTATGTGACATTTTCAGTTGACATGTGTTTTCACCAGAAAATTGAAATCATTTAAAGTTCACCCCAGATGATGTTTTATCAGATATACATCTCATACATTTCATTATTCACTTTTAATGTACTTATTCATAAGAAACAACAGTAAATTGAATTGTTTGTTTTTGTTTTTTTATAAACATTTGGTCAGTTTAAGGTTGACAGCAAATAACTCATGCAAATACAGTGAAACCTTTAAATGTAAACAGTGAAATTATTTGTATGATAGTACTATCACGCCCGGTGATCGTGAATATGGGACGGAGGGGGGGAGCAGGCAATTTCTGCTAGGAAATTCAACAAATCTGGAAGATTTATTTTTTCAAGAAAAAGTTTACTATTGAATTGCTAAATGGATAGGCGCACGGTATGGTAGAATATGTTAGGTTTTCTGGGATTTTTTCTGAAACGATACGCATCTAAGGTATGAGATCTATTAAAAAAGGCGCAAGGCCATCAACAGGCACAAATCAATGTTTTTGCTATAAATCAAGCAACAATGGACTACACGACCTGTAATAAATACTTGTAAGTGATGTTATCATAACTAAATTAATGTCATTGCTGAATTTATAAAATAAGTTTCCATACGTAAAATAAAAAATAATCGAAAATAATTAAAATGGGACGGAGGGGGGGAGGGGACGGAGGGGGGAGTAATAATTCTATAAAGTGAAACAACTTCACACGGATTCTTGTATTTGAAAAATGAACTCATTAACTTAGTAAGAAACTGGATGATATACCCCTGGAGACTGAAAAATGGGGACATTTGGAGTAAAAGGACTTAAAGTCGCGAAACATCTCTAATCATGTCTTATATACATATTGCTCCCCCCCCCTCCGTCCCCTCCCCCCCTCCGTCCCAAATTCATTATTTTCGATTAATTTTTATTTCACATATGGAAACTTATTTTATAAATTCAGCAATGACATTAATTTAGTTATGATAACATCACTTACAAGTATTTATTACAGGTCGTCCAGACCATTGTTGCTTGATTTATAGCAAAAACGTTGATTTGTGCCTGTTGATGGCCTTGCGCCTTTTTTAATAGATCTCATACCTTAGATGTGTATCGTTTCAGAAAAAATCCCAGAAAACCTAACATATTCTACCATACCGTGCGCCTATCCATTTAGCAATTCAATAGTAAACTTTTTCTTGAAAAAATAAATCTTCCAGATTTGTTGAATTTCCTAGCAGAAATTGCCTGCTCCCCCTCCGTCCCATATTCACGATCACCGGGCGTGACTATATAGAAACTATAATTTTACCAAGAAGAAATTTGAATAGCAAAACCATATTTGTGAAAGATCTTTTTGAAACCCAAGGCTGAGGGAATACTGAAAATATAAAAGAAAGACGTGAACTAAAAAATGTAAATACAAAATGTGAAATTATTCCAAAACCACACAAAATATCTTTGCACTTCAATAAGAATCCCACTAGCTGATCCAGAAGCTAACAATGAGGGGGGCACATTTCAAGTCAGGAAAAAATATGGAGTCCCTATAACCACCCAAATTTTGAAAATTTAAGGCCAAATTTTTTCTGGGCCATCCCCTGGATCCGACAGTGCCATATAATATTTCGTATCAATTGATTCAGAAATTGATTCAGAAAGACATGAGGAGTATCAGAACAATGAACCCCTCTTCTTAAAAGAGACTTCCCTAAACACAAATATTTCTACAGAAGGGAAAACACAGCTACTTGGAAATGTAGATTTTTGATGTTTTAGCATTAATAAAAGCCAGATTATAAGAGAGATGTAAACCAGGGTTATGTTAACTTAGACAACCACTTCACAGTTTATTTCCTTTCCTCTGATATCATCACTAGGGTATCATGATCTATCCCCTTCTTTAAAAATGCTGGTAGGCTTATTCATAAAAACTATAGAACAAAAATTTATTGCATTAACTGTATTCAGTTTTGACATTATGCTATTTCAAAGCTGTTTTTAATTTAGCATTCAATAAATACTGAATTTTAGATATATATGGATATAGATTTCTAATTTTACTTTACGAGGGAGGTATTCAGAGAAACATTCCTACATTTAAAAATTGCCACATTTGTTACATAAACCTGCAGTAGGTGGTATGGTGTGATAAAGTTGTATAATTTTTGATTACTTTGGAGATTTCATCATCTGGTTAAAGGCTCCTCTCAAGCAAATAACACTATTGCCTTCTACTTATGAAACACCTAGACTCCAACTCCAAGTTGAATATGATGTGAGGGTTACTAAATGGGAGGTTTTGGATACAGGGTATTCCTTGAGGGAAATACAATTTATCTTCCTAAGGGAAGGAGCAGGGGCGGATCTGGATACCAACAAGGGGGGGGCCCAAATATCAGGTCAGAGAAAAAAAACTTCTGCGCTTGGGTGTAAAAAAATAAGTAAAGTTGAACCAATGCAAATGGTATCCTGGACTCAACTCCAGTTCTGAATCATTCCATTGAAGGTCTTGTTTTCAAATTATTGCATGACTGCGCAGCGGGAATGCAAAGTTTTGGAAACAACACCTGAGTGGAATGAAGCAGCAACAATGCATCGAGTCATGGGCTTAAATTCTTTTCACACATTGCAAAACATTTTGTTCAAAATCACCTAAAAGATACAAAATCACTGATAATGAACATAGTTTCAATGTCCCTTTTTGCAAGGGTCAAGTTGGCAAAGCATCAATTTCAATCTCCTCACCTTGACAATGCTACAACAAATGCATTATTGGTTATATAACTGAATGCAGTTACGTGAAATAGCTTGTTCTGATTGGCTGGTATTGGACACTCCTTGTGTGAATAACCTTTAACACTACTAAGTATAAGATAATGTGTTACTTAATGTATATTTGAAACTGGAAACCAGGTGTTTTCATTTTACAGGTTTGGCTACACAGTACTATTTCACATATATTCTCGTTTGACTTTCTAAGGCAGGTGAAGCCTGTATTGCATATCAGCTCTGAGAGCTTCTATCAGTCTACCAATTTCTATCATTAGCCATCTGCATTTAGCTTTTCGCTACCCTTTGCATGAGGAACCTATTTCATCTCACCACACTCTGACATTAATCATAAATCACTGAACTCATACAACACACTGGGTCTGGGATTATAAGTTAGCAAATGTTATTGCTCAAATACAGTTCACTATATGTGTAACATGACTTTGGGATGCTTTCTGATTGATTTAAAGCCAAATTGTAAAATGTTGCTCCTACTCAGAGGAGAGTGAACTACTTGATGAGCCAAGGGTAGTTATTCGGTTTTCACCAACCCTATCATTCCACATGCTATGGTCTGTATGCTCCAGTAGGTATAGCAACATCAGTGGCAACAGTCCAACCAAATGCCCCCATCAGACTTTTGTACTGGATTCATATCAAAAGGGAGTTCCATGTAGCCATCTCATCATGCAGAAGAAACCTTTCATCCAACAACTGTTATCTTCAAGCCTTTGATTCATGAACATCCATGGCAACAACATCAAGGAGTATTTTATCCCTTTCTACAAGCAGTGGTATTGTCACTTTTGTCATGGTACCAATATTCTAATGAAAGGAAAATACTGATTTCTAATAACATGCCCCATCCCTGTCTACTGCAGGGACGTAGCTAGCTTTCAGTCAGGGGGGTGCGGTCACCAAATTTTTTTCGGTTTTCAGTCATGGGGGTGTAATTGCGGCATAAACAAGCCAAAAATAATATTTATTTTGAATTTTACAAAAGTTGATGCAACTTCCCTCAAAATTGAGCTAGAATCTTCAAATAAAAAGCATTTTAAAGCTCTTTTCTTCTTCTATCGCATGGTTCTATTGTTTGGTTATGGGGGGGTGCAATCATATCCATCGTATCCCCCTGGCTATATCTATAACTGCATTGGGAAAATATGCAGGAGGGAGTGGACTTGAAGCAACATTAAGATGATTCTCTTTTTACACTTGGAATGTTTGTGATCTTCAAGTCTGAGGCGCAAGCTAAGGCAGTCATTAAATGTAGAAACAAATTCTATCAAAATCTTCATTGGTAATTCATAAATATTTTCGTATTAGATATGAGGCTATCTTAAAGTAAATGTCTAAATCTAACCGATACTATGTACGTATGAAGGACTGAGCAACAAATATCCACATCTCGTCTTTCTTCAAGACTATGGACCCCCCCCCCTTATCTACTACACCAACACAATACAGCCTGGCTCACAAGATCTTGAAGCTAGACTAATCCACATCCCACCATCTACATAATTGATTCATCCTATACAATTGCTCTGCAAAAGATCATGTATGCAATTGGTCATGCAAAGTAATGCAACTCTCCTTGCATCATATCCATGTCCATGTAAAAGGCATTTGTACTGAAAGGAGCGTTTTCAGTACATTTTTGTACTGAAAAATATACTGACTTTTTATCTTTTTATCCGTGCATATTAATTGCTTATCTTCATCTCAAATCCATTCATGCTAATCAATGTGATTGCAATAGGATTTGGATATCTGACAAAAAGTTAGCTGAAGAAACTAGTTCATTATGACATATACAAAAACCACATATTTACTCTATGCATATTTTCTGCACAGTTTAGTTAAAACCAAACCCCAGTTATAATCCAAATCTCTGCAGAAGTTGTATCATGTAACATTGATTCATTACCATCCCATGCAGTGATCTGTTCAAGAAAGTTAAGGAGCTGCACCAACTTGAAATTCTGAAACGTATTTCACCCAGCTGCAAATCCATTTGCACCCACTTGAAAATGGAAATATTGTTAGATAGCATGTTTAACCAGTCTTGGTCTGAAGAATGAAAACGTGAGTTTGATACTCACTTGAGTGAAAGATCGGGAGGGGGAGAACATTCCATGATAAACTGTTCACAATCCTCAAGGGTTTAGTGTTAGGCTGAGCATCTTATCTCAATGCTTTGATTTGTATTCCATGTTATAGGTAGATAAGCCCACTGTAATCAACATGGGGCTGTTCATGGTACATGGGAGATACGTCTGCTCCAATCAACATGGGGCTATTCATGGTAGATAAGTCTGCATTAAGACGTCATGGTGGTCATCAGATTCAAGGTTAATGCCTTGTTTGTTGATAACACTTGGATGTTCCTTTACAAGGAGATAAAGAGGATGTGTAAAGATTGACTGAAGTTAAGCTTCAAAGATTTTCTAAACAGAAGAAACGCCTTTTCATTTAAAGGTTCTATATTAAGTGCATTACATGATTGCCGCAATTTGATAGGCTGTTCAACAGTTACCCTTTGCATTTGTTCGACTTCACTTCTTAAAAGAGAGCTTCGTCTTCACTCTTTCAATTTACAATAAATCTCTGATCTCACCGAGCCAATCAGAGTTCGTCGTCGAAATACAGACAACTTTCTATATGGTCATTTCCTATGATATCACCGCATCTAAGTAATGAGCACATATTTAGCATGCGTTACTTCCACTTCGCTGATTGGTTGAGGAAGGGTCGGCGTGGTAGATTTAAAATGATTTATTACCTGGGCTGTCACAAGCACCAATTTTTGGGGCGGGGCTGCTAAACTGTAATATAGTCTGTACTAGGCAGAGGGTAGTTTATTACTAGACTCTGTGCTCAGGGTATTCAACAGTCCTCTCCATTACCCAATTCAACTGTGAAGAGCAAGAAAGATTGCCAAATGGCAAGGAGGTAACCATTGGAGTTTCTACTCAGATATGGCCTTAACCCTCATGGTACAGGCCCCAGTTTCTCTGATGCTGAATATCACTAGGGAGATAAATGATATCTACCTGATAGCTGATTAGTGTGATAAAACGGTAAATGGTTTATCAATGTTGTCTCTGGGGGGAGGAACATTTGAACTGTTTATGAACCTGAAATGCTGAATAGTTGTATCATTCCCAAAATGGTTATACATCTCCACATGAGCATTAAGAAAACGCTTGCAACCACCTGAAAACCTATTTGCAACCACTTTAAACTGAGAAAAAGTCAAAAGGTACCTGTATATTCTGACAAACCTGATCAAAATGATGGAAGTGAGAAGTTTGCATTCACTTGAGAAAAATCACCGGGAGAACATTTGTACTGCATTAAGTTATAAGAACAGGATAACTAGAATTATTGGAATCTGGTAATATAAGAAGTTTATTAATAGATAGCAGGGATCCATTCTCTTCAAAATAGACTTCCTTATGCTCAAACTTTCCTTCCTAATAGCTCTAAGGTGAGAGCTGAATGTTGTATTATAGAGGGTTAAGGTGGCTCACCTGGCTTAGAGGCTTCTAAGGTGAGAGCTGAATGTTGTATTATAGAAGGTTAAGGTGGCTCACCTGGCTTAGAGGCTTCTCCTGCAGGAGATAATGGGATACCTGACTACACAGTTGTTACTCAGTGCCATTTCCGTCTCTTTACCGTTTGTAAACATTCAAACAAACAACTGTACAAACAAATCAACTAACAAACAAACAATATTTGGTTGTTGAATTATTTTTGTCTTAGTTCTCTGACTGGGAATACAACCTTGACCTTAAATTACACTGCATAACAGGTGTGACAAAATGTATTTAAATATTTCATTTCAGGAAAGTTTTCTCCTCAGTTGAAAGTGAGCAAATTAAAGATTGCATGTTAAGTTTCCTAAATTTAGCTTGTTCTCATAATTCAGTGAATGGTAAATTTATAACCAGTTAGACTTCAACCTATGTATGATCATTTACCTGGGGATATACTCTAAGGCTATACAGTTACAGATGCATAGCCCAATCAACATGCTATAATTGTTCATTTGAAAAATTGAACATTTTGGAGCAATTAATGGGACTGTAAAATTATTTCATGTCAAGCCAGGGTTGCCCCTTCAGATCAAAGAATTATACATAATCATAATGTTCCCTATATGACTGTATTTATATACTATAGTACTTGTCATGCAATTGGTAGACCATATAAAAAAGAACTTAACATGTGTTGTGGGTTACTCAAAAAGTTTTGGAAATCCTCAGTTGATTCTCATGCTCAAATGCATGCTATGTTGTTTTGTTATCAATGAATCTATTCAGAAAATAATAAAGATAGTGGATCTTTAATTATTCATGGGGAGGGATGCAAAATGATGAAAAAGCATTATATTGGTATAAGTGAAGTACCCCCAGACCCACCCTCTTATCTGCTGTGACTGATACAAGGTTTATTTTATCAAATGTACTTTCTCTACTTTCAGAGCTATAGTTCCCCTGGTAGTCAGAATTTGAGCAACCAGATGCAGGGCATGAATATATCCAAGTAAGTCTTTGAACAACCCTCAATATTTAAAAAATGAAAATGAATCCTTTTGATTCTTTTGAACATTCAAGAAGTTCATACTTAAAGATATCTTCATTTCAAGTATTGTCTCTAAAATTAGTCTCTGGCCTCACTTTGGCTTTCGATAAAAGGAATATCTATAAAATTTTCAATTTCAGGATTAAGTCATCTGCATGGGTTGTTTTGTTGTATTTGTTTTACCATGCATGATATAAATCAATAAAAAAGTAACATAAATTGAATTAATTGTAATATAGAAATGTCAGATTCTAAAATGCTCTATTTGTAAATGACATTATCTCAGGCTCGTATCTAGGTATAGCAAACAGGAAAATTCAAGTACAGAATGAGGTACATACATTTTGTATCTCTACAATTTTGACCTTTAAACAACTCCACTATTGAAGTACTGGTCCTAAACATGGAATGCGAAGCATTTAGAATCTCATCCTACCATGCATGGTTTTAGCGTTCGGTATGATTGCATTTTGCGGTTACAGAGTGAAGAAATAAAAAACATATAGAAACTATCTGACAGTTCAAGTATTTAACCCATATACATCTTTCATGATTTATTTTACCATTTAAATCATTCTTTTTAAGATGTGTTTATGTAGATTTGATTAGGTCTAATTATAGGTTTATCAGCCTCTGAAAAAAACACTTTTACTTGGAGTTGTATGTTAACATACAAATATTTATGAATGAATTGAAAATGTCAGGTAGTTTGTAAAAGTTTTAAAAATGATCAAAAGTGAAAGTTCCCAAGATGTCAAGGCCAAAGTTGTGGGATGTAAGTACATGTGATTGTGAAGGGTGAATAATATTTAACCCTTTCATTTCTGAGTATATTTATCTGAAAAACTGAAAATACTCTTTCAATCTCAAAATTTGAATTATGGGGACATTACCTTTTGGATCGCCCCTAAGCCACTGCAAAGGATTTTGATAAAAATTTGATATTATCAGAGAAGTTTATGGTTTATACTCAGAATTGAAAGGGTTAACTTACATGTATAAATGATTTCAATTTCTTTATTCATGTTTTGTTATAAAAGTAACCAGCCCCGGGCTGCACCTGTGCAACGTGCCCCTGCAAAACCACTGGAAGACATTACCCAGAGTGCAACATACCAAATGTTGAAGCAGTCTGACCCAGCACCATACAGGAGTGGTGATGGGAACAACAATGCCTCCTCTGGTGGGAGGAAACAATCCAGAACATTCATGATGCTGCAGAATATGATTGACAGCGGGGAGGGTAAGAATGAACATTTTTATGAATTTGTCTTAGTCTTGCATAAGAGGAGGAAAATCCCATAATTCATAGATGTACTTTTCTCTATATAAAGAACCTCTAGAGTTTCACCTTTATATGGAGATGGTTCATCTATGTATGAATTCTGGGTTATTCCTCCTGTTGTCTTGAACACGTGTCTGAACCAACTCCTAAAAGATTCACCCTCCCAAGCCCCTCCAAAGGTTCCTGGAAGACTGCCATGCTTGGGAGGGTTGGGCATTGACGGCTTGAAGCAAGACTAGTTCTATTCTGACTTTAGATTTGAGATTTCACCTTCAATGACCTTCACAGGGTCAAAAAAGGTCATTTTTCAACTTGCTTCAAATTACCAAGTTACTACAAGTTATCAGAAATTCAAATCTGACTAAGATTGAACTCATAATATTGTGAGCAACTAGGTGGTGACATTTTGTCATGTTAATGCCTTGTTTCATTATAGTTTGAGTTGATATGAAACTCTCCCTTTTGATCATTATAATTAGAACATTGGTGAATAATTGATAGGAAATGTGAGAGGTGATAAACATTGTTATTTTAATTTTTGTCCCTGGGCTGTGCTGCTCACACAGTTAATGTAATTGGATAATTGGAAGCTATGATAATGTGAACAAGGTGGTCTATCCTATAGCTAATATACATATAATGTTGTTTCTTCTATATACAGTACAACTGTCTAAGTGGAACATCTTTGGTACCCATAAAAAGTGTTCCACTTTGGAGGTGTTCCACTTACAGAGGTTCATTTAACAATATGTGAATAGGTTTGCTGGACTTTCAAAAGCATTTCATTTATTGATGTGTTTCACTTACATAGAGGTACTCTCTCTGTCAAGGGAATTTACATTTCCACAAATATCAACTTTGGAGGAAACCATAGAAATCAAAACCCAACAAATCATTTTGGATCAACCAGATTCGGATCTACCATTTTTTATCTTGCTTCTTGTTGTTGTATCATGTTGTCCCACTTATCATCTCCATTATTTTTCATTGATGTACGGGTGGTGATCAATAAGTAATGGACGTTTTTTTACACAGATGCTTTTTATAGACCAATCACTTTGATTTTCTTACCAGTGATACGTCATTCAATTATCTATCAACTCTGAAGATTTGAAAACAAAACATGTAATATATTTTGATATATCTTTATTTCCGTGAAGGATGTGTAGGTACCCCGGGACCGACATTTACGTCAAACATTCTGAAGCTATTTTAGCTTGTTTAACATGCAATGCAGTTGAATGCAGGCTGAACAAAACAAACCATTATGGTCATGAATTACCCCATTTTGTTATGTCATAGTTGATTTTGAATATTTTATCATCACTATGTGGTATTCATGCCACATTCATTCCACAGGTCCCTCTACATAGGTTCCATCAAGTGCTACATGTACACAATTACTCATCCTCTTAACTCAAGATTGTGAGACAAGGCTGAATCCATTCTCTGACATGGTAGCAAGATGCAGTTGCACGGGTTGTTTTATTTCATCAATGGCAATAAACCTGCATCCTTTCTCTATAGAAATAAGTAGTATAGAAATAAATAAGTCACATGTGAGCAGATCTGCACAATATGGTGCATTGGCCAAGAGCTCAATTTTGAGGTCCAGGGATATTGTTTTCTGAACATTTTGAGATCTGTGGGCAGGTGCATTGTCCATATGGAGTAGGGTGTTCCCTTCTCTCACCACCCCTTTCTTCCACAATGCTTTCTCAAATTGACCTGCAAACCCCTTCCATACAACACTCTGACATCACAATACTTTCTGTTTATGTGTTACCAGTCAGCAAAAATGTCAAACAACACAACACTTGTTGCATATAAAAAGTTCAAATCTAACTGAAATTTGCCAAACTGGCTAAAAACTGAATATGTGACGTAAATGTCGGTCCCGGGGTACCTGTACCTCCTTCACGGAAATAAGGATATATCAACATATATTATATATTTTGTCTTCAAATCTTCAGAATTGATAGATAATTGAATGACGTATCACTGGTAGGAAAATCAAAGGGATTGGTCTATAAAAGGTATCTGTGTAAAAAAGCGTCCATTACTTATTGATCACCCCTCGTACAATGTATATAGCCCATTACATTAAATCTGAGAAATGTCCCCTTCTAAGAAAGAGAAGCAAAAATTTGTTACAACACCTTTGAAACCCTCCAATATTTTTTCCATTCATGTGCTATTCAAGTTACAGAGATTTTATCCACATGTAAGCAAGATTTATTTGATCCAAGACAAATTCTCCATCCCACAAAGGTATTCACCCTTTTTCTTGTTTTACTATAGTTATTTCATATACAGGGTGTTCAAAAAGTATTAGGACTGGTGCTGGTATTTTGTTAAATATGTACCAATCATCTTCAAAAATTTACATAATGTATTTTCATGTATTGTAACTAAGACTGAAAAGTTTCAACAAAAATGATGAAACTCGGTCCTGTTACTTTTGGAACACCCTGTACACACATAACAGTCCTCGTAGAACAACAGAGCATCCACTAACATTGTTTTAAATTTCAGAACTACCAACCCCGGCCCTGGCTAAAACACAGAACAAACCCCAACAAGAGGAAGAGGAAAGATACACCGCAGTGATGCACTCCCAATATAACACCCCTATAGGACTATATTCTGCTGATAATGCCCTGGACACTTTTAAAGGGCAGGTCAAAGACATTGTACCAGATGCATCGTAAGTATATTATATAAAAAAAACATTGCTTTATGGTGCTTTTTGGGTTGGTCAATTTTTCGAAGGTGCATTCTCAAGAAATTTTCATTGGATTCAATTAATTGGCTTAAATTTTTGCAATTTATAAACATTTTTCAATGTATGTCTGGCTTGTCCCTTCACATATTTTTGACATCTTGCAATATCCTAAAATCTATATAGAATCCCCCAAATTGTCACATAACTGAACTTGGTGCATGTGGTGGATCCATAGATCTGATCCTTTCATGTAAAGTGTACGCACATGACATGTAGTTGCAAGCCTATGTAGAACACATTGCATGCACTTGATAATAATCTGCATGATTTAAAATATTCATTTATGAATCAAGCTTCTGTTTCCCCTCCTCTTTAATGGTGTTAGTCCTAAATGTGGTATAACACACCATGCATCGGTCCCATGGTTTGGCTAACTTTTTCCCTGGTCACTGTCAGACATTTCGCAATCTTTATATGACCCTTTGCCATATTGATCCTCATAACATTTTAAACAGCTTATGTTTAACTAGGTGATACAGAGCATGTTAAGCAATGATTTATTTAACATAAAAGAAGTCTTGCCAGGCCATGTGTACCCATATAGTGTCAGAATAGCTCCATAACCAAACCGGATCCTCAAAACATGTCTGAATTGTTTCCTCATGTATTACTCTATCATGTCCAATATTTTTTGCCTTTTAAATATTACATATCATATCCAAATTAATATTTGGTATGACACAATTTGATGAGGATCAACACGAGATAAATTTGAAGTATTTTGAGTTGGGTTTATGCTGACACTTCAGTTTGCAAAAGCTAATGGAGTTATTATGACACTACCCCCAATCCCCATGCATGTTTGTGTATGTTATAGCCTAAATGAGAACGGGATTGCTAAAAGTGAGAAACTCAAACCCAGCGAGACAATGAAATTAGTACAACAGGAAATGAAGCAAGAAAGTGCTCGAAGGAAATCAGAGCGAGGTTCCGGAGATGACCAATATTTCCATGGTTCCAATAACCCAAACATTCAGTCTCGGTCGTTCAAATATCTCCAGACATCTTTAGACCATGGAAGAGGTTGGAATGCACTAATGCCATCTTTTAATCTTCTCTATAGTTACTTTTATATTTTTGTTATTTTTTCTAGTGTATAATAAGATAGAAATAAGCATGTTTTACAATAGAATATATTTACATAGGATATTTTAGTAATTTTTGTCAGGTGAAAGTTTTCTACCATGGTGGTTAACTCTTTCATGCCAGATAATAAGCATGATGTTAGAAATGAATGAAATGCACATTGCATGGCATTGAATGGGTTAGAGGTAATTACTAACCTTTATGTTTACTAACTTTCAGAGCCCCCTCCACCTAACAGTGACCCCCCTGATGGACAGGCTGTGTCCCAGCCTGCCCCTGAATCATTTAGTCAGCCCAAAATTCAAACTCCTCCCCTTCAATCTCAGGCCCCTCCCACATCACAAGTGGCACCTGTCAATCAAACTGTAACTCCAGCTGAAGATCCTCCCACTGATGAACCTTACCGATATACCCCTTCAATCACACATACCACACCTACCCCTCCATTATACGGTTCCGCCCCAAAACAATATGACCAACCTACAAAACCCTATGTCCCTCCTACAAAATCATATGCCCCACCCACTAAATCATATGCCCCACCCACAAAATCATATGCCACACCCCCAGAAGATGATAAAGTGACAGCTGTCATGCACTCACAGTATAATACACCAATAGGGCTCTACTCTGCAACAAATGCTTACGACTCATTTAAAGGTCAAGTTTCTGGGACCTTAGACATGGAAGGGTAATAATATGCACTAAAATTGTAAAATCAGATATCAATAAGTTACTAATGATTATTTAACTAAATCATGCTTTTTTGCTGATTTTTATGTAAATTCATTGATTATAGATGTATTTGGAAGTTATTGCTTTAATTGTTAATCACATCAGTGTAAGCTTTCACCCATGAATCGTTAATGCATTTAGTACTGTATCCTGTTGTATAATTTGGGTCAAAGCACTGGCTCTAGAAATGGCCACTGTTAAATATAGCAAGTTCTTATGATTTCTTACATAGGAGTTATTGCTTGAAAACCTACGATTCATGATTGATATGATTCAGGATTCAATTTTTTCCATGTTGTCGCGTTACATTGTGAAAGACAAGAATCTAAAGATATTTTAGAGAAAGTTGTCTTCAAGGTAACATATTTCAAGGATTCAATGTATGCTTCCTGTTTTGTAGAGAACTCCCCACACAGGAGGCAAAAGCCATTCAACCTTCAGAAACAATGCGATTGGTCCAGGATCAAGATAACCAGCCAATGAGAAGAGAGAATGAGTCCACATTTACTGGAACTGGATCAGACCCCATTCATTCAAGGACATTCAAAGTGTTACAAAGCCAAATGTCAGGAGGAGGGTAAGGGTTAATACAAAATCAAAACCCTATAAACTGTACAATAAATGGGTTAATTTAGAAAAACAGCCAAAATATGCATATGTAAATCAAACTTAAAAGTGAAATAGTAGTCAACATTATAGTCAACATTTATAGTCAACATTATAAGTCAACATTTTAGTCAACGTTATAGTCAACATTATAGTCAACATTTATAGTCAACATTATAAGTCAACATTATAAGTCAACATTTTAGTCAACATTATAGTCAACATTTATAGTCAACATTATAAGTCAACATTTATAGTCAACATTTATAGTCAACATTATAAGTCAACATTTTAGTCAACATTTATAGTCAACATTATAAGTCAACATTTTAGTCAACATTATAGTCAACATTATAAGTCAACATTATAAGTCAACATTTTAGTCAACATTTTAGTCAACATTTATAGTCAACATTATAAGTCAACATTTTAGTCAACATTATAGTCAACATTATAGTCAACATTTATATGCGATTTCATGACTTCAGTTGCAACTTTAATGGTCTTAGTAAATATAGTAATAAATAAAATCATAAGGCATTTTTATGCATGAGATAGGAAAATCATTGATAAAACTTTACGAAGGACTTCAATTTGTTTTATTATAACCTGTTGCAATATAGATAAGCATATTGAGAATTATATACATATGAAAATGCATTATAGAAAAAAATTGTTTTCAATTACCTGCATAAAGATCAAATACCCTAATGGAGTAGAGAGGTCAAAAGAGGTAACAATGCATTTAGAAGTGATTGTTCTTGAAGTTTGCATGCATGAATGGTTTTGCGTATTTCAGTGGTTTTTTCCCCATTTTGAAAATTGTTGAAGTTTGTTAACAGAGTCAAATATTTTGGTCGGCAGAGGAAAATTGTTTCATTCATGCCAATGAAACAGTTTTTGTGGATAAACTAATAAAGCTATAAGATGTTTTGTCTTGAATTATCACCCCCTATAGTTTGGAAGAAAGTAGGAGGTTGGGGGTGGGAGGAGGGGGGGGGGGTTTGAGGATTTGAACTAATAAAGCTATTGAATGTTTTGTCTTGAATTTTCACCTCCTACAGTTTGGAAGAAAGTAGAAGGGGGGGAGGGGGTTCTGAGGATTTGATGCATGTACTCCATGCATGTAGTTTAACATGTACATTTTTAAGAGTTAACAAACTAAATATGATTATGTAAAACCCATTGTTTTAAAATACAGGGTGTTTCATATGTATGCAGCTCAGTAGATGCACAAATGGGACACCCTGTATTTAATAAAATGAATTGTCTTAAAAAGCTATGAGAGAGTTATTGAATCATTCTTGTTACAGGGCTCCTGCTGGACCTCCATCCCAAGGATACAAACCTGCCCCAGCTCCAGGTAGGACTTTTATTCCTTGGAGAAAGTGATGGATATGTCCGAGTGGCTCACGGTTAGATGTGGTAGAGCGGAGTGGGTTGGAATACTTAGAGAGATTACCAAAATGCATATAAAATTGAAATAAAATTTTTAAAAATTTATTTCATCAAAAATATATTCAATATCAGTTACTCAAAATTATGAATCTGAATAGAAATAATTCAGATATGGATATGGAAGTTGAATCTGAATAAAATTAATTCCGATTTGAGTATCAATAAATTACATAAACTTTACTGACATTTAGATATCAAACAGAGGTTCAAATTGTGTTAAAATTGTGATGCCTGGACTGTAATAATAAAATATTTTACACATGTTTTATACATGTATATGCATAGGAACCAGATATCATTTGTCGATACAAAATTGATTGGATCGAAAAGTGAGATTCATCATTTTCAGTAAAATAATAATCGTTTTATCACAGTATTAATTATTTGTTAAATGCATCCTTGAGAAAAGTAAGTTTAAAGATGTTCTTGAGAAATATTTTCATACAAATCAATTCAGCGAATCATGTAGTGATAGAACGTAGGATAATATTACACATAATTTCAACATATATGATTGAACACAGATTTTAGTGGATATCAAAGCTGAATCTGAATAAAATTAATTCTAAGTTTTGTTTTTTCATCCACAGAATTGCTAGGTACTCACTCTGTACATATTTGACATTACTGAAGTAGAAATTAAAATACATGACCTAGATATATGATTCTTACTAAAAGTTGGCCAAACTGAAGTAACGAACCCTGACAGGCGACAGAAATTTTTATCTTTTAGGTTGATACCATAACACTAAAATAAATACATCCTTTTGAGAGTTTGAACCCAAAATGTTCAGGTTTTAGAATCTTATGAAGTCATAAATATGAATGTAAAACACAGCATACTGAAATATAAATTGAAATGTTTGAAACAATACCCATTGGTTCTTTACACTTGTATTTTATTATAAATTATATAGATGTGAATTGAATTTTTAGAATGAATATTTTTGTTTCGGCCATTTTGAATTGTGTGACCCACCCTCGTAGACTGAAAATTTTGAGTTGCATTGAAAGCACTGATTGGCTGACTAAATACCCCTTTACGGAACCACTTGAGACATACCTTTGCAGTTTGCAGCAACAGTTTAGAATTTGGAAATCCAATGTTTTGCCCATCTCAAATATAATCTGTATTGTTGGAAATACACCATAAACTTATATTTTGATTCAATTAATAGTTTGTATTATCTTATAATCGGAAAAGCCATTGGTTGTTTTCAGCTCAATTGCTTTAACACTGGTCAGGTACCTATAGCTGAGTTTGATTTCTAGAATCTTAAGATTGATGGATTTCCAGTGATGCTAGCTAGGTGCTGACCTGATCAGAAAATAAAGCTGGGGACAGAATATACTCTCTCTCAAGATAAACAATCAAGAGTTACGTGATCCAGGATCGATGAAGCGCTCAATCAGACAGGACCATTCCAGCAATGCTACTTCCAGCTTGTGAGGTGACCTAAGATGAAAGTAGTGGGTTAGTCAGTATCTCAGATTTCCATCCCTAGCTGATCCCAGCTTAAGAGATGGAGAGGCGAGAGCTGGCACCCACTGCAAGCATCTAGGTTCGGCTTCCAGAGTCTGGGACGATTGTACATTGGTCAGCCTTGGAGCACTCTTCGCTGATCTACTCTTGTGTTGTTATAGCTAAGCCCATTAAATTATTTTTGAACACTGATCAGTTTAGTGTAAAAACCAGCACTGGTAAATAGTTGGGGACTTTCCAGCTTGCGTTTAGGTAGTGAACATAAATTGTTAATTGTAATTATATACAGGACTAAACTTTGAAATTATCAATTAAATTAAATGTATTAAGGAATCGACTTGTATGTCAAGGTAACTTTACAATCTATTGGACTTATGATAGGAGTCTAACGCTACATGTGTTTGTTTCAATTGTAGCTCCAGTGACTTTCACTCCTAAACCGGCTGCTCCGAAAAGTGCACCTGCCCCCTGGTCTCCCCCTAAACCAGCCCCTGGTGGCGGGAGTGGCACCAAATTTGGGCGTAAAGGAGATGCATCCTTGAAACGAGAAGGTGAAGGAATGTCTGGGCGTATACCAATGTGCGTCGCCTGCGGGGCAACAATCAGGTAATTTTTCTTGATGGTATTCTTTGGTTAATATTCAAAATGTGGCCATAATATATTCATTTTTATATTTTTGTCATTTTCAGAAATTAAGAATTCCAAATTAATTTGTTTGTTAAAATAAGGGTCATTAAATTTTTTCTCAAATTTGCTTGTATTATTTGAATGAAATTAATAATTCAACTACTTTGCAACATTTTTGTCTCAGTGGCATTCGGTAAGTTATCCTAGCACAATAGCACAATATCACGGTTATTTATAACTATGGTTAAAAAACTCAGTTAAAAGAATCTTTCTAGTACTGTATTTGACAATCCTTCCTCATTTAGAATGTAGCACAGGAAATTCGGTGTATTCAAAACTTTGTAGTTTTTAATGAACTTGAGTAATTTCTTTTATAGTTATTAGTGATCACAATTTTTTCATTTTTTATCACGCATTAGAGGTTATCCTTGAACTGGATTGGAAACTTTCTCTCCTTCAATGAAGCTATTTTTTCTCTAGCCATGGAGTTTATGTCTCACCTTTTTATCACCACTGAGCTATATTTTCACAATAGAGCTCTATTTTCACAATGGAGCTCTTTCTAGCAATGGAGCTATTCTCAAATTGGTGCTCTATTTTTCTCAAACTGAGCTTTCGTTAACAATTGAGCTGCATTCATTACCATTTCTCAGAACTTTCTCACCATGTTTTTTTCTATCACCACAGAATTCTTTTTCTCAATATGCAGCTCTTTCACACCCTTTCATTGTGGAAGTCTCTTACACCCAGGAGGTTTTATATTGTCTCATAGCTCCTCTTTCTTTAAGCATGTACTAGACTATACTTCTAAGGTTTATGGTACATTATTGTAATGCTCAAATAATTATTCTCAATTTATTAAAAGCATGAATTTGTATAAAATAATATAATATGTAAGTTTTTATGAATGTTACATAAATATTTACTTAATATTGGTTATCTGCACTCTTCAAATAATTGCATGTTAAGTTTATATTTTCAATAAATTCATGAATATTTTTAAAATTATTAGGTGATGGTGTCATGGTTGGATTCTTTGTTAAAAATACTTGCACTTTAATTTTATTACTATGTTTGTCTATTTGAAAAATAAAGAACTTGAAAAAAGAACAAATGTCTAGTCAATTTCCAATTTAGTAATGAACATTTACATTTGACCATATACCATGTATATATAAATGAAACTAGTAATAACTGAATTTCTTCTTCGTTTTCTTTATTTTCTTTATTAATTTCATTATATATAATATATATATATATAAACATGTATCATAACAATTCACTCATCCTCAATTTGTGAAGGAAAGTCAACAAATTTGTACTGGGCTATATCATTTTAAAGTCAAATACAAACTGATTCTACCTTTCGTATGGTACTACCAAGCATGTCCTCTCTTGATTTAACCATAATCTAAATCTGGCTGAATAACATGGATTTAAAGCAGTATCACCTGTCCTTTTGTGATAAACCGTCAATGTGGTATTACTTTTCAGAGGGCCCTTTATTCTTGCTCTTGGTAAGAGTTGGTGCCCTAACCACTTCACGTGTGCTAACACGGGTTGCGGGATGTCTCTCGTAGACATTGGGTTTGTTGAAGAGAATGGTCAGCTGTATTGTGAACAGGACTATGCCAAATACTTCGCTCCACGCTGTCACAAGTGCAGTTCTGCCATTGTTGGGGTAAGTACAACATTATTGTCTCAAGTGCAGTTCTGCCATTGTTGGGGTAAGTGCAATATTATTTCCCTTGATCAACATCAGCTAGAAACACTGCCCTCTTACTTTTACAGTTTTTTATGAAATGGCATATATTATGATACTTTCAAGAAAGTGACTGTAAATTATTTCCTCAAGGGAATATCCTCTAAAATGTACTATTCCCAAAGTCACAGGCTGAGGGAATTGTTACATTTTAGAGGATATAATTGGTATTTGAGCAGAATATTGCCATCAATTTTGAAAAGCTGTAATTATAAAGAATATTGATGATGAGTTAAATAAAATGTTTTGTGTACATGTATTAGGAATGCTTTAAAGTTTATCCAGTGAAAATTTCATGAAAAATTAATGAGAATTGAAAAGGTTATCAGGAAAATAGACGTGTATGGCTTGTTCTGTGCCTGCTACTATGTGGTGTTTCATGAGCCACCACATATTACTCAGGCCTGAAGCCAGGGGGGGGTTCGCAGGGTTCGGCTAAAAATTCTTTCAAAATCATGCAGTTTTTGACCATTTTGAGCACTTCTCTAGTGATTTTAGCCTAATTTGGACCAAAATTGTCAAATGTGAACCCCCCCTGGAAATTTTTGAAAATTGAACCCCCCTTGGCAAATCCTGGCTACGGGCCTGTTACTATTATACCATGCTTACATTTTTAGGAATGTGTAAAGGCAACTGGGCATGACTATCACCCTCATTGCTTCTTGTGCGCTCACTGCCGTCAACCAATTGGAAAAGGAGGCTTCCATATCGAGGAAGGTCAGCCTTACTGCTTGAAGGGTAAGTTATGTGTCCATTTTAAATCTATTGCTTAACCTCTTGAATACCCAGAGTGAAATAAGACTGGTGCCCAGAGGGACGAGAAAATCCGTCACAAAATTTTTCACAAAAATTGCTCTCATTTGAACAATTTTCATCCAATTTACACAAAAATAGTTTTAAAACGTGTAGAAATGATCTCTGCCGTCCAATTTTACTAAGCTGAGCATCTAAAGTTGTATAGGTATGTAATAAAATGTCAAAAGGTGGCAAAAAATGAAAAATTCTCTGGTTTCATGCCAATTTTAGAGCCTGGGATTCAAGAGGTTAATTTCCTCATTGAATATGATATTTTCCTCTGAAGTTCCTTTTGAATAACATACAGTAAACCCTCTCAAGTGGAACACCTTTGGTGCCTCTAAAATGTGTACCACTTGGGAGGTGTTCCACTTATAGCAGTTCATTTAAAATGTGTTCCACTAGCAAGAGGTGTTGAACTTCTAGAGATGTTCCACTTTACAGGTTTCACTGAGTATTGAAGCCCAATTTTTTATTTCATAGTCATAATACAATTTTATTGAATTGCTTTTACAGATATATTAAAATTCACCTTTAATGCGAAGAAGTCTGCAAATTATCTGAAAGTGATATTAGTAGGTGGTCACTTGACTTTGCTGGATCCTTCAACACAGTTCTGGATAAACACTGCACTTGTCTTTAACATACATGTACATATTTTATTCATAATTGAATGTTCAGGTAATAGAAAGAGAAGCGCCTGTTAATACACAAGTTCCTTAATTACAAAATTGCTGCTTCTCCCTCCTATTGATGACTTGCATCTTTTTCAGTTTACGGAGACATATTATTTATATTAGTAGGCGATCACTTGACTGTGAGGGGTCCTTCAACACAGGTTATCCAACCTGTCCATACACGTTCCTAAATCCAACATTAAGATCACAAAATTGCCACCTCTCCCTCCTTTTGATGACCTGCATATTTTTCAGATTGGGGAGACATGTTCCAGACCAAATGCCTTGGTTGTGAGTTTGCGATTGAACCTGGAGATAGATGGGTGGAGGCTTTGAATGGAAACTGGCACTCGGAGTGTTTCAACTGCTCTGTAAGTGAAGCTAAAATTATATGTCAAATGGGTTAATGAAAACACAGAATTAAATTCTGTGCTAAGGGCTGATGTGAAAAAATCAGTCCAATCCAGTGGGGATCGAACCCATGCAATATTAACTCTCACCTGTCTAGTTTTGAGTATATTTGTTACAGATACTCTCTGTAATATTGACTTAGGAAATAAACTCATTGTTAAAAGCATTGGTGTCTGTATATTGGTGTCTGTATAGTAGGTCTCATGTTTGATTTCATTCAAATTGTGCAAAGTTTAAAATATAAAATACAGTAGGAAATTAATAGCATGTAAATATTATGAAGATAGTCTCTGTATAGAAGCCTATTTTACTATGAAGTTTATAGATACAGATGTGTATGTTGTTCCTTGTAAAGACTTGTATTTCAATCCTGCAGAACATTTGTGTAAAATTAGGATGACAAGAATTACAATTGTTGAAAAAAATATTCATAAATAGTGAATTGCCCATAGCAGATATTATTATTTTAAGTTAAGAAGATATTGCTATTACATTAAGAAGGATATCATTTTTATCTCATGGGATATTGACCATATTTTGTCTTTTTATTTTTAGCAATGCCAAGTGAACTTAGAGGGACAAAGTTTCTATGCGAAACATGGGCGCCCATACTGCAAGAAACATGCTGGTGGATTCTAAACAACCCCATAAATACCCCCTGAATGTGACAAAAGGACCCCATAGAGACATGATAACAGGACCCGATTGTGACATGTTAGAAGGATCCTCATTTAACTGTATACCATAACCAAAAGTATTGCATTGTTATCAGTTACAACAACATGTACCTTTTTGAAACAATAGAAGCTGTTATGTTTTACAAGCAATTGTATTTGAAACATTTGTAGAAAATGTATATTAGTTTATGGTTTGATCTGTATCATAGGTTCAACTTACTCAGCTATGCTTATAGCTTCACAACAAATATGCCTAAATTTAAAACCTGAAAAGATGAACACTTTGAAGGTGAACACGCCTAAGGTGAACACTTTTAAGGTGGGTACTTCCAAGGTGAACACTTTTAAGGTGGATACTTCTGAGGTGAACACTTCTAAGGTGAACTCTCCTAAAGTGAACACTTTTCAGGTGGACACTTCTGAGGTGAATTTCATTGGAATCTTTGCTAAAAAGTAGCAGAATATGAAAACCTTTTTGGCGCCTAAACTGTGTTCATTTCATCACCAATTTTTGTATATCCAAGTACAGTATATCTATAATGTCTGAAGCTGCCTTTGCTGATATAATATCTTTGTCTACTGCTGAAACAAGTTCAAGACTATTTTCTACAAGTCAAATTCATACAATCTGAGTGCAGTGTTAAAAATAAAAAATAAATAAAATTATTATTCATGTTTTGTTTTGTTGCCATGGAAATGAAAATATTTGTTAGAAATATTGTATTGTTATATTAAGATTTAGACCTTTTGTATTGTTAATATATGAAAACTATTTTAATCATTTTATAAATCTGCTTCAAATTGCCACAATGTACAGTATGATGCTTGCACATATATATCATATGTGCAAGTATATTTAATATATTTGCACCTCTGTATATCATAGGCTGGAAATGCTACCATATCGTGTTCTGACTGACATTGTACTGTTTTGTAGAAAATTCTAAAATTGGTTTTGAGTTTTATTTCGTTCTGTATTTTGTAGCTTTCATGTTTGAATCCTGCATGTTTTTGAAGAGAATTCAAAATGATAGAATAACTTCAGAGTTTACTAGTTTTGGTAGATTTTACAGCCATTTATATATTTACGGGCCACCCTGTATTTATTATGTATAATGTGAAATAGGAGATCACTTTGGTCTATGCAACTGCACTGCCATATATGGCGATGCCATAAAGGTGTAATATAATTAACGTTATAATAATTATTTTAGCAGTAGAGATTTGAATACACCCTTGCTCACTTTTATGGGATTTTAAAATAAAATAAATAAAAAATACTAATCTTGTTTGAAGAGGTTTTTTGAATGAAGAAATAAAAAACTTTATGGATTGTTGACCAATCATACACTGCTTGACTATCCGTAAAAGTAGCCGTTGTTTCTCATTTAGAAAACACAAAAAATATATCCATAAAAATGAGCAAGAGTGTTTGTAAGGATGTACAGGTTTTAGTTGATTAACTTCACATTGTTTAGATAAGTTATAATGACCATGGATAGAACACTTGACTGACTAATTAATAATGATCTAATAAACAATTATAAATAAATAATAGTTGGAGCAATATTTTTCAGATTCAATGAATAGCCACCATCTTTTGATAGGAGTTTGCATTCATTGGTCCGATTTCTTGAATTTTCTAACATTAGGCTTAATATAAATGTATTTTGTGTAAATATTTTTGATTTAGTTCAAGAGGAGGGTATGTTCATCTATGTGGCCGTTCACCTATGTGGCCGTTCACCTACATGTATATGGCTGTCCACCAATGTGGCGATTCACCTACATGTGTGTGACTGTTCACCTATGTACACTCATTAATTGGCCTTCAGTTGTAACATTGCCTTCTGGGAAAGGACCCTCCTCTGATTTTGGTCGTAGCTTTAGATGGGTTTAAATGTCAACCAGAGGTGTTTTTATAGACGCTGTTATATCAACTTAGGCCAGGTATACAAAGTTTAACCAGTTATGCATTTATCAGAAAATATAAGAAAATATAAGATGCTTACTGAAGCTTTCCTTGAGTAACGCATTCTGGCCATCAAAATATCATTAACATTGAGATTAAATTGCTATAAAAATGATTGAAATAGATGGGTCTTGGATAACAGGTCCCTGGCTGTTGTCTAGGATTTTCCTGGTTTCATGACATGTCATAAAAAGTCTGCTAGGTGTACTCCTATCAGTTTTTGTGCTCTGTATCCTAATCGTTGATAGCTTGCTCCAGTCTGTGCACAGTTAATATCATAATAACAACTTCTGTAGTCAAACCTGCTTGTTGCAATACTATTGTTTGAACCAATAAAGTTTGAAAAATAATTATTCCGTTGTTATGTATTTGTTCGCTGAAGCCATGGTGAAGAATGTGATGAGTATCTATGATTGATAGTTATACGGATCTGTCTGAGGATATATAGAGGTTATACCTATGGGAAGGGATTGTATATTGAGTTTAGAGGGATGATATGATCTCTTTCCGAGGGACCGAGTAAACATATCATCCCGAAAGATAAACCCAATATACAATTCATGACCGGGGAGATCTGAAATTGACAAGGGAGATGGATGGCTCTTGAAAATATTTGTCAAGAATGTAGGTATAGTAAAACCTGTCTTAGTTGACACATCTCCTGTGTTTAGTGAACGCCACTTCAAGACGCATTTTGCATTGAGTCCTGTCAACAGTGAACACTTTTGTTGCTCCATGGGTGATCAGTATATACAGGTTTTACTGTAGACTAGTTAATTGATCCAATTTGATATACAGGGTGGTCAAAAAATGGAAACCATTACATCATTTCCCTCTATCTTTGTCATTTTAAGGAAGAACTCCCCGATATTTTACACATATGTACATCATTCAATTTGATACGGCCTACTTATTTCATGACCATCAGATTGATAGTCACAATGTTGTAGCACTTTGCAGAGCATGCCCCAGTGACGCTGTCGGGAAACCTGTACTCTCCGTCTAAAATGTTCCTACTTGTGGCAGCGCGATGATGGCCAAACCTGAAACGTTATTCAAATTGCTGTTAAATTGTGACTTTCAGTCTGATGGCCATGAGATATGGTAGGGTGGTAGGAAATTGAATGAAATATCAGGGAGTAATTTTTTAAAATGACAAAGATATAAGGAAAATGCAGGGTTTCCATTTTTTGACCACCTTGTATTTGCTTAGATCATGGAATCATAAAATCCGAATCATCTTTAGAAAAACTAGCACATCGGCTTTAAATATCATTGAAAGGATACACTGGTTTAATAATATGTCACAAATGGTTGCCACGATTACTTCTCTTGAAAACCAGTATGACTCTGTATCTTCAAAGTGGCGTCTCTGTTACAAAAGAGAGAAACTAAAAGTTATCGCTTCTGATGATGCTGGATCAATAGAATCATTACATTTTGAACTAGGGATTATGTCCTAACTACAAGCATTTTGGAGAAAATTATCCAGGAAATTGGTTTATATGGAAAAACAATTTCTTGTACCGGAAAGCATGCCGTTTTGTTGCTGAGACAGGTGACTTGATAATGCGTTGAGACCCAGTGAGTAAAACAAACAATAGTTCCCCGATTTTGTTGCTCGTACATGTACTACGAATTCAAATTAATTAACGGCAACTGTCTCATCGTTGTACACTTGTTACCGAAATGCCTTGTCCCTGTTTAAGAATATTTTTGGCTCAAATTGATCACTGTCATGTCTATTTTCTGATTATCGTTATAGCTATATTGAGCATACTTTTTGGGGGGAAAACTTTAACAATTTGTTCGTTTCTCTATAAATAATATGGTCACTTCATTTTTATTTGGGAGAATTGTGGCAAATTGTGTACTTTGATTCTAAATAGCTTATTTCGCCAAATTCATAACATATCGTGGATCTTTTTGGGGATATATTTGAGAAGGTAAAATACATTGGTATGTCAATTGTACATGTTACTTGCAATTCTTTGCACCCCTCCCCCACCCCCACCCCCCCTTAGTTCTGCCTCATCATTTGTATAATCAATTCAACCCAAATTCAGAACAGAATATTTCAATCACTTGCTTTTAATTTCTATTTTCATTTACTGCACTGCATTTTATTCGTTCATATATTTTTACATTTATTATATTGACCCTCATTTCATTTTAATCTACATTTTATATTCTATTGTTTACATCATATACACGTACACTCCCCTTAAGAATTTGGAAACACAAGGTTTTACACTTGTCCAATAGTGCAAATTTTTGTTTCCAAACATTTTGAGAGGAGTGTTGGATCTGCCTATCTACAATATTTCTACTATTATACGTTTTAGGGTATATTTGCTCCGATAAAGTATTATTCGCTTTGTTTTAGAATTCAGGCTTATTTTTCTAAAACTGAAGCACACATATTTTGTTACAAAGTTGGACGATATACATATTTTCCATTTAGGTTACAGTACTCGTATATATTGCTAAGTTTGTCATTTAAGTACAAATTGCCACTGATCCCATTTTGTTTGATTTGCAAAATTGTAACATAAAAACAGCATCCTCCGATCACAGGGCTTCAAAATCCAGAATATATTCTTTCTTTTTAGGAAGAAGGAGGTACGGATTCTGGACACCTGCTTAGGAGGATGAAAAACAGGGAATGTATACATTTCTTCCTGTTTATGCCTAATCCTAATAAAACAATATAGAATACGTGGCATGATTATCAACTGTTTTACACCCCTTTCAAAAGTTTGGTAACGGAGAGTCTCCCTTTGGACCACCTGTCAAAGCCTGTTTACGATCAGCAAATTGAATTATTGTAATAAAGGATCTATATTAAGATTCGAGCATTGACAGGCGTTTCAAGTTGATACATGCTATCTAATTGAAACTTACGATTGCTAAACTTATGGAGGGGGTGTCAATTGTGTGATTCACACAAAGCTTTTGATAATTTTACTTTCAATGCATAATTTAATTCTTATAATACAAGTACAATGCAACTTCATTTCACTTACACTTAATTTGCATTGTATAACAATAACGTTATGTGCATCCCGCACGTAATTGATAAATTTCATCTCACGTGACAACTTTTACAAAGTACATTGCAAAAATAAAAGCGATAAATATATTTGGCAACATATTCATTTAGATTGCATGCTACAGGCATATCAATATAGCATTCGCATCTCCAAAATAAATATTTAATAGTTTGTCATGTGTTGTTCCTGTATTGAACATGACTTTAATGTGCGTCATTCATATTAAAGCGGCTCGCCAAGGAATATATATTCATGTTAAAAACAATAAGTATATGATTATAAATATAATAATAATATATTATAAATATAATGACGTGGTTCCATATGCTGCATATGAATAAATATCAACTGCAGACTATATATTTCATACTGACCTGAACAGCAAAGTTGAAGTTACTTTCTCTGATGTAATAAATTTTAAGTAGCATTAAACATTTTAAGTAGCATAACACATTTGAAAAACTGTAAAATAATGATATAAAAGTGGAATGAATTAAAACACCATTAAGAACGAATTAATAAAATTGAATAAATACGAAATAATTAACAAAAATATTTTGGAATGTTACATTGTATGTAGACATCGATATCATAGATAACCATAATTACGCTTTTTAATTGTTATTAAAAGTTGTTATATTTAAATTTCCTCTCTGTAGAATAGCTATACTAACGAATAAAGCGTTGGTGCAACAGGACCTTCAGAATACACGATACTGTAATAAATATAGCACTTGTAGAAAGAGGAGAAAATACCTCAGAAGATGAACCTAGATCTACTAGTGTTATGATGAACCCATCAATAGACCTAGAGGTTCATCTTTGTGTGGAGATAAGTTCATCTCTGATTTCTGAGATATAGCCCCCCCCCCTCTTACTTGAATAGGAAAATGGCAACCTTGTAAATTACCCAGCATGCACTTGTCTCTCAAATATTTAAGCACAATGACCCATCCATTACATGAGAAATGCATAGTTTAACAGCTGTTTATCAATTCCGATAGGTGGGGTGGTTCTATTTGCATCCGTATTGCGAGTATGTTCAGGCCACCATACACAAAGTGCGATAAAAAGTAATTTATCAATATATATTGATAGGTTCTTGCGCTTAAATCCTGTCTACACATTGCAAAACAGAGAGAAACATAGATCAATTGACCAATGACAAACATTTTGCAAGAGCCTTTTGCAGATATCGCAGTGGTAAACTGTCATCTGATTGGTCAAAAAGTGATAATGCATGAGTGCATAAATTATGCATCAGAAACTTTTTTCCATTTAGTGTTATTGCATAAATAGTGCATCATTTTTAATGTTTCATCGTTTCTTTTTATATTTAACTAACTACTGTACATGTTAACAGTCTCTGGTATTTACATTGCTACTGCGTATATATATAGTGTATTTTTGTAATGTTCACGATCGTTCGTTTTTTTAATTTATTAGTTTGCGCATGTAGAGTATAGTCATGAACTTGTATTGTGTTTTAATCATAATTTACTGATTCACAAACTACATAATATAATCTTTCTTGCATATACAATATGCATAATAATTATATAATAGGCATTCCATTGTTTATAAGTAGATGCATTATCTACCACATGTAGATGTATTTTAACACACTGTCGTATTTAAAATACACTCCCCTCAAAAAGTTTGGCAACAGGATGGAAATTTTCATTGTATAGCAATTTATAAAGCCTGACGATGTTTGAATCTTAATTGTGTTCCTTAATCACAACATTTCGGAATTTGATGACAAAGATCAATTCTTTTAAATCGCCAAATATAACCAGGTTTTGATAATGATAAAAACGAGGACTTCTGGTTCCCAAACTTATGGCGGGGAGTGTATCTTCGTCAGTAGAGCTATATACAGGCTGTCCAGGTATTGAAGCTACAGTTGCTCTTGGACACTCTGTACTTTTCATTTGTTTTTTTCGTTTGACAAAAAGCACTTCCAAGAAAATATCTTTTAAAGCCATTTTCGTTGTTCCCAAGTACTGATATCGTATTTATGAAAGTAGCCCTCTTTATATGACATAGTCCATGTATTGCAGGTAGTTCATTTCGTAACCTCCATGGTCGCCTTACTCCTCACTCGGCAATATTTCTCGTCTGGATAAGGAATGATTTTGCATTTGAAGTTTCTCTAACCGCTTTTCTCTGTTACTTTGCTTTCACCTCAGCTAATGACAAAATCAGTTGCACTATTTTCAAGATGGCGGTTTACACTGCGTATTGATATTTGCCAATGCGGTGAAATTAAACCTTTCACCAAAGATGTCTTCCGTTAAATATCCCACGTCTTGATAATTCCAAAAAGTTTTATGTTGAATATAATATTCCAGAACCGTTTTCAATTGAAACAGGAAGGTCTTGTGGAACTAAACTCTTCGACAGTAAATGCCCACCACTCAACTAATATGTTTGTATGACTCCAGTAACTCTGTCGGTTGAATGCCAAGCTTTGTCAAATGTTGATTTCAAGCAATGACTTGAATATCAGCTTATCTATGTGGCGAACATAACAATTCAAACATGTTGGAAAAATCCCGATCACTTCATTTTAACATGATATCATTTACCATGATGGACTTTAATTGCTCAATAAGAACTTATCTGGAGCAAAGACAGTTATTATTGCTTTAGTTTTCTCCTGGTTTTGCCGTAAAGTCATTCTCAACTGTGGCAGTATCAGAATTTGGTTTAAGTGGTTCAACAATTTCTTGACCCTCCAAAAGGTCGTCTTTGGAGAATTTCAATGCAGGATTGATGTTACCATTTGCATTCTTAGATTTAAGAACAGTCATTTCTCCGTTCAAGTCTCCATCCTTAAGAGCTACTGCCTCTTCCGGAATGTTGACGATTTTCTGGAAGACGTCAAAGTGTTTGGGAAGGATGCCATCAAGGAACAATTTATTGCTAAGAGCTGATACACCCAGTAAGGTTAACAAACAAAGTATCATAGAAAGAGTCCTAAATGGGAACCGTTGAACTTTTTCCTCTGCATCCCAATATGGGTAATAAATGAAAGGGTCGAGACGAATTAACGGCTCGCCTCCTCCTAGTCGGAAAAATAGCCCTACAATATAAGCAGCAAGGCTTCCATATGTGTTGGACCATTTAACGTAGACTACACATATAAGTTGTGGGAATAGAATGACATAGACAAAGTCAGAACACAATGCCCACAGACCATATATGGATGTAATAGTGATACCCATGACCGTTGCCATAGCACCAACTCCAAATATGGCAACACGCATCACCCATAGAATTTCTCTTTCCGACGCCTGGAAATAGAAATAAATAAATAAAATATAAATGAATGTGAATAATTAAATATAACAAAGATAATGATTGTCAGTCATCTAGTTCTAACCATATATGGCTAGAACTAGAGTTGTATCTATAGTAATCGTTTCTGTATTTAAATCTGACATGTCCTTCTTTAACAATACACAAGAATTCGAATCTGTGACACACCTTTTGTCTAAACACCAGCTTGTAAACATTTCTAGCGAACATGGCACTCGCTGAAAGCACGGACGAATCTGCCGATGACATTACAGCTGCTGAAATAGCTCCTAGTCCAATGAACGAAACGACGTCTGGGCAGAGGTATTGCAACACAAAAGGCAGGATGAGTTTCTGATCGTCTTTTGGTATTGGAAATGGACGCCCATCTTGTGCATATTGAGTATTGTTCCAGTCTAAAATAAGAAACCAAGTCACTTTAGAAAAACTACCTACCATGAAAATGCAAAATGTTCATAGTTCTAGACCAAGTACAAAAATAATTCTATTTCATGTATACCATTTCATGTATTGATCTTACTAAGTAATACATGGTCCAAAATATGTAAGCACATAACCAAAAGAGGAAGAACTTTACAATAAGAAAAAAAAATTTTATTATCTTGGAGTACAACCCCCATAAAGAGAAAACGAAACCCCCAATATCTAATCTTACACAGACTAACACACACCTAAGACATGCCTAACCCATGCCTAACATACTTTCCTTCCATGGGAAGGACAGCCCCTAGACCGAAATTTCATGAAGCTTAACATACATATAGGGCATGATGGGACCTCCATAGATTGAACATCGTGCGAAGCCTCATGGGACTTCAAGGGGCTTTGCCCGGTAGGGCTCCTTGGGATTCAATGGGATTATTTGGGACTTTGTCCCATTGGTGTATGTTGGGCTTAATATTCGATCCCTTTGATCAACCATAAAACTAAGTGATAGAGACTACAAACAATTTTCTCTTTAACACTTTCGAACATAAGGTCCAGAATTATGTTATGACTAGCATAATGGTAAAGACCTTGCAATAATTATAAAACACTGCATATACTTAAAGATACTAAATAGTCTCAACAAAATACGTACCTGCATTCTTTGCGATTGCTCCTATGAGTACAGCTGGAAGTGCCATTAAAATACAGCCAGCTGCAGCCACCCATGACAACACCTGGGCGCGAAATGCTGTCTTAGATGACAACACACGTTGGAAGTACACCTGCCATGGTATACCACCAAATGTGAGTAGTAACGCTGAGTCAATCCAGATGCCAATATCTTGCGTCTCCAAAGTGCCGATCCAGTCCTCTCCCCCAAAGGTATAGTTGGTCCCATTAGTCCCATTCATTGCCGTAGCAATTCCATTTGGTGTGACATCTCCAACGTACTCACTGGTCCACGCAAATGGTACAGCCAGCCACTGAAAAAGTTAATGTATTATTGTTAATATTTATTTCTAATCTATAAATGTTTAAGTCTGACATCGAATGGGTGACACATGTTGTGTATGTTCCTGAGTTTTTTAGTTTTTTTCAGATTTGCACTAAAAAGGACGGAAACTGAAAACGTAAAACATGCACTGACGTAGCCAAACAACCGTATTAACCGCCAATAAAGAAATCCTTATAACATTTGTGTAAAACATAGCATCACAAAATTGAACTTCCAAAGTATTAAACTCCTCAAGCATGCATGCATTACAAAAGATCGGATCATGAAGTTATTGTCACCCTTAGAGAGATGTTTATCATTTCATGTTGTTGAGTGATTTAATTGCACCATTGAGATTGCACATACATAAAATGTAAAGAATATTATTCAAACATTTAGGAATTTAACTTCCTTAATATAAGTCATTAAATATGAACCTAACACGGTCCTAAGTCCATGTTCAGAGTGGCTGTAAATTCGTAAAGTATAAAACACAAATAAAAAACACAAATGTGCCACAGATAGCCCATTACCTTAATGAACCAGAAACTAGACAAAAGCCTTTTTACATTTTTTCAGGTTTTTGTTTAGGCTACCTTTCACGTGGTATTTATTTATTATTCTTACATGTCTTTCAGTGTTTTTTTACAGCTGGTCGATCCATGTCAAACGTAGAGCACATTAGCATTCACATCCATGTTAAAAAGTAATAGTAAACAAGAGTTTAATTTAACCACACTTTGACGAATAGACCTTGGCTAGACACAGTAATTTGGATGGTGAGATGTTAGGCCACAAGCCATACGATAATAATAGTTCTCAGCATCTTAGACCGAGGAGCAAACACAATTTTAGGTCTTTCATAAGGTAAGACGACTGCACTTATTTGTTTCAACTTGAGTTGTTATTTTTCATGTTTATCTATGAATAGTAATGTGAACGTATTACTATATATACTTTTGGGAAGCAAAGTATTTGAATCTAAATCGAGGCTAGCTATCAGCATTTATTGCATTTCCGGGATTGATATTCAGTGGAATATTGAATATAGTGGAATATTGAATATTACGTATTAGTAGGGGCAGAGATAAAGGCAGTTCCAGTTTTCTAGTAATTAAGAAAAATAGAATACTGTTTGTTACAAGCAGCCCCAAAGGACCGAAGTTCGCAATTCATAGTTGCAGTTTACGAAAAACATCCCTCTATATTGGCCTCGAATTAATATCGACCGTCATTTTGTCTCACATAATACTATTATCATATTGTGACCTTGACATTTATAGCTTCAATAATTTTATCCTGCATTTACACTGTATTGTCTGCTTTCAGATTTGCAGTTTGAAGGATTCGTTGAAGGTCAAAAAATGGGGATATTGACACTTATCGTCGATTGTATACATGATAACATGACAACATGTCTCGTATTTCTACTCGTATTCTTGGTTCTTTGGAAATACTTCAGGCCAAGTCCTTGGAGACTACCACCCGGGCCAAGACCATGGCCTATTATTGGGAATATGAACCCTCTGAAGTTGAGTACATTTATCGGTGATGTAGAAGCATTTGAGCTTGCGAGAAAATACAATACTCCAATCCTCTATCAACGTTGGTTTGGCATGAATATGGTTACACTACATAGTTATGATCTTGTGAAAGAAGTGTTTACCAGTGATAAGATGGTCGACCGTGTTAGACAAGGCATCGACAAATGGTTCAATCGTGGTATAATTCAGGTGTCGGGTCAACGTTGGGTAGAACAAAGGAGGTTCACTCTATCAACATTAAGAGACTTTGGACTGGGGAAGAACAAAATAGAGAAAACAATACAAGAAGAAATCACAGAACTCTTCGAGAATTTAGACAATAAGAAAGGGGAATCATTTGAGCCTACAAGTCTGCTCACAAATGCTATCTCAAATATCATATGTTCTATGATCTTTGGACACAGGTTCGATTATGACGATACCACGTTTAAGAATATGCTTCGTATGATGGACGAGAATATTGAGATACATATGCCACCAGTTTTCTTTGGAACAATAATACCCTTTGCAAATTGGTTACCTGGTGATGTTTGTCATGTTAAAAGACTGGAGAAAAATCTCAAATATATGCAAGATGAGGTGTTTGGACCTGAATTTAGAAAACATTTAGAAAACCACGATCCAAATAACATGAATGACTTCATGGATGTCTTCATCAATGAAATAAAAAAGAGAGAAGATGACAACGAAACGGAACATTGGTTTACAGGTGCGACCATACCTATTTCTCTCAATCATTTAAAGACCTAAATTGTAACGAATACATCTTATAATATCAACCATAGAGAATTATTCCATCAATAAAAGCCCAGTCATGGTCGATACAACAAGGGAATATGAGTTTAATATCAATACAAAATGACATCACTGATATTAAATAACATCATGATAAGATGACCATTTTGTGTCACTTGTTCTTGTTATCAGTCAACACTGTTAGGCTTTTACCCAATGTATTGAAAGATCTCTTCTTCAATTATTTTTCCAGAGGAGCAACTTGGCTGGGTTATTGAAGATCTTTTCCTTGCTGGTACAGAGACATCGTCTTCTACCATGAGGTATATGTCTCTGGCAAACGGTAGTTTTAAAACACTGTTATTTTATTATCATTTAATACCATTGTTTGTGATACCGGTGTGAAAGAAATTATGGTCCCCCGGGGATTATGTCCCCCTTCTTAACGGCCCTTACTGGCCCTGATTGTGTATAAGATAATAAGGGAAAGATGTCACCATATAAATCAATCGAGAGTAGGATCTTAAATTGATAGGACCTCCTACACTTTTACACCTGGCATTTGTTTCTTTATATAGCTGGTTGTGCACTTTTTGATTCCTATATGATGATATATAAACATACGAAAGGATTACTCTATGTAAATTATACATTTGCTTTATCCCATTTCTTTTCCAGATGGGCTTTCTTGTCTATGCTTCATTATCCTGACGTTCAGATGAAAGTACGAAAGGAAATCCATGATGTCATTGGAAAAGAAAGACTGGTTTCGATGAAAGATAGGTTGAACCTGCCTTACACAGAGGCAGTGTTGCTGGAGATACAGCGCATGCACATCATTACCCCCTATGGGATGCCGCATTGTAATAGAGATGATCCAATGGAAATAGAGGTAGGGGTTTGTTTTTATTTGTGAGTTATATATATAGTATTTTTGAATTATATTGAAATTATGTCTTATTGTAGTGTAACCGATGCTCATTCATATTGTTGGTACAGATCTTGTTTAAGTTTTTGCACCTACTAGTGGTTAGAACTAGATTCGATTGAAATATACTTCCGTTTGAAATATAATTCCGTTTGTCCTTCAACATGTAATGTAATGACTTAGGCATGGATGTGATTTCGTAAATGTCTTTTTGGATTGCGATTATGATTCTTTGAGGTTTTTTTAATTAATCATTTTTATTTCAAGTTCATATATTATAACATTTAATATCATCATACAATGAAAATTCAACAAGGTTAATCAATTTAACATTTGTGTGAGTGCGTGAGTGAGTGAGTGTGTGTGGTTCTAGGGAGATTTTTCCTTTGGGCGTTAGATCATAGTCAGATATATCTGGGTATTAATTTGTTCTCTCATCGGCCGGGTTGTTCTCTTGGATATTTGATCTTTATTGGTCGTTGGTCTCACCAGTTTTGGCACTCACGCTAACATAGAACTGCATATATTATAGGGCTACCTGCTCCCACCTCAATGCAATGTAGCAGTCAACTTCTATAGTATTCACTATGACCCTGACTATTGGGACCAACCTGAGATATTCAATCCTGACCGGTTCATCGGAGAAGATGGGAAATTCAAAAGAGATGAACACGTGATGCCATTCTCGATAGGTATATATTTGCTATATTTGCTATGATTCTACAAATCGCCCTATCAGAATAATAACACCCCAACTCACATTTTTGTGAAACTGAGAAATCATTTTTTGAAAGTTTAGACATCTGTAAAGCAGACTATTGCGATGAGATAAAGGTTTGGAAATATGATGGGAAGAAAAAGGATGACTTAAATCATTTGTGAAAATCTGACAGTGTGAACTCTGTGAGAATCTCAATGCTATCAAAAATGGCACTTGGAATCATCAAACATTTGTGGAAAGTTCAACAATTTGATATCTGATGTTTAACATTATTATAACCGCATTTGAAATTTAAATTGCAAAAGATGCTATATTTAACGATTTTGTATGTTAGGAGTATTTTTGAGTTTATCCCAATGAGAAAAATGTTCTAAAGAAACGCCCACTTTGAATATTGGTGGTTGTGTCGCAATTGTGAATCTAATAGTACTTATCATATTTATTTCAGGAAAGCGATCTTGTTTGGGAGAACCATTGGCTAGAATGGAACTTTTTCTGTTCTTCGCGTCCCTTCTGCAGAGATACAGAATAGCATTGGCAACTGGACAACCTTTACCGTCCATGGAGCGAAATGCGGGAGGCATAATAAAACCAAATCCATACAACGTTTGCTTTATAAAAGATTGCTGATACGGACATTTGTGTCACTAAAAATTGGGAATTGAATTACATGTAATATGTATCACAATGGACAAAACAGCATGTTTTTCAAGGCACCAAAGGGCAACACGGAAACGGGCTGTAATGTTATTCGATGAGTTTCATCTAAAACAAGTATTTGATGGGTAGTTCACCATTCCCTTTAAGAAGGCTCTTTTTACATATTTCTCATTTCCTAGAGATATCTTCTATTCTTTTATTGACAGTTAGTGTCAACGCATGACACAGCAGTCTATGTACGAACTAAGAAACTACTCTAACTACAAATTGTTTCTAAGGTACAGTACAAATAACCACATCGAAGATTTCATATGAAAAAAAACTATAAACAAGTGAGAACATTCTAATAGGATAAAAATCAAGAGCTTGAAAGTGACGTTTTAGCCGTCTGTACCCGACATCTATAATTATATAAAATCTGTCTAAATATGAATTAAACAAAAATGTATACATAAAGAAAGAATTGTTATAGCTTACCAGTCCAACAAAGATGCAGAACAACTGTACGACATCAGTATATGCCACAGAATAAAGACCTCCAAATAATGTGTAGACGATCGCGATGCATGCTGATATTATGATTGATATTGTGTTATCTATGGTCAAGATTACAGACAAAGTTGCACCTGAAAGAGAAAATTGTGCATTCATTTACAATTAATTGAAAATAGTAAAACCTGCAAGGCCAACAATTTTTGGAAAGAATGGGGCAAATAATTACAACCCAATATTAGCCCCCTTTGAACGATCTACTTAATTAATATATGAAATGTACAGTATTTATAGGACTTTTTCTTATAATGGCATACTAGGAAGATAAAGCTTGGATACTTACCAAGAGCAGACAATATGGCCGCTGACCAGAACGTTTCTCCTAGCAACGCTGGTAGAAACAACAGTCCTCCCATTCGCTCCCCATACTTCCTTTGAAATGGGTCCAACATTGTCACATACCCCTCCGAGCGCATCTTGTTAGCGAAGAAAATTCCACCTGCAAGTCAAACAAAGGCGATAAATATTATCTCGTTAACATGAGTATATCTTGCTGCATATAGAACAATGGTTCGGTACCATGTTTTTGTTGTATCGGTTTAGAAAACGAACTCACGTGCAAAATGTTTTGTCTCGCAGACAAATTATTATCGAGTGCAGCATTGGAAAAGTACAAAATGATGAGACGGTTACCCTTACCAAAAACCAAACTAAGTGCATAGCCAAAGGGAGCTTGACACCATATCAACCCAGTGCCATATATCATCTCAGATGTCCCGTTGATGTATCCGCCTCCTACCCACGTTGCTGAAAATAAATAAATCATAGTATATAATCATTTGTTGTATTATAAATCACTTGGAATAGCTAATGAAATGGAACGATCAAAGGTTAAAAATATTTATTCACTGGATATGAACATTGGTTATCACCAAGTAGATCTTAACCCATTCTAAGGTTCAGCGTAACTGAACACATCGACGGTGTTAGATCACATAAAAACTTTACTTTTAAGGGTATAAAGCATTTTATGAGGCAACAAGCACATCTTATGTAATCCCTGGATGGACCATCTACAAACATTGGTTTACGCCAATATTCCATACTTTTAGCGAATAAGCCAGGCCAATCCCCTCTAATTAAAGCGCTCATGTTTAAGGCTTCATTTATCTTCTCCATTAACGCTCTTTACTAATTTGATAATGTCAGAGGGACAGATATTGGCTCACAGATAACGATATAAGCTTGCCAGATTGATCGGATTCTTCGGATAAATATCAAGCCAATTTATTCAATGCAGCTTTCAGTCGATTTACATCATGTATAAAAAGCTTGATCTAACCAAGTAAGTTATTACCAGACCGTTATAATTTAATTTGACATTTTCTTAGGCGGTATAATCCAAGTGAGACACTTAACAAACTAGACCCAAAAAGAGACTTATTAATTCAGCACTGACAAGAATATCATGGCCATTTCACCACGATATTTCCTTAGTCATTGACTGATGTATTTATTTGTAGCTACGATCACATTTGGTGTTTCTATAAACCGAGTGTATCAGTCTTGTAAGTTTTTCACTGCAAACTCAGCTCAGTCGTATTTGGCCAAACCCTCATTTATCGCAATGAGTATTAAGAGTACTTTAAGGGTCATTCCTGCCAATTTTGTTAGTGTCATTTCTCTCTGAATATCTGCCTGATGAGTCATTTGGGAGACATTGGCAAATTAAGATTGCGACCGCCTCTGGTCATTCCCCTATACTGATGAATATCCAACTCAACTTTTGTTCGGTCATCATTACATTTCCCATCTTAACTTGATTGGACTGCCTGATTGGTATTTTATGCCACCGTGACATTTTGTTTAGTGAGATTAAAAAACAGGCATGGTTGAATGAGGTTGTGGGTGGGAGGTTGTGGGTGGAAAATGACGCTCAATGACGGACTGACACATTTCAACGAAATACAAACATATTACGCAAGAGGGTGAACCTCCAAAAATGGATCTACGCAAGGACTGGTCTATAGCTGACACTCACTATATCATCGTCGCTGACCGGTCAAATGACGTTAATGGATCGATCAGAAACTAACGGAAATTTTGTGTCAAACCACGACGGTGCGCACAAGAGAATTATGAGTTGACTTATGGCGTTTTTGGCCTTTTGCTCCTCTTACCAGAATCTATGTTATCGTTTATGCAATAAAGGAATATGAGCTATCGATCAGTTGACCACTTCCTTTATAACCATGATGGTCAGTGTGGAAGTAATAACATCTTTCTTGACCCGGAGTGAAATGAATCATGCAAGAATTCTGTCTAGATTAACGCATCGGTAGGTAGTGGTGGCAATCCTTGTTTGTATTAAACACTGTTAACTCGATTTCGCATGTACATTTACAACGTAACTTGATTTGGGCAATGACGTCTAAAAATTGAATTAGAACAGTTTACAAATTTGATTAGTATCAGCGTATTGCGTTGATATTCTAAACAAGTATCATTGGATACGAATTTTGTTCAGACATAGATGACAATTGGAACTTGGATTACTTAGTTTTGTTCATCATGTTTACGATATGATTTTAACATATAGTTTTTCACATGGCACACTGTTGAAATATTGTGGGAAAATTATATGCGCTTTCTATAAATTGTGTATCAATTAATCCACGGGGAAATTACAACATTTTCTCTGACAAATTAAACCCAAATCAAGTTTGCTTCTGGCAATATCAATGACTGTCTGTACCAACTCCAATAAGACACATAAAGTATTTTATAGTATTTGAAATTGAATGAGATGTTTTGGAACAAGCATACTGCCCAGTGGTCTACACTCTGCATGCTCTTTTCTGTTTACAATAGTATACAATTGTATGCCTCTCTTAAGGTCAACCTGCAAAATTACCGATACTGTAAACCTTGAAAGCACTGTTGACCGAGACTTTCAGTACCTAGTAGCGGCCAACAGTACATATTGTTTGCTTTTAATAAGCCAATCAGAATTGAGTATTTCAACTGAGGTACTAACAATAGAAACGGGCCGGCAGCTAACTGAATATCACTAAAATACTATAATGAAAACTTTGACTTTGATGTCTGTTTATGGCACGTATCACACCCTCATCTTGATTGAATGAGGGTTTACGTTTATCACTTTGATGTGATGCATACGTCTAAATAGATACTCTATCAATCTTATTGCAGTATGGTAATCAGTGCCTCTTAAAAGGAGAATGTAACCATCAAAGAACTTGATGACATTGCGAAGAATCTCATAATGGAACAGTGTAATAGTTTTGATAATAAATTACCTAAATGAAGAACGTATATCCATTAAATAGTGAGGGAATTTCTATCCTTATAAAAACACTATCTTTGAAGTATTATCTGATGAGATAACATTTTTGGTGGTTGTCGAGTCGGCCGAACGCTCTAGAACATGGTCAGCTAGATGCTGTCACTGTGACCATGAGGTCGTGAGTTCGAGACTCGTGAGCTCCTGGCGGTTATTCATACTCTACAAATACAGTCTAATTCTTGAAGGTCATCGCCGATTAAAGTAGATTACATGTTCAAATATTTCATACGTATGGATTCTCGTTTAGTTGATCTGTACTAAGTATTATGTGATTTCATGACTCACTTTCTTACATTATTTCATTCCATAATTCCCGATTGCATTGAAGTTCACTTGCTTTTGAAATATTTGCCATTTTTACTTTCGGATTGATTTAAGGGAACTTCAACATCCACAAGGGATTCCGATGTACAATTCAACGAGTTCAATTCAATACTATTATATTACCCCGGGTAAAGATAGTAGTCCCCGTGGGAAACAATTCTATTATAAGGACACGTCGGGAGAATTACGCACAATGCATACGATATATTTTAAACACTCTGTTAACTTGGTTTCATTGGTCATCATTTCAGTTGACTAGGTCAATAAAGTATCCATATCGTGCTTTTGATGTTATCTGCTTCCGTCATTTAAATATATTCATCAATTTTCAATCCAATGCGTTTGTATATTATTGAAAATTATATTAGAGCTAGGGGGATACTAAAAGTCTGGAAAACCCGGATAAAGTAAAAGCTGATAGGTATGTATAGGTATTATTGCTTATCAAATTATGTTATTTGTAGAGTATGAAAACATATGTCACATTTACGTAAATAGGATTTTCGAACAAGACACTGATTATCTTATAACTAACCAATCAAAGTGACAGAGACAGCCATTATTAACTCAATTACAGTAACCAACAATATTATTGCCTTCACAATCTATTAGCTTCTCTAAAACCTGATTGTTCCCTGGTTCATATCCCTGTTTTGCATCACTTGTAATGAATGACATATACAGTACTATAATCTTCGTATTAAGGCAGTACAAGGGTGAGTGCCTCATTTGTATTTGGCGTAAACCGGAAATGTTCAAAATTCGTTACACTCTGCCCATTTAAATGTTACGCCGTCCTCGAACTGATATTTATTCTTATGCTTTTTGACTAGCATGTTTACATAATTAAAGTGACCATAGAATGAATTCTCCATATTGTATTCGACCTAAGGACATTCTTTGAAATTATTTTTCTAATTCATGTACTTTAGTCTTTACAATAGAACATTTGAAAACAGTTGACGTAAAACGAAGATGAACTTCGTCACACTTTGTCCGTTTATTTGTTACGCCATCCTCGCATTGATGTTTATAAACATTCTGATATTCCTTTGACAAAACATTGGTTTACGACTGTGGTAAGACATCTATATCATCATTATTCATGAGAATACAAGTCGATGTCGAAAATGTGCTTTAAAATGTTCAAAATGAGAAACAGTATAATGATCAAGTTATAACGGATAAAAACTGTTATGTAAATGATGTACATTCAAAAGCATGCTGTAACATCGCATGATCTCATTTAACACGATAAAAGCCAACAGACTCATAAGAATAACTAACAGACAAACACTCCAATTTATTCTTAGATTCGTGCTTCCTGATCAAAAACCATCGTGATTCTGTCTCGATTCATAGAGAATTTTATTGATTTTGCCAAATCCAATTTCAGCTCTACTTGTTCAATTGGTCTGAACACATTCATTTAGCTCATTTAGGATGTAGACTATTACAATGTCGGAAAAGAACGAGTAGCCAATACTCAACTTTAAGCAATCCTTACATCAAAGGGCGCAAAAGTCAAAGAAATGACTTATGTATCAATTTTTGGCTATAATTAGTAAAGTAATTCATGATTTCTAGAAAGCTTATAATTGTATAATATCATTGAACTCAGAATTGATTATCAATACAATAACCCAGACCCAAAGAATTGCAACTATCTTGTAAGACTTTGATTACTCTTATGTCATGAAATTGAAATAATGTCATAACTGTATACATAATATTTCCTATTATGATATCTTTATCACAGTGGCTTATTCTTCAAAATGAGCAATCAAACAAATTTCTCATTTGCAATGGGCAAGTTGTTTGAATTACACAATATATTTCTAAAAGGAATAAAATAGATCAACAAAGGCTACCTCCAACAGAGATACATCTAATCAGGTACCGGAGTATCCCGGTGTGAAAGAAATAATGGTCCGCCAGGGATTATGGTCCCCCTTTTTAAAGGCCCTTACTGGCCCTGATTGTGTATAAGATAATAAGGGAAAGAGTTGTATTTAGGTCACCATATAAATCAATGGAGAGTAGGACCATAATTTGATAGGACTTCCTACCCTTTTACACCTGACTCTAGTAAGAAACTCTTCATAAATTTGGAATTTCACTGTATACTATTTAAAAAACATACACTGTCAAAACCAAGTTAGTTATCAAGGAATGTAATTGACCATTGAATATACAATTTTGTTGAGTAGAAACCTTGAAAGGCAAATAAAATAAGCAATCTTGTGGAGAAAGTCTATCTATTTGAAATGAAATTGAGAAACAATTCCTTGATGATAGTTTTGATCTAGCTATTACCTTCTTCAATGAACCGAAATAAAGTTTTGATGAAAGCGTTCTTTCTAACTTAAAATCTCATATTTGCTGAAAATAGCTATACATAACACCGTTATAGAATTTCCCAATGCTCTATCAATGATTTCTCCACAGGCCGATGCTCTACCCCTGAACCATAAGGACGAGTCACTACAGCTGAGACTGTAGTAGCAACTTGTTACCGAGGGTCATTACAATAGCATAGCCTACGTTTCAGAACATAATGTACCTGTCATTGTGAAAACCCCCACAAGGAGTCCGATATTCCTTCCAGCCAGCATCACATCTTCGCTGTCGGCATCCTGTCCCGTCTGTTTGCTTTTTCTGGCCGCCCATAGTCCAACTCCAAGAATCAAAACGTAGAACACAATAATGGCAATCAAGCCTGGTATGTGGATCATCCTGTCTGAAAATAGAGATTTAACACAACTGTTATACAGAGTGTCCAAAAGAAAACTGTACCAAGACATATACTGAATAACTACCCCATGAGTGATGAAATGATATTGTTTTGGGCATGTGACAAACAATTTAACTTCAAAAACATCTGAAAGTTTTACCAGGTGACTCTTAATTTGATTTTAGAGTAAAGAAAATTGTTTCAGTTCTATCACTCATTTTCCATGTTAAGACAAAAATAGTATGATTCCTTATTTGATTTTGATTTTTTTAATTTGGCCGCACCACATGACATCCCCTATCTATTGGCGAATTTCTTTTTTATTCTATAAGTCAGACTAGGAGTACGCATGTTCTTTATGCTACATTTGTTTTTTCATAAGACTAATTTACTAAAATCATATCACGTAATAAATCTATCCCCGATCTCGAACGCAAGATAAATATACGAAAGCGCTCTCCAAACTTATCACTATAAAAAACATAACTCTCTTCATATTTTCCAATTAAATAAAACATTTGATTAGATTGAAACTTCATGGGGGCAATAATGGTACCCTAAACATTGATACAGTTCATGTTGCACTTCTTAAATATTATATTACTCTGAAAAGCAAGATCACAATAGACTTTGATACGAGGGATATTACATGCTTGAGAGATCATTAATTGATCCGAGTGGGGTGTTCAGTCTCCTATTGGTTTTATGTCAAATGAATTGAGAAACGAGTTCCTCACTGTTTAATTCTTACCATTTGCGACAAGCTTGCCAATAAACTCTGATAAACACCAAGTTTGTACAGATTTATTTAGGGGATGTTTAATTCATGGTCTTATTACCGCTTAGCAATTGATCATTTCTTTAAGTTCACTAGTCGGTTATTGGATATTGGGTTCCCTGTTTAGAAGCAGATACCACTTAAGTGGTTGGAGGAAGATGTAGGAGAAAGATCGAATAGATCAGTGAGGAATAGATCACATATGAACAATTGTAAATAAAATAACCAGATCAAATTTCGATTCTGAGAATTGAACGAAGAAACAACAACGGGAAAGAGAAACGTTTTGCATAAGCATACTTATACTTATCTTGTACATTGTGGTACCCAGAGCTTGTACTATCCCCTGGGAGGCTCTGATAAATCATTTGAGGGGCTTTGATGAATCAGAATGGATCTTGTATGAATACGAGTATCTACAACTATCTTTCATATCAAGAGTATTCATGGTTTTCATTTTTATTCATTCTTTTACATGTTATGTCTTCAGTACAACTGAAATGTCCCATGGTCTTATGGTCTTTGCCTGTGATAATGTTTTATGAATCGTTGGTATGAGTGGTATTAGACATTGTTTCTTTACATATCAGATCATCGTTTTGGATATTTGATTAATGATTGGAATAAACTTAGACATGCCCTTCCATTGTATATTGCATTTTGTCATTGCAGAATTCATAAAACACCATAATAGCCAAATCTGTCATTTTGGAATTTGGTGAACCTTTAATTGCGGCCAACTCTGAAACTGATTTTGATGTCTTGTTATGAGATGTGATAGTCCCTTCCTCAGTAATATTACTCAAGTGTGAATCTTCTAGTATGAATGTTGAAGTCACAAAGCATGGTTGATCATAGATGGTAGTAATTCCTGGATAACATATATTCCGTTCGTCCAATCTGTCATACTTCAGACTCGGAGCAGGTGGTTAAGATGTTTGTAATGTTTGCTCAGTATTCCAAGTGAATTATTTATCTAAAAACCTATGTTCCTTTAATCCATGGATTCTCAGAATAAAGCTAATATAGTGTCTGTTTTGTTTGAAATCTATATCAAAATTCCACCATTGAAACTTATACGGGGGTATGGTCGACCAACCAAATCCTTTTTATTTTGCTATAACTTTACTTTTTAAGCCTAGTCCCATGATTATGTCAACATTCTTAACACTTCTACCTTAAATTAGGAATTCACAAGCGTATGGGGACAAAGATGATATATTCTACTGAGCCATATGTTGAGACCTACCCTTGTTTTGGTTGAATATAGGTAGGTGCAATATTTTCTCAATCATTTCAGAAACATTAACTCAAGTATCTTTAAGAAGTAAGTGAATGGGATATTTACACCATTTCATGTTCTTCAATTAATTTAGGCTGCTCGTTCTGACTAACAATGTCTAAATCAATCACGTGCCCCAAGCTTAGGTCACGATTAGTATAGCGAGGTGAATAACCCGGAACCGGAAATGCGCTCCAAACTAATATCAAACAACTGTATCTAATGGCAAAGAGCACATTTCCATTGTATCCATTGTATTAAACAGAATGTCTTACTATACAATACGCAATTCAGCTCTGGGGTTTTAGAGACGTATGGAATATAAAAATTGACGTTACATTCATTCAACACCAAAACACATGCCAATATTATCGAAAAAGAACAAGCTTTTCCTCAAAATTCACATAGGCTAATAGTACAACTTCCTAGAAGCATAGTAGAAAGGAAAAATACCTTCATAGGTATTCCCAATTTATGGTCACGAGAAAAAAGTGAAAACACATATTTCTCCTCCTTAAGATCCCTCAGATATCAAGTCATTTGAGGAGAAACTGGTGTGATATTGTTACTCCATGGTTTTCAGACAAGGAAAAGGGCATTCAAGAGAAAATGAAATTGGATCATAATTTTTGATAGTTTGCAAATTTTTCATTTTATAAAGTAAGCCATCAAAAATTTACGAAATAAATCTTTTAGTGTTGTTGATATTGTGATCTATAAAACACGAGTTTATGGATAAAAATGAAAATTACATACAAATTTTCAATAATTTTCAAAGCTTTTATTTCACTTGGTTAACCATTCGCATTTACGAAAGCATCCTTTTGCTTTTGTTGTTGATGTTATGAACCTGGAATTTATGGATCTAAAGGAAAATATCAATGTTCAAATATCAGAGGTAGGAAAACGGGACCTTGGAGCTATATGTTTGTATAAGAAGTTAGATATGAGATATTTCCGTGCCATGAATTGATCCCGGGGAAAGTGTAGTGGCACACTGTCTATGGCATTGTATTGGAGCGAAGGTATCTGTACTCCCTACGCATATATAAATAGGCCCTACGGATACAGACAATCAATATATGGGTTTGGTCATGGGAAAAAATATATTTGCGCACATTTCTTCAGGTAAGGTAAAATGTTTACAATACACGCAAGTGGCCCTGTCGTGATGGAGAACTATGCTTTACAAAGCTTTAAATATATTTTTATGATAACCTCTCTCTCTAAAATCCCCACCAGCTCATTTCTTATCAGAAATGGAGCAGCTAATTTACTTATGTGACATTCATCATAAATCTAATATTTTCAAAGTCAAATGAACATCAAGCCAATTTGTAATACATACATTTTAAGTTCATCTGTCATTCCAATATATGTTAACCTCTACATTCATCGCAGACAATATCAGTATCACAAATAAAGTACTGAATCTTCGAGTGAGACAAATGTTTTCGTTATAGTACAACTGTAGATCAAAGAAGGTAATTCTCATGGTATCCACTTCTAAGCTAGTTCTTTTGATTTATGGTTTCCTAGATATACTTGATATGGTGTTGTTACTCAATTACTTCCCATTGAGAAGTTAATTATAACTCAAATAACCATTGGTTATATATCAAAGAATACCAATTGACAAAAGATTAATTCAGAAATCTTAGGAATCAAATTTTATCTACAGCAAAAATAACTCAGAGATTTGGGAGAAAATGTAATTTAATCACAACCTCCAATAATCTAAGGATTTGTCACTTAAATTAAGCACAAAAATTGAAGATATTGTTAATCGTCCCTTGAAACAAAAGTGAAGTGAAGTGAAAACTCAAACGGATTTAAAAGTTGAATCTGTCCCATGGGATGATAATTTTGCAAAAAATGTCAATGGCAAAAATGGCAAAAACGGCAAAAAAAGAAAACAAGGCTATTCTAAATAAAGAACTAAACTAAATCACACCTTGAGAATGACCAAATGATCATGCGAATAGAGTAATAGTATCAAATAACGTTCGTGAACCATCTTACAGTCAAAAATCAAAAGAACATCAGGTATAAGACACCGTGCTAGACACTGTAGTACGGCTCGGAGCATTCTAAATGTTCCGAAAATTAAAAGAAAATTTCAATTTAAGAATCTCATAGATTAAAAAGGAAGGCATTGAACAGCATTAAGATATTATTCAAGAATTTGCCGCTTGTATTATTTTTCTTCTCAAATATAGAAACAAACAATTTATTTGGTTTCTGATTTGAGTGTTTGTTTGTTTGTCATTTCTTTTATGGGGATTTCTTACTGATTCCACTATTTTGCGTTTCATTCTTAAATATTAAAAAATGGCTTCTGTTATCAGGTCTCGTGGGTTGGGTACGTAAAAAACTAATTGAAAATTATTATACACCCGATACTCTCAGAGGTAATAAATTACCTGTTATTGGGTAATAAATAAACTCTTTCAATTACTGAAATATTAGAAGATGCAGTATAGAAGTATATCACATTCACATTGTATTAGTTCTATCAGTCTATACCAGTCTATACGCAATGTATCTCAATAAATTACCTTGCACGATTTTACTAAATATAGAAAACTCAAATGGCAATCTTAACACAGATTTGGTAACAATGGCCTAAAGCACCGCATAGAATACTGATGGTTTTGGAGTGTCTGTCTACAAAAATGTCAATACAAGTTATTATAAAACAGATCTCTAGGTTTTTTCACTTGAATCCTTAGCAGTATTGGCCATATCTATTGATACATCATTTGGGTAACCCCAGGAAAATTCAAAGCACAGCATCCTAAACAATGATAACCAACCTAATGAATAATCAGTGACCCACAATGGTGTATTGAGCCATCCATGGAATTTATACCTCTTGAATGTACTTCATACACAAGGAAAGAAATTGGACATCAATTTATTGAAACATTATCTCCATGTATGAACTCATGGCCAGAGATGATACACCAGAAAACAAATTGGATAAAAACTTAGTATACCACCACTGGTAGATACGATCGCATGAACATAGTTGATATACCAGAACAAATTGGATAAAACTCATGGTAATGTCATCGAATTATTCGAACTCTTGAACACCCAAAGACAAATTGGGCATCAATATCTGTAAATATCTTAAACACATATGATCTCATAAACATAGTGAATGCACCAGAAAACAAATTGGATTAAACTTAGAATAACATCATCGAGATATATGAACTCATGAACATAGTTAAATACAACAAAAATGGATTGGATGCATGGATTATTAAGATTTGTTTGGGTTACCTTTTTGGCTCATTCTATTAAAAATTGGACATCAATCGATTATAATATCATCAAGAGAATCGAGCTCATGAACATAGTTAAGTACACCAGAAAACAAACTGAACATCAATTGAGTATAGAGTCGTCGGGATAAACAAACCCATGGACATGGTTAAATAAACCAGCAAATAAATTTGGCATGAACTGATCATAACAGCGTCGAGATATATGTCCATGTTTGAATATGCCAGAAAATAAATTACTTAAAACTTATTACAAAGTAACATGAACATAGATAAACAAGCAAACAAAATGATCATCAACTTATAACATCATCGAGATAAACGAACTCATTAACAAAGTGAAATACCCATTGAATATCAATTGAATATACCATCATCAAGACATGGACTCTTGAAGAGTCAATACACCAAAGAACAGATTTGAAGACAAATAATTATTACATCATCGATATATACGAATTCATATGTCAATTCAAAGTAATGCTTGTAAAGAAATTCTAAATCTAAATATACATATACAAGACAAAGTATACATACTTAAAAATTCAAGAAATTGCTTAACACGTCAGAAAACATCCTGAAGACCATGTTTCACTACAAATTATCTATAATCTATTTTCCTACCTGCGTCGGTGGTTAATTTGTTGGTTGATGTAAGTGTTTTATTGAATAACCATCCTCTTGTTTTCCCTCAGTTAAACGTATCTTGTGGGTGAGCTCAGAAAATCATTAGTTTATTGTTTTTTTCTGCCTTGATACTGCTGAAAGAGAAAATGTTGTATTAGAATATATAACAGATAAGTCTGAAAACTTGAATGAACTAGTTTTTTATGTCGTCTTCATCTTTGTAATCTTGGAATGATTGGAATTCCATAGACAAAAGAAATGTCAAAGTGTTCATGGAAATGACTTTATCAGTTTAATCTGCCAATGTTTAACAAATCTTATGTTAGTATAGTTCATAGATGGTGTCAATACTATATCTAAGCTGATGTCAAGAAATGTCAAAAGTGTTCTTGGATATTACTTTATAAATTGAATCCACCAATGTTGAACAAGTCTTATGTAATTATAGTTCATAGAGCGTGTCAATAATATATCTAAGCTATTAATAGACAAAAGAAATGTCAAAGTGTTCGTAGATATCAGTTTTGTGTCAATAATATATCTAAGGTGTTAGTAATGTTATCTTGAAAAATGCGATTTAACAAATTCATAAATTAAATTGTGTAACATATCGTTTTCCAATGTGGTTCTTTCAGTTTTAGTCATTGAATTCAATTGTAGTATTATGGAGCACATCTTGGAAAGAACATGAACATCCACTGTTTAGGGAATCTGAAGTACAGTAGGTGTTTCATATAATCGTAATGCTTGAATTATTGACAAAGACTCCAGCACGATTTGGCCTCATCATAGTAAATTGATTAATTATTATATTAAAGCATTGTCATTTCATAACCATTATAACTTTAATAAAAGTAATAGAATGTCTAGTGGTACATATAATTTAACAATCATGCGTTTTCCATATTTCAATATTTTCGGTAAGATATACACTGTTCACTGTATCACGTCTCCTGTACAGTTGCTATTCGATCGTTGGATCTAACGAATTTGTTTCTTGACATTTGTTTATCTCTCATTTATAATTTATATTCTTTACTTGTATAACGTTTAATTAAACCAAGTGAGGGGGTCACGCAACGCTATCTGTCTTATTGTTAACGAACGGATATTCTCAGAGGACCCGAAACTGTCAGTTTGCTTAAAAGGATTAGACAGCTGATGTTCTAATTCTAGCGACTGATCATATATTCTTAGAATGCAATGATGGACGTTTTGGTAATAAAATACACTTCAAATGTGCGAAACTACGCTGAGTTGTCATTTGTTCATTATGGTGTTATTTACTGTCTTACATTATACAGTACATGTAGTACTTCAGAGTTAAAGCTCATTCAAACCATCCCATCATTCCGCTGTAATCACATAACCCCAATTGTACCCCAATTTGGGATCCACCGTCTCTAATGTCCCTTGGAATGGGCCAACCTTTAATAAGGAGAGACTCTCTGATAAATCAGAATGCATAGACCCACTGAAATATTTTACATTTGAAACTCTCTATGCCTTTCTGATTATCCACAAATTGCATATGTGAATACAATTATTTCTTTAGATAAATTCAATGTAAAAGATACAAATATATTATTACTTTGAAGTTCAAATCCTGTGTATTAACTGTTGGATATTGCACTTCACCAGTGGACTAACTGTCTCTTTATGACAGGTAATTACCTTTGTTAGAGGATTCACCTGAGCTGATTGCAAATTCATTGATTGTCAGGACTCCAAGCAGAACCATTGTAGCTATCAAAGACTTCGATTAAATGGAATGTTATTCTGAGTCGTGATAAAATGCATCATTATAAGATAATAGAAGGAAACAGTGGTACATAGTACTGGTCGATCCAGAAGCTAGCAAGAGGGGCAAATTTCAAGTCGGGTCCCATGCCCCCCCCCCCCCCTGGGTCCGCCAGTGCATAGGTATTGGCAAAAACATACATTTGGGTCTTATTCCAACTAATATGATCATGGGTTTATTTATTTCTACATATTAAGTGTCTTGGTGCGTTATTATTGGGATTCCTTAATTTGATTTCAGTTTCTCGTGCAGGCCCATAGCCAGGGGGGGGGGGGGGGTTCGCAGGGACCTCCCCCCCCCCTGGCCAAAATCATGCAGTTTTTAAACATTTTGAGCACTTCTCAAGTGATATTTGCCATATTTGGACCAAAATTGCCAAATGTGAACCCCCCTGGAAATATTTGAAAACTGACCCCCACCCCCCCCCCCCCCCCCCCACCCCCACCCCCTTGGCGAATCCTGGCTACGGGCCTGTCGTGTATCGTATTCGACTATTCCCATGTTGCTGTTTTTTCACCGTTGCCTTTATATATTTGGAATGGTATACGTAGTGAACTCAGTATAATTTCTGTAATCCGACAATTAAAGCTGCAATGTACAAAAATCGTCGTTCAAATATCTCCAGGTTCAAAATTCATTACAGAGGGCACCAGAATATGACATTTCATCAGGAAGTATTCGTAAAATCTCAAAATACCCCACAATGCCGGATAAATGAAAAGCATTATTTCCAAGAAATGTCCAGCCTATTGTTTTGACGAATCTGTTAAAATATTTAAAACGCTCCATTCATATTCCAGTTTTGAGCATATTTATGTTTTTCCGACTTCACTTAAAATGTTATCTGTTAGGAAATTTAGGTTTTCAAAATGTATGCTAATATTAATCTGATTGAGTCTAACTTGTATAATATGAATACTGTACGTATATTGGGATTGAGTTGATCATCCACCCACACATTACCCTTTGTAGTTTAACTAGACTCTGCACGCAGGGTACCCACACATCTCTCTCTCAGATGTGGGTCTAACAAATCATGCTGATGTCAAATCTAAATGTCAAATCTCTCATTGAAGTTTATAATTTTATTTTAGTTTCGTATTATTTATTTGTGTCTCGCGCTTATAATTTATCCATACATACAATATTGCACATGAGAAACAGTTTTTCTACTAATTCTGCTTAAAAACTTCATGATTATATAACGACTGGAGAAGATAGATTGTAATTAAGTAAGGTTACCTAGTTTTTCCTATTGTTTGCTCATTACACTTTTCGAATGGCATTGAGGATGAATTGACAATGATTTGACAGGAAAGGAGGCCTTTTGACACTGTTTCTTTTTAGGTTTGATGATTTGCAGGGCTATTGTTTTTTGCCTCGTAAGGGATTGAACTTTCGAGTTCTTCATTGCTTTAATTGTGAGATTCTACCCTATGGCTATTGTGCTTCTATAGATCCTACGTCATTTTTTCTTTATCCCCATCCCACAATGTAATCTGACCAGAAAACCATTGGTAAGTTACGGTGTTCGGGTAGACGAACCGAAGCTGTTTAAACAATTATATCAATGTAAAAATACTTACTAATTATCACGTTATTGTTTTCTGATTCAACTAATATCGGAAAATCAAATCTGCTCGCAGACTTTGGTTTTTACAAAATAAATCTAACGCTAATTTGATTGTGTCTAGTGTATGGTATGTCAAATTTATGTTTAGTAAATTAACAGAGTAACATGAAATATGTATGCTAAGTAATTGATCACCCACTCACGTCATTTCTTCCCTCGTTCCTTAAACATCTCGTTGCAATACGAGATCAGGAAATTATTGGAAAGTTATGATGTCCGAGCAGACAAGCCTTAGCTGTATTAACAATTATTCTTTCAGGTAACCAAGACAAAATAGCTTTCACTAAGGAAATGTTACAGAACCTAAGTAAATAATTTTCACACAAATGTTCCTGGAATCTATAGCATTAACGGGTTTAGAACGACTTATATCAATGTCGATTCAATGCTCTCAATTAAGTTGAGCAAACACTAAAATTGATTGGGGTATATGACTATCAGCAACTTGTAACCAAGAGATAAAACTTGTCATTCGAATTAAGCCGCGCTTGTGTGTAATAGTCGGAAACACAAAACATGGGATTTTGTTGAGTATTGAAAAAGCATCTCGTGAGGTATAGCAATATAAGAGGACAGATAAAATAGACACCACAACATTTTTTGTTTTTATATTTTGTGCATGTGATTTAAACAATATATGACATGGTAAATATGTATTTTTGCATCTCTGAAAAAACATGCGGAATCAGTAAGAATACAGTGTAAATGTAAGAACACATTCATTATTTGTCCTGTTTTGTGTACTTTGTCATATATATACTAATTTCAAAAATAGGTATCATATTCTCATGTCATTCCGTTCTACTTTCATTATACTTTACTGTTGAGCAATCGTCACCTTGTCGTCGAGTTCTTCTTTTTCTCATGTCATAATACTTTTCTGTCACATATTGCCTCGTCAGCATTTTTGTCTTCATTCTATATCTAGACATTAGTGTCATCATATTCTCGAGTCATTGTGGTTTTCCACCATTTTATTCTCCTGCCATCATACTTTTTTGTTATAATACTCTTCTGTCATCACAAACCAAGAGTCGTCCAATTCAATTTAACACAATTCAAAAATTGCTACACAGATTCAGCGTCAATAGCGAATGCCAAATTAACAAAAGCTGCTGTATACAAGTTATTAGATGTTCAAACTAAAGAACAACCATGTCCCACAAAGGAGATGTTTGCGTATCAATTGCATCAAAAAGGTTTTCCGAAGGTCACTGACTCTTCCGATATCCTCGATGACATTGGGCGTCTTATACGCACCCATTCTTGATAGAGGTCAAATAATAGCTACCGAAACCAATTCGCAATAAATGAAATGCCATAGTTTATTCCAGTAAAAATCTATACCCAATAACCATTATCTTGATCAATCTTCGCCAGTATTTGATACCGAAAAACTGAAGCAGTTTATGTGGGAGGACACCAGCGTGCTATCGATTCATTCCTCTTGTACATTTTGTTTTATGGTCCCCTGAAGGGTACACAATGTTCTTGTTCCAATGATATATTTGCATCATCCAACTGATTTCTGTTTTTTGATTGGATACCCCTAGTCACATGCACCTTTTGTGAATGCTGGGATGGAGGCTGAAATAGTTGAGAGGATGAGAATGGAGGTTTTAAGATATCTAATAGGCATGAAATGTTTACGTAGCATAGATCACGTTTATTTTCATGGAATAACATCAATGTCAAAAGAA